ATAAAGCTTATTTCAAGTTAATATTATCAACTGCGATAGCCTGGATTCAAACTAAAGGTCACCAGTTGTCCCTGTTACAGCTGGAGGAGACACTGGCACTTGTAATCGAGTGACTGGTGTCTTTAAGGGCCATCTGAGTGCACTTAACAATGCTAACAAAGCGCATTCAGATAGCACACAATGTCATATTTCAGTTTTATTTGCATTGCAACGCTGCTCTTCATAGCTGGAGTGAAATAGGTGTCTTTGATGTTGCTGCTGATTTCAAATGAACAGGATGAGTGTAGCATTGCCACTGGTAAGCTTCCACAACTCTCAATGATCCCTATTCATGTCAAAGCTGGAAAATGGTTGCATGGTACTTTATATAATTGAGGAACCACCCAGCAAAATAACCCTTTTAAGCTACAGATTTTGCGCTGACTGGATGCTAAAAGCGTAGTGTAATAGCGGTTCCTGACAGCAGTCTGACATCAATCTCAGTTTCAGGGCCATCGCAAAGCACCTCCAAAAGGTGATGTCAGATGTGAATTGATGCGTATAGATGGAATATAAATGGAATTGTTGTGACACATTGAGTCCAGATCTCTGCTCCCCTTCCCATGTCGCTCACACACACCATCACTGCTGTCTTCATTATATTGTAAAAGATTTTGATAAAATAGCGGACATCTCCTCCATTCAATTACTCCACCTTTAGGCTATCTATTCTTTTATGCATCTACATATCACTAGGATTAATTATCATGTACATTTGGTGTAATGCTGTTGCACTTGATTTAAAGGTAAATACTGCCACCTACTGTTGTGAAGGTGTAATAACCTGTCCTGTCCTATGTCCACTCTTGAACGAATAGTCAGCGATTTGTAAGATTTTCTTTCTCAACTATAAAAAGTAATGCAACCGTTATATAAATAAATAATTTCAAAGATCCTAAAGATGTAAAGAATGAAGATTAAATTATTCAGGAAAAAATAAGCAAGATATTTCATTATCTGGTTAACTTGTGCATTGCACACACTCCATTGGAAATTAGGAAACTGGATTGTTTTAAAGACTTTTTAAAAAAATATATGATTATTAAAAAAATAAGGAAATTCCAGTAATAATAACTATTTACTTACTGGAAGCAAACAGTTATGGATACAGGACATTTTAGCACCTTGAGATAAACAATAAATTGACTAGATTGTTAAAATGCTTCAGGAGCATTCATTTATATTTTTAGAGTAAATTGTAACTTAGAATTCCTGGCAGTAACATATCAATGCATTTCACCTTGTGGGGACTATATATAGGTCAGATGGTGTTCAATCTCTTTTCAAAGGGATAACCAATGTAATAATGGTTGGACACTCAGCTAAATTTAGTGCACTGACATGTGGCAATTAAATCCTGATATAAACTGTGAATGAATCTATTTGAATGCTGCAGCTTACTTATTGTTTAGCACCGACCCCAAACCCCCACCATAAATCCTCATAAATAATCATGTAGTTTTGTGTTGTGTGGTCAGTTTCTTGACTGCATTCATTTAAGCTGGCAAAATATTTTCAAAAACAAGCTACTTGTCAAATTCAAGCCATTTTAATGCATTCAGAATCAGCCAAGCAGTGCTCCTGGTGTGTACGGTAGCTGACTTCAAAGCAAACCTCTCAATTCAGTTACGGTTGTAAAATATAAATATCTCAACAGAAAAACAGAATAGCATAATATGACTAAAAAAACTTCAAACAACAACACTGAGCTTCTTAAAATTTATTAAACATTTCATTCAACTATTTTTGTAGTTGTAACTTTTGACTCAAATTAGTTAAAACAATACAATTACAAAATAATTTTATTCTGGGAATCCCAAGACAATATATTTTGCATACTATATATATATTTCCTTGAAACTGCTTTATAGTGGCTTCTATTGAAATATAACTTTGGTGGGTCAATAATGCAATGTTGCTGCAGCAATGACATGTGCAGCAATGACATTTTTGAATTATAAAATTTACAAGCAGTCATTGGGGAAGATGTGAAGGGATGGAAAAAGTGGAATCTTTCATCAGAATCAGAGGATATGTTACATCAGAGGTAAAGAGACAATGAAAACAGCTGATAAACCATTGTGATGAGCAAAACAATTAAATAACATGACCTAAAGGCAAAATACTGCAGATGCTGGAAATCTGAAATAAATACAGAAAAGTCAATAAGAACACTCAGCAGGTCAGGCAGCATCTATGGACAGAGGAAAGTGAGTTAACATTTCAGGTTGATGACCTTTTGTTGCGACAAAGTATAGAGCATTAAAGTCAATTGCCTTTATAATTATAAAACAAAATACTCAAGTTAGCTTTAGCATTTGTTGTATTAGTCAGAATGAGAATAAAGGGAAATGGGAGAGGTGATTAGGATCGGTGGAGACTTATGTGGAGTACAATTGGGCCAAATGGCTTGTTACCTTGCTGTAGCAGTCTGTTGTAATTCTATATCTAAATAATTTGCGTTCCAATTCTGACAGTGATCGTTTTGAATAGATAGAACATTAGTAACCACTGAGGCAGCAATACATGCCTTTGATATGACACCAAGAACATACATATGGTCATCAAATGATGTTAGGTTCATGACTCATGAGCCTGAAGGGGTATTAAGTTGGACATGTTTCGCTACTTACTCAGGGAGTTATTTTTCTACAAACCACAAAATTTCATTATATATTTAGTGAAATGAGTCATCATGACAAAAAATACTGTAACTATTTCCCACAGGTTGAGACAAAGAAATTGACTTACTCCATCAAAGAGCTGCTTGATTACAAGTAATGGTAAGTAAGGTCAGGGCAGAGGTGTGCTTCAGTATGCATATTGTTAACAGAAAACAGCAAGCAACATTTTCACCTTGCTCTATAACCAAGATCATTTCCTTCACCTCAGCTACCTTGCCCACCTCCACCTCTTTCTCACACCCAATGCTGCCAAAATACTTATTCATGCCTTCGTTACTTCCTGCTTAATTTCCCTAATGCACTCCTCTCTGGTCTCCCTTGTTCCATCATTCATAAATTCCCAACTAATCCATAAATCCACCCGCATCCTCACTCCCACCAAATTCCACAGCTACACACTTTATATATAAAATTATGCATACACAAACACACACAAACGTGGACAACTGAGCTGTTACTATTCAAAGTCGAAACTTGGAAATGTATTGAAGAGTGAAATGTGCAGTAGTTTGAGTAAACCGCCCCTCAGTAAAATGGTAGTAGGTGTAAACATGACATACAAAAAGATGAGATGAGAAACAATGGATGGGGTAAAAAAAAGGTAAAATTGTACATCACCCTCTAGTAATTCGCTCAACCCACCAACTCCCTTTTCTATTGTGTACAATTCTAAGTAATCTAGTAGAGCTGCTCACACCCACTCAAGTGATTGAGTAACTTCCCTAGAATTGTGTGTAATTGACAGACTGAGAAGCCAGGGAAGACAAGGACCCACGACATGAAGTATCAGGATAATATTGCATCTGACAGCATATCAAACTGATGTAGGTACAAAACCTCCAAGAACACATTTGCATAATTAGAATTAATTAACATGGTAGAAACACTCATGACTTACAATCAACTGAAATAGCTAATGTGTGCAGTGGGATTGGGGAGAGATACAAAATGTATGTTTAGTTTTGTAGGGGAGGGGGGTATGGAGAAGGGAATCAGTGAGACAGTTCTGTTCAGCGAGGTGCTCCATGCTCAGAGAGGGGAGCCTGAGGCACTGAACAATGGCATCTAAATATTTTATGAAAGTTCCAATTATACAGCAATTATGCAGCATATTTCATGGAAAGAAACCCAAAGCTACTCGCAAAGTGTAATTGATTAGAAATTAAAGAAAATGTTTTATAGCCAATTTAGGCGTTAGATATAAGCATTAACCCTGTAAGCCACAGACCTAATCGGTAGAGTGGTGCAAGTTGTACAAACAGTGGGAAAGCTTGCCAGTGCTCTCAATGGTAAACTATGCAGTTTTAGCTGGTTAGACTCTAGCAGTACCCAACCACACACTCTGGGGTTTCCAAGCCAACCTGCGCCTAACACTTTCTGGAATTAGAGAAGTAGGATGTGTCCCTCGTGGAACTGTGTGCATTCCATTCCAATAAACCTCTCTGAAATTTCCATGTCTAGGTGGGATGCATGGAACTGTTTGATTTGGATGGTGATTGGTTTCCGCATGTGTCAGACACACAGCTGCCCACTAAAATACTAAAAAGCTGACTGAAGTCAAACAAAATTTAGGTTAATCTTGCTTCTGAATACACCTACAAATTTCCATTACATTTAGCAAATTGCTATAAAAGATATAGTTGGCTGAAATGTTGACTGATGAAATTATATTGGGTATAGAAAAAGATTAGATGAATGGTATATAGTTTAAAATTACAGAAATTGGCAACTCATTTTGTGGTAAGTGATTTTGAAACAACTACTGTGCAAAGGACAAACATTAAAGTATCAAATCAAAAAAGGTGTACATTAATACAACCTTTCAGAAATGTTTGATGTATAAGTTATGTACCAATAAAAAGAAAATACAATGCCAAACACAATGGGATTAACTGCACTTTTGATTATAAATGTTGTACGCTTGTGAACAATTAGATTAACTACAACATAAATCTAGTTTATATTCAACATCCTTTTGACTATAAATGTCATGTGTATAAAATGCCTGATTAACTGGGGACATAAATCTAGTCAACATGTCACATTCATGAGGCAACACAATGGCCAAAAACTTTAGGCAGCCGCTCAACTATCTTCACACGAGTCATGTCTGACCTGCACTACTTTGAGAGGTTAGATAGTGTGACCAAGATGTACCGAAGCATTAGATCAATAAGGCAGCTCATCCTACTCAGAAGAAGCATCACATTCTCACCTGAAGGATAAGCAGCAAACTTGCCACCATTATTCTAGAATGAAGTACAAAAACACGAGAAAGAAGTTAACTATTTTATATTTAGCATCAATGTTAGAGAAATATCATTTGGGTGCTGTACAAGTCTTACAGGGGGGCAAATATCACATCTTAAATCATATTCAAAATATGCATCTCTTGTAGGAAATTCCAATCACAGATCCTCAATTGCCAAAAAATCAGTAAAGTATTTCAAAAAAATGAAGTTTTCTTATCATACTTTGACGGGTTATTTCAATGCTCAACGTCTTATTTCAATGCTCAAGTTCTAAATGTACTTATTAACTTATAAGTTTTCATTTGATGGAATGCTTCACACCAACTAAAACGTTTAAAAATTTATGCATTTGTAGTGTTACATTGATACTGTTAAAGAAGGTGATCCAGGTACTGACATCAATAAATAAATCACCAGAGGCATTTAGCAAACAAGGACAGATACCGTTTTCACTGGAAGAGTACAAATTAAAACAATAAATACAAAACTGTGAAAGATGCTCTATTTTCATTCTTCAATCATCCAGTTGTATAATCAATGTGGTTGAATCTTTTCCAACGCTGACTGATGGAGAAGTAACCGGTCACTGAATAAGAATCTTCCTTTACTCTCTTGAGCTAGTGGTCCACATTCAAAGCTTTAAGGTAGTCACTAGACAACCTCAAAGTAGTGCAAGATTGCCATAATGTGCTGAGGCATGAACACATAACCTGTGTAGACAGCCATCCCAACAATAGATACCAATAGAAAATCTGAACAGTAATATTAAGGAAATTTGGAGCGAGGAATCTCACAACATTGCAATCAAGACAGTTCACTGCATAATAATAATGCTTACATTTGACATAGCACCTTCTCACACTGACAACTCAAAATACTTCACAAGTTTTTCACTGGGAAGTATAGTGACTAATTGTAGGCAAACAAATTTGTATTTGTAGGATTTGGATATTTGAACAACATTGTTAATTCCACTACTAAGTGGATGTCAATACATATTCTCATAAATTTTGTTGCTGCCAAAAAAAATGAAAAGGGGGAATAGAAATGCCGTCCATTTTACGAGCATTGGAAGTATATTTTTGACATTTTAAAATAATGATTAACTCATTCGAACATATACAGAGTAAAATATTACATTTTGTGGCCAGAGCTTTGCAGTAGATAAGATACTGACAGACTTCTATTACATAATGATCTTTACTGAACTGAAAGAGGCAATGTTTAAGAATCCTTCAGCAAATTGGTTAACTCATATTTTCCAAAGTCTAGATATTTTAGGGGACCACACACTACATTCAAAGCAGTCTTTTTCTCTTAATAATAATCCTTGAATTTGATATAGCGCCTTATCACATCTCCGAGACATCTCAAAGTGCTTCAGTGAATTGATTGTAGATTTTGTGGGTGAAATGCTCTAAACAACAACAACAAAATTACATTTATAAATTACTTGCTATTTTAACTTGTTCACTGGCTTTTTGATAGAGGAGAATTAGTCAACAAATGGCTAGCATTACGTTCATATAAATGAGGGAAATCAAATTAAACAAATACGACTCAACAACCGGTTTAACTGACAAATGAATGTTCATCTTGACCGCTGTTATTTGGTGATGTCTTGAATAAACCAAATTTAGATGAAAGGCACTATATTGTATTGTAAGTTGTATTATAATGTATCCTGTTCTTTCAGTAATCTTAGATTTTCCATTTTTTTAAAAAAAATACTACCATCTAGGTGGTTGGAAGGAGTTATTAGTGATCATTTTGGATGGATTTGTGCCATGACACATTATGGACTGAAGCTGACTGCAGCTGAGAAAAGTGTGGTACAGATCAGACAATGCACCTTGTAACAGCTGGAAAGAAGAGGCATCACACTCCTCCTTGGGTTCTGTAGAGTGTGGAGTACATTCAGGTTGTGAAACAACTGTCCCCAGTGTGTTAACTGACAGCACTTTTACAAAAGCAGATGCAAATTCTCTGCACCAAGCTCCTTTAATGATTAGACCAGGCAAAGTCTGCCGTCTGGTACTGATAGTCACGCTCCGCCTCCTGTAAAGCTGCTTTTTTGTGTAAACTTTAAAAAAAACACAGGAATAAGATGATGAACCAGATAATAAAGCACCATTAAATCGCATCAACTGGAGCTGAAACAGTGCCATCACGTCAAGCATCATATCTATCCAAATTATATACCCATAAGTGTCTACCCAAACTATATAAGGGGGGGGGGGAGGGAGGAATACAATGGAAATATGAGAAAAATTTGTAAATGCTGTAAAAGTATTAGTTACCAGGTTTGTTCTTCAAACCACTAGAGTAAACTGGTAACGCCTTAACCTGAGGAGGAGTTTGCTAGCTGTAGATGAATCTTCTGTGCTCAACACTCGGCTCCAGCTTCTGACCTTTACAAGCAGAGAGAGACACACACACGTCCGACGCATTGGAAGAAAATCTCAGCCATCACACACCCAGCCTGTGCCAAACAAATACATTGCAAGGATACTGAATATGGTCCTCTCCCAGGGTTCCAGCATGTAGAGCGCCGTGACCAGGATATATTGGTAATAAAGCCAGGACATGCGTTTCCACGCTGTTCCTAGCGCCATGATCGCTGGACTGGCTTCTGTGTCCTCCAGGATCTGCGGAGATCAGAGAGGTTCTTAATCAATGTCCTCCTTTTTAACAACACCCTCCCCCACGCACACACACAGCCCGCTGCCGAGAAAGGGTTAGTTGTTTACGCGCCACAATAAGGTGTGAGCACACAATCGCTTCTGACTGACATAATGTGCGGAATTGATCAATCTGTAAGTGTCTGTGTGAGAGTGTCTGTGTCTGAGAATGTCTGTGTCTGTGTGAGAGTGTCTGTGTGAGAGTGTCTGTGTGAGAGTGTCTGTGTGAGAGTGTCTGTGTCTGTGTGAGCGTCTGTGTGAGTGTCTGTGTCTGTATGTGAGAGTCTCTGTGTGTGTGTGTCTGTGTGTGAGTGAGTCTGTGTGTGAGTGAGTCTGTGTCAGAGTGTGTCTGTGTCAGAGTGTGTCTGTGTCAGAGTGTGTGTGAGAGAGTGTCTGTCTCTGTGTGCGAGTGTGTCTGTGTCTGAGAGTGTCTGGGTCCGTGTGAGAATGTCTGGGTCCATGTGAGAGTGTCTGTCTCTGTGTGTGAGAGTGTCTCTGTGTGAGAGTCTGTGTGAAAGTTTCTGTGTGTGAGTGTCTGTGTCCGAGAGTGTCTGTGTCCGAGAGTGTCTGTGTCCGAGAGTGTCTGTGTCCGAGAGTGTCTGTGTCCGAGAGTGTCTGTGTCCGAGAGTGTCTGTGTCCGAGAGTGTCTGTGTCCGAGAGTGTCTGTGTCCGAGAGTGTCTGTGTCCGAGAGTGTCTGTGTCCGAGAGTGTCTGTGTCCGAGAGTGTCTGTGTCCGAGAGTGTCTGTGTCCGAGAGTGTCTGTGTCCGAGAGTGAGAGTGTCCGAGAGTGAGAGTGTCCGAGAGTGAGAGTGTCTGAGAGTGAGAGTGTCTGTGTGTGAGAGTGTCTGTGTGTGAGAGTGTCTGTGTGTGAGAGTGTCTGTGTGTGAGAGTGTCTGTGTCTGTGTGTGAGAGTGTCTGTGTGTGAGTGTCTGTGTCTGTGTGTGAGAGTGTCTGTGTGTGAGAGTGTCTGTGTGTGAGTGTCTGTGTCTGTGAGTGTGTTTGTGAGTGTATCCTACAGTGAATTTAAAAATCCAATCAAAATGGATTTAATAAATGGTGAAAAAATAATAATATAATAATCCTTGCATTTGATATAGCACTTTTCACGTCGGGAGGACGTCCCAAAGCGCTTCACAGAACACACTGTAAAGTGAATTGACTGTATATTTGTGGGCGAACGTGGCAGCCAATTGCGCACAGCAATGTCCCACAAACAGTCGTAGATTGAAAATGACCAATTTATTATTGTTTTTGGTTTTGGAGGGATTATTATTAGGCGTGTGGAGTAAGGAAACTTGCCCAAGGTTTCGCTCTTCCTGGAATTGAACTCAGGTCTCTCACTTGCAAAGCGAGTGCTCTAACCACTGAGCTACAGGACTCCACAAATCACGCGAGTACCAGGAATAGTCTACCAAGTAGCAAACAAATATGCATTTGCTATTGTGCAACTGCTGCGATTCCAGTTATTGTCTGAAGATGTCATGCAGTTGGAACTAAAAGTATCTTCTATGTTGATGCTATCCATGCATTTCTGATGTTCGAGTTTCCTTAAAGAAATGGATGACAACAACAATATTTTGCTTTTGATGTATTATATCAAAATTATATTGCAGTGCCTCAGCAAATTCAACTAATACAAAGGTCACAAATTTATATTCAGCCATCTTTCTAGCTGAAGAATCTACATTCTCATACGTTTGATAAGTTTATATTTCTATAGAGATGAAAAGGGAAAACTAAACATAATTTAAAAAATCTAAATCAGGAAGCAAATTTCAACATTGGTTCGCACTTGACTAATTCACAAGGAACTGTTGTTACTGGGCGTCTCCCTTGACGTGGCAAACAAAGCTTTCAAACAATAGAATTCAAACTAATATGTTCTGTGACTTTCTATGAGAACATTTTAAGTGAAGCAAAATATATTTAAAAAGCAATTTAATTTATATTTTTTTAAAAAAACAAAGTTGACTGCAAATTATCTCCTCTTCTGTAGGGATTCACATGCCAGGGTTTGATGTCCTAATAATCTGTGCAAAACTATTCTAGCTGCTCCCTTTGACAGAGTTAGCTGTATTTACTTTTACTGATTTGTAAATTAATTAGAATCAAGTTGCATATTACATGTAAACAATAAATTGACAAAACAAGAATAACTTGGGCAATTACAAGGTACATCAAGTGGCATTGGATAGCACATTACAAAACCATGCACCACGCAAAAATATTTCAGCAAATATGAAAAATTCTTCACTACATTCAGTTCTAATAGCAACTTATAATATTCACAAATATCAGAACAGGTTGCCTTCGACACTTTTTGTGTGAACAACAACCATTAATTTAGGATTCTTTTTGACATCAAAACTAATTAGACTTCTCTACACACAGACTTATGCTCTGTCAAAGAAAAGTTATTCTTTTTGTGTATCATCTTGGGCAGATTTCCCTGCAATATAACACAATGTTCTTTCTTAGAATCTCCACCTATAGACAGCTCAATAAGATGCAACCTGTAATTGTCCTACCGGTTACTCCTGTTACACTTCGAGATGTCCTCCCAACATAAAATAAACTATACAAATGTAAATTACACTTTATATCCATGTAACTATTAATTTTCCTTAACAATAACCAATTTACAGATTCGGGCGGTGTAGCTATTCATTTCAAAGGGATTTATTAACAATGAACATTAGACATGAACAACAACAAAAACAATGTGAATTTATACAGTGCCCTTCACGGGGCTAGTGTCTCAGGGTGCTTTGATTAAAAGTTCTGCCAAACAGATCCACACAATGCAAGTAACAAAAATGACACTAAAAACAATCCTGTTAAGTCCTGTGGTAAGATACTACAACAAATGAAGGCTGTACTCATTGTATTGTACCACACACCCAGAATATACCTTATCAGGTTAGTTTTACTCAGATACACATCTGTCAAGGTTTTACAATTAACTCAATAAAGCATTTTGGACTTATTTCATTGTAAACTGGGCATTTGGATTAAGGCAGTACACTGGGAGTTACTCGGCAACTCAACTAAAATGATTTGGTTAAAGGCGCAAAAATGAAAATCAAGAATATTATGCAGCCTTACACTTAAGAGTACTTAAAGGCAGGTAGTTCACCAATTCCAGTGGCTTCTCGAGCTTTTTGGCTTTTTAGGACCAACAACAACTTGCATTTACATAGCACCCATCACAAAGATGGGGTCGGACACCAAGCTGGGGGGGGAGGGAAAGATTTTTTTTCGCAGCAGGATCAAAAGACAGATAGATGGGGGAGCGGAGAATGATAGAGCGAGTCCGAGAGCTCAGTAGTGTGGTACCTGAAAGGCTCGAGGGCAAGGTCAAGTGCAGGTTTAAGTGTTAACTATGCTCGATTATGGAAAGAAATCCAACACAAGAGATCAAACTGGGGTGATGGTGGTTGATGGTTATTGATTTGGAACTGCTGCCTGAGCCACTTTCTGATGGGTTTGAAGGCTTGCCCATCCAGAAGGGAGGGGACCGTGGGTGTGGGTGTAATTGGGTGCGTTTATGTCTTTGGACTTATTTAGAAAGAAGTCGTGAGGTTTTCCCCCACATGGAAAAAAAAATAAACTCTAAAGGGGGGGAGGGGAGGGGAGGGAGGGAGAGAGAGAGAGGGGCAACGTGACCACAAGCACACAAACTGCCACAGAGGGAGGTGTTTACCTGCAGAGGCTTTGTGGAGAATTACGACGTCCTAATGAGCCGAGCAGAAGGTGTGTGTGCGGGTGTGTGTGTGGGGGGGAGTGTGTGTGTGTGCGGGGGGGGGTGTGGATGTGTGTGGGAGCTGGGGTGTGTGTGTGTGGGGGGGTGTGGGTGTGTGTGTGCGGGTGTGTGTGTGGGGCGGGTGTGGGTGGGGGGGTGTGGGTGGGTGTGGATGTGTGTGTGTGTGGGTGTGTGTGTGTGGGGGGGTGGGGTGTGGGTGTGTGTGTGGGGTGTGTGTGTGTGGGGTGTGTGTGTGTGTGTGGGTGGGGGGGGGTGTGGGTGGGGGGGGGTGTGGGGGGTGTGTGTGGGTGTATGTGCAGAGGAGGAAACCAGAGTGACAGGGAGTGAAGTAAGTCACAGGGAAGCTTTCAGAGAGCGGGGCCGCGGGGGGGGGGGAGACGAGTTTCTAGTTGGGGGGGGGGAGCAGTGAAACAAAAGTAGAATAGGGGGGCGGGGAGGGATTTTTTTTTAAAAAAAAGAATAAAAACACACCATAAATGTTGAGTTTAATACGTGTTCGGGGCCCCACAAAGTTATTCCGCGAAAGTTGCGGCGCCCCCAACATCTCAGGCTCTGGGAGCCCGTCACCGCCGGGGGAGGCCTCGGCTCGAGCAGCCGCCGCCGGTGCCGGTCCTGGTCCCGGTCCCGGGCTCGGACCAGCGGCGGCTCCACTCGCTACCGCCGCTCAGGGCACCGACTCGCTTCGTTTCTCAGGGCCCGGAGGGAGGGAGGGAGGGAGGGAGAGAGGGAGGCTACGCCGCCCCCCGCATTCATATCGCTAAACACCCCCCGGCCCGGTCCGGCCGCGCTTCAGACATTACCTGCCCCGCCACTCCCTCCGCCCGACGTCTCGCCCAGAGCCGCAACCTCTGCAACCTGTTCTTCCGGCTGGAAAAGTGCCCTCCTCCTCCTCCCCGGTCTGCGCCAGCGCCACCTACAGCCCCGGAGCCGCATAACCTGGTTATGCTGCTTGGCCCCGCTCCGTGCCAGCGCCTCCTGCAGGTCTGCCTTCACATATTCACACACAACTCCCCCCCCCCCCCCCCAACGTGTGAAAATGAACTGCTGTAGTTGATGAATTAGTAATTAGTTCATCGGCTAATAATAATAATAATAATAAGTAATCATCCTTTCACTTGATTTAGTGTCACATCACTTTGTTGGGACATCTCAAAGCACTTGACTATAATAATAGTGTGCTGTAAAGTGGAGTGACTGTGTATTTTGTGGGCGAAACGAGTCGGGGACGGTCCTCGTTTGAGACGTTGGGAGGTTTCTTTTCGCGTTTGCGTTATTTTGAAGTTCTCGCTCGACTGTCTTTCGGGCTGAAAGAGAACCTGCTCGAGAACTTTCCCCCTGGAATAGAACGTATGGATTGAGAAGGCTTAATGTCTGAATGGTCTTCGGACGTCCTCCCGACATGAAATTAAATTCTGGTGCCTAAGATTGATAAAATGAACAGGAGGTCTGAAAACTATATATTCTTGAGGGTGGAAGGGCTTCCTGGGTGTTGAACTGGCACATTGCAGCTCCACAGTAATCCACTTGCATTGTCTGCCTCAGCAACAACAAATCACACTTGTGTAGCAGCGCCCTTCACGTTAGAAAGACGTCCCAGGGCGCTGGACAGCAATAACCGGGAGTGTAGACACATGCTCAATTCCATGAGTCAAAAGCCCTGGTATGGTCCTACCTAGGGTAGTATTAGGTTATTTACTGATTTTGAAAGTAATTCACCAATACTGGTAAGATGCCAATAACTATTATAATTTCAAAAAGAAAATTACATTAATTAGTACACAATGCGATATCACCATCATGAAAATATTGGGAGCTGACATGACATATGTTGGAAAACTATCCCTTTTTCATTTCACTGTCCATTGTCAGAAACAGGCTCAGTAATAAACAAACGATTCTCAAATAAATTCTCAAACAAATACAGGATTCTCAATGAATGCAAAAGGATCAAACAATTTGAGGACATAGTGCAAGTTATAGTGTACCTGATGTTTGTATTACCAGGCATATGGCCTATTTGGAAATAGCTGCACTACATGCACCACAAAACGCAAAAAGTGACATTAAAGAAGCCCTTGGGATTTGTTTTTACAGCACAGAAATGGTTTGTCATAAAACTTGTTGGAGCATAAATATTACACTGCACAGATGTTCAGTTCAAACAATTGTTAATTTTGTTATTTAAAGAGATATAAATGTTAGTCAGACATTACTGTTGAAAACTAATGTAGCATATATTCCATCTGTACTTGAGACCAGACAGAATTAGTTGCAAGTCCATATTACAATGTATTTTTGTACTTTATGACTGATTTGTATCCTAACTCGGCTTTGTTCAGGAGTACGTTCGATTTCACATTCTAACACTCAAGGAAAAATGTATTTATAATCAGCAGTTATTGTTGGTCTAATGAATACCAACTAAACATTTTTGCAGGAATAGATTGAAATAAAAAAAAACCTTGAATTTGATGAACAACTGTGAGCAAGACATTTCAAAGCACGTCACAGGATCTACTGTATATAGCGAGTGCATGTTGTAGGCAAATTTGAGCACAGCAATGTCCCACAAACAGCCATGAAATTAATTACCAATTTTATTGGGACTTGGTGGCTAGGTTTTATCATAGAAAATTGAAGACTTGCCGACTCTCACTTGGCCACAGAAGTAACTTAAGTTATTTTAAAGTTTCAACAATTTGTCAAGATTTTTGGCGTTTCCTTCTCAGTATGTTTTCTTTGAACATTTAATGGATAAAGTCAAAATGTATATGGCAATAAATAATTTGTTAATAGACCTCAACTAATGTTACAATGGACATGCATTTCAAAGTCAGAGCATGAGGTTAATTCATTGATTACTGAATGAATGTACTAAATGGATGTACCAAATTACATAAGGCTTATTGGCTCAACTGGCACTACACAAAATACAATCAAAAAGATTTTCCTCATTCATACATGAAAACAGAAGTTACAGCTGGGTGAAAACAAAAAATAATCATCACATAAAGGCTGCATCAAGGGAAATTATGTTGTGCAAGACAAAATTCCCTTTTGATCTTGTAACCCATTAAAATGTTGTTTTATGGATAATGTGGTGTGTGGAAAACTACACATATTAGGGTACAGATAGAACATTTTAGATTAGTTAATACATTTTTTGAATGTATTTTGAAGTAAGGCACCATAAGTTTCCATCTGTTCCCTCTCTCTCTTGTGGCAATAAGATAGTTGTTGGCAGTGCAACTCTAAGGTGTGCACCAGTCACTGCCAACAACTATCTATTTTAAGTGTTAAGAAAGTCAAGCCCTTGGAGGGCAGGCTTCTTATCCTTCACAGCACATTATTTCTTCAGGTAAAACAAAACAATCCAAAGAAAGAATTGAGAGATTCCTTAAATTATAAAGTGTTATGCTTCATCTTATTGAAATTTATGCATATTATTTTTTTTAGAAAAAAGTTCCACCATTCCACCAGCTCAGGGAAGTCCTGCCTTATAGTTTCTCTCAGGCAGAGTGGTATTTGCAACGATGATTATATCGCTCACTATTTCATGTAGTGACCTGGAAACTGCTGGTGGGTGCCTGCCCGACCACATTAAACTGCCATTCCCAGCAAAATAATGTTACGATAGGAATGCTACGGTACTTCTTAAAAATATATTTGGTGCTGCAATTCTTTATGACCAGTCAAGGCATAGCACCCCTTTAAAAGCCAAAATAGTTTAACAATTTATACAACATCATTACACATTACGAAGCAAAAATCACAAAAATATTGCTATACAGAATAGCAATCTATACATCAGCTACTTTTGCTAATAAAGATTGGTAAAGCAAGCTGTATAACTCTGGATTCCCAACCAAAAGCCTCTTGCCTATTACACAAGTCCACCTATAACCGTCCCAGGTCTTGGCTGAGTTGCTGAAAATGACAGTGGCAAGATAGGAGATGGGGTGAAATAGAAATGAAATTGTCCAGTTTAGTTTAACTAAAGTCACACTGTTTCCATTAAAGTCACACTGTTTCCATGGAGAAACAATATGCACTCTGCGAGTCTGAGTATCTTGATTTTTTTTAAAAACGGTCCTTTTTAAACAAAGCTAAATTACCAATGCAATGGAACTTAAAAGAGACAACTAAGACTTTTAGGTACTAAACAAGTTAGTAAGCATATGAAAAAAACATAAAAATTTAAAATCACTAGTTTATCAGTTTATTTTACAATGGTTAAGATTCATTCTACACAATTAAGGCAAATATACTGATGCATTTATGCAAATATTTAGAAATTATACTTTAAAAAATTATAACATAAATCTTAGTTGAAGACGTAACTTATCAATATAAAAATGAATACTAATAATCAGGTTAGGATGATGAACAGCAGTAAATGTCAAACAATGATTGTGTACAGTGCATTCCATGGCAATATTCTGAACATATCCAATGGCACCATTGAACTTTTAAAAATAACTAAGTATTTCATACTGTAAAAGTGAATTAAAATCAGCAACCAAATATACAATATAGTGAAGAAAACATGGCAAATGCCACAAAAGAAAATATTTTGGTTCCTGGACAATTAAAACAAATGACCAAACACATTACATGTGCTGTGTGGCATCTTAAAAAATATTTTCTCTGCAAAGGTGTCTTTTCTGGTCAGATGAAGTACTGTCTACGTATGATATATATGTACTTCCTTCCTGTCTTCTCCAGGGAGCCGGAAAGCTTGATTGTGTTTGTTTTCCTTGTAGCCTTGATGTACACAGCCCTTATTAATGCAAGAATCAGAAAGCAGTTAAGAGTCAGCTTTTAGTCCTACAAGGCAACTCTGCAGCAACTGTAAATGTCCCTGTGAATTAAAAATACGATAATTATTAAGAGTAAAACATCTACAGATATCATAGTACATTCATGAATGCCTTGACGCACAAATCAAAATCTTGCTTGATCAGTTTTTTGAAAAGCTGTGATGGCATGGAAAGAGTGCAATGGAACTCTGAAGTCTAATCTCGGTGTTAATTTTGAATTTGAAAAAAGTCTGTATTGCTACATCTGATTCACACAGAATTTAAACAAGAAAGATTGTCACACTTAAATATTTTATACTTTCAAATCATTACCTTGGCATGCTTCACTTCCAGTTCTGCCAATTCTACAAGATTTTTTCGAAATGCTGCAACTCTCCTGGTTTTGAAGTCTATAAGTTCTAGGAATAAAAATGAAACAACATGTTCACAAAAAATATTTATGTACCTTCTAAAAAACATACATCCAAATATGCATATATTACACACACCCAGTGTGACCCAAAAGTCGTGATACCATTACAATGTTAATGAGTTTAAAGAAATTATGATTTTCTTTAAATATGGTAGCTGAAAAATAAATAAGACTTTTGGTCAACCTGTGTACCTATATATATATATATATATATATGGATATGTATTAATTATACATATATAAAATATTCACAATATACACAACAGTGGATTTGAAGCAGAGTGAACTAAAAGCGTACCTTGTTTCGCTGATTCTGAAAGCTTTTCAAACTTTTGACAACATAACTGCTGGTTGGACTCAGCTTGAAACACATCTTTGTTTTTAGCCCTTGATCTATCCAGAGCTTTGTTTGCATTTTCATAATCCAATAATGACCTTGCTCTTCTATAAAGAAGATCCTATAGACAATGTTGTAGGAATAATGAACTTTGTACATCACTTTGGTTTTTTTAAACAAAAAGGCAAAGTGCACAAATGTTGCAATGAATATTTGTACACATCACTGTTTGCAACTGCAGAAACATTTTGTGTTAAGTAGACAAAGTCAGAGGCTAGCCAAAGGACAACAGTTACCTTTTTTAGATTAAATCTATCAACATATAATAATCTTTGCATTTGGAATAGCAGCTTTCACATCAGGACATTGCAAAGCAATGAAATGGGAGTGAAACGGCAGCCCTACTGCACACAACAATGTCCCAGAAGCAGTTATGAAATTAATTATCAATTTTATTTTGGGGATTATCAGCCAGGACCCTTTGAGTAGTGCCATGAGATCTTTTAACATCCACCTGAACAAACATACCTCCTAGGTTTATCGTCTCATCTGAAGAATGGCACCTCCCACAATACTACTTACCCCAGCACTACACTGGCATGTCAGCTTAGATTATGTGAGTTCAAGTTCTGACGTAGGGCTTGAACCCATAACTTTAAGACTCAAATGAAAGAGTACGATCGACAGAGCCAGGCTCAATGTGAGTATCTAATATTTACATGAATATCTACACAGTTTAACTCCAATTTTTTCATTGATTATCATAAATTGGAAAGGGTATAAAAATATTTACCTTAGCAGCCTGCGATTCTCTCAAGTAATACCTCAAAAGGTCAGAAAGCTTTAGGTCTTCATCAGCTGAGACTCGGGCTTCTATTTTCTGTAAAAGCAAGTCAAGGAAATCAGTTGACAGTGCCTCAGTCCACCTTAGGCTGGAATTGGATACCAACTTGTCAAATTTATTAACTATACATTCTATATCGCTGCAGCCATTTTAATAATTGCAGTCAGAAAAAAAGACAAATGCTAAAATAGGCATATTTTAAATTCATAAAGACTAATCATAATAAATGTATTTTAATTCTTTAGATACAGATCAACAGAGTTCAATAAATGAATACAATGCAATGTGCAACAGCTTTACTACACATCTCAAACACTTACAGTAATTTTAAAAGTAACTTCAATTCATGGTATTTTGGAATTATAACATTACAAAATATTCGTTTGTACCTAAGAAGTTACATTATGGGGGAAAGTTTACTGTAATTGATACAGTAAAGAATTCAATGCAGACAAAAATGGCAACATTGTGACAAAACTGTCAACAAGTATTTTTTTCTTTCCGAAGTGTTGGTGTTAACTAACACACACCTGAAACTAAGATCCCAAAGAAAACTCAAATTTCTTTAGTAGACATTCAGCCAGCTGTACCTAGGAGTCTGTAATCTGCGCACATTAATATAACCATTCATGTAAAAATGTTTAAATTAATTTATTCATGGATCTAGCAGGTGGTATACCAACACACTGCATTTATGAAGTGGTAAGCATATGCATTCACATCTGGGATTCCCACACAACACTCTCCCCACCACACCCACTGGAGGATGAGATTGAATAAAAAAAATCCTATTTGAGGGTTGTCTGCAAATTTTTAGAATGCATCTCTTTGTCAGATTTTTCACTGCTGTTTTAGAAAGAGTTCACAATTAAATTCAGCAATCCAATTATTCATCATTATCTGTGACCATTGGCATATTTTGATATTGAAATTGTGATATTAAAATAAGCAAGATTATCTACAGGACAGCATGCACCTGTACAGCCAAAACATATTAAATGTTGCTGTTGAGCAAGAAGGAAGAAATGTCTGCAATGGTATCTGCTAAATTGCGAAATTAGTGAACTAGATGCATGCGAATCAAAAATAGACATACCCTTGTTTTTTCAAATAATTCTGATACCTTCAAGAAAAATCTGAAACAGAATTATGAACACATTACCAAACTGCAAGTCTTCTGTATCCCCTGTTCCCAAACAAAAAAAACTATATGCTGTATGTACTATAGTGCTGTGAGAAAGTGGGTTAATTAACATGTGCTATAGTTGACTGGATATTGCTTAATATTGATGAGTGTGTAAAAGAGTGGAACTAATTACTTAATTTCCCCCAACTGTCAATTCTTCTCTTGAAGCTAGTTCACTTCCAAATATTGCATTCATAGCTGAAAAAATAGCATAACTACTGTATTTTTAAAGCTTTATTCAGAGAGTTTGTTTGTCGATAGTGAGATAAAGCACTTTTTTGTCACCCTCAATCTGGGCTTGATTCAAACTCAAAATGAGTCTTCTCTGATGGATGTAAGTGTACGGTTGGGTCTCAACACATTCCATTGGACATAAATTTATTCCACAAAACTGCCTATAATGAGGCATTAATATTGTTTTATTCTAGAAAACCACAAGTATTTGTGGGAATTGAAAATCTCTGTATCGCTGGGGATTCTGCTACGATTGGGTCTATGTCAATTATTAGGAAAGTGCAACAAGGAAATTAGCCTGTGTTATAATTGCCTGGCCAGTGCTCAATATTTACACTATTAAAAAGTACAAGAACATTCTGTTTCCCATCATGTGCATCCTTCACCTTGAACCCAATTCACTCCCAAAATCCTAAAATTTAACTTTTATTTTAGTCATCAGATATAGATAGGAGCGGAACTTAATTACTAACAAAATTCTGGTAGCTTTAATACTTTGTTACAACATTGACACTGAATGTAAGCGGAAATGATGTTTAAAATGTGAATGAAGTGGACTGTTTTCCATTAGGATATATATATAGTATAGAAATAACATCACAAACTTAGGTGTCTATCTCAAACTGCTGATATGTCCATTGGTTAAAATGAACAATTTTGTTACTATCAATATTGTTTAAAAATGCAAATATATCACTGCTAAGCCTAAATCTTATTGCTTTCTATTTCTCAGATTTGAGTTTTTGTTGTCTCTCTAAATCGAATTAACAAGATCCAACATTTTATATTGTTGCAAAGGAATGTTTGCTTTTGCTTTCCACTTAGTATGGAAAACATACAACAAAATGCTAGATTATACACTGTGCATTCAATTTCCTTCCTTGTGATTCTGCTTAAAACTGCAAAACGGTATTACTCCTCAATACTAGCCTTACTTTGTATAGTAACTTGTACTGCTAGTATGGTATTCATTCTACTGAAGATAATTATAAAAATATATGGCTGAAGTTTAATCTCAAGATTCAAAGAACAATAATCAGAGAGTTAAGGTTAATATTAAGTTTATTAAGTTTATATTAAGTTTATATTAATTAAAATTAAGTTTATATTCTTTGAACTCCTTCAACATCATTATTCATTCTGTCACATTTACATCTAGGCTCGACTACGCCAACTCCTTGCTTGTCGGCCTTCCCAACCCTAAACTCCACAAGCTGCAGATCATCCAGACCTCTGCAGCTCCTGTCCTCCTGCACCAGGCTCCGTGAACCCATCACCCCCACCCGGCTCCACTGGCTACCTATCCCCAGAGGATAGACCCTCCTCTTCGACTGCACCTTCATCCACCCTCCCTGCACTCCACCACCCCGATCCCAACCCCCTGCTCGGGTCCAAATCCCTGACTGTCTAGCGCCTTGGGATGTCCTCCAATGTGAAAGTCGCTATACAAATGTAATTTATTGTCATATACAATTCTAAAAGTAACTGAAGTTAAATTACATATTCATCAACTAATAAGCAATCTTACTTGCATATATCTGTTGAATCTTGAGTTCCTAGGCAATACAATGTTGAGCTAATTCTACTATTGTTGTCTGCCACGCCTGAAAAGGAAAAGTATGTTGTATTACTATAGCAAGAAAAATATAATTATTTCAAAAGTACCTTAATTTTTAATCCCAGTGGTATTTTATTCACAACATTAATGACATTTCGCAAATTCAGATTCTTAAATATCAACCCATATCCAAATCTTTATTATATGTTCAATCTACCATTTTACCCTTTCCTTCCTCCTCACGGAGCAGCATTGCTCATGTTCTTTCCCCAATTTCCTAGGAGAGTTCATTGGATAGCAATTCTGAACAGGAAACTGACTTTTTTTTTTAAAAAAAACACCGCATAATCCAAGGGTCCAAACTACTGCTCATTTTAATATTAGCTCTAAGGCTAATATTTCAATCCATCAACAACAAATTGTATTTATATAGCACCTTTCACATCAGAAGGACGGCCAAAGTGATGCACAGTCAAGGATGTGGATTCGAGCTGGGGTGAATGAGAAGCAACACTTACTCTTGTGTGACTTTGTCAATTTATCTGCCTTGATTGCCGCATCCTTTATTCTGTTGTGATATTCTAAAAGGAAAGTCTTCTCATGTTCAAAGAAATCATCAACATCCTAAAAACATTTCACAACAAAACTTAAGAGCAAAATTAAAGCACTTGGGTTTTTCTGAAACAGCAATCAATTAACACAATAACTAAGATGTAACACAATAACCAAGAAGTAACACAATAACCAAAATGTTGATGCACTTACATTATGATAAACATTTAGCAATGTTAATGTATTCAAATACAAAAAGAGCAACTCACCCTGACACCTGCCACAATCACTTCATCAGCTGTCTTTACCATATTCTTAAAGAAATCTTCCAATTTCTCCTTTTTATTTTTCCCACGAACACTCAGCTGACAAACACAAGGAAAGCAAAATTCTTACTATACAGCAAGTTGAGTGAACAAAGAAGAATTATTTTACCTAAATTTCATTTCATAAGTATCACAAGTTTGAAAATTAATCATACTTTTTTCCAATACTGCTACTTTACAAACTGAAAAGGGCTACTCCTGAAATAGTTTAGTTTGCAAAGACACTGTCTAGAACTAGGCGACTGATCCCTAAAGGAGAATATCAAACAGGATTCTTGCTCCTAATCGCTACCCAGTGACCTAGTGCAAAATGTGGACAAGTTTGAACATAAAATGTGATGCTCCTCAGTCATGTAGTATTCTAAAGCGCACTGTGCAAGATCACACATGAAAAACGGCCGCTTGGACAATAGAGTAACTTGCGTCCATGCAATCACAGACCAGCATGGCTTAGTGCCATGAGGAGGAGAAAATTGGGAGGAGTAAATAATACAAAATCCTGCCAACGTATACATTACATGCATGAAAGATAGTAAAAGAGAGAACTCAACTAACTTCTTGATTATATTCCAAGAAGACGTGAAAGTTCAAGTCATTTCGAAGATTTGGATGTGCTGCCACACGGCACAAGAAGACTTCATGCATAGCAACCGTTTTCTTGAATATGGCCAGATACTCACTGTAACAAGAAACGGTTAAAGCTCCTATTACTGTATTACAACATATTGGGTTGTTCTTTTTAAAATGCACAGTATGCACACTCACGCTTCAAGTTCCTGTTTCATCTTTGTGAATTCTTCCTTGGTCATGGATCCTTCTCCTTCCCCCAGCTTCTGAAGTTTATCTCTGGAGGCATCAAAGTCAGGCTTTGGTGGTGCTGGTGGGATCTAGGGAGATGACATTATTTTAGGTGAGAAAACAATTTAATGTTTTTTTTATTATGCATTTTGGCTATTGATAAACAGGAATGCCCATCCAAAAGAAGTTTTCAAACTTTTTTTAAAAAGTCATCTTTGCAAATCCCTGCACTTGCACTGCCACATCAATCAGTTCTTCCTTCACTCGCCATTTTCAAAGATTTTTCTGCACGTTAATTAGCTTACTGGCTTGCTTAAAACATTTATTTTCAAATAAACAATGAAACCATTGCAAAGCAAAAAGCAACCTTTGCTTTATGTCAATAATACTTACAATGTAGCCAGCATACTCTTCATTTTCAACAAAAGCATCATGAAGCCAGACAAATTCTTCATGTTGCCGAACAACAGAAAATTCAATCTGTTTAAAATTAGATAACGTACTCTGCAAGAAAACCAACACATGTCAAACTATAACTTCCACAATTTTGCCTTATCCTGTGAAAAAAAACAGAAATCACAAACGGCAGACAATAACTTTATAGATAAGTAAAGTCACCATCAGTAGGTCTTGCAGACCAAATATTGTAGGTTCTATTAATTGATCACATCTGAGGCAATAGTTGAGGCTGCTAGAATTGACTTAAATTAAAGGAGGGAGAGAGAAAGACAGGATTCCAGCTACTTATTACTATTCAGGAATCCCTGTTTGAAGGTGCGCATACATGAATGGTAAACAAGGAAATGAGTGATCTTGGCTGTGATGCACTACAAAGTCACCTAGCAAGCCGCTTGCTGTCAAAGCCTATACATGAAGAATGAACACTTGAGCAAAGCAATGCAGAGCTGCCAGCACCTGTAGAACAATAACCTAGCAAGATTCAGCATCTTAAGAAGAGGAGCCAAAGAGTTGAACAAAGACACAAAATTTGATTTGAGGGTTAGCAAAAGAACAGTGAAGTAAAATTTCCATCTAGCATTCTACATAGTTCCTTTGGCAATGTTCAACTATTCGAATGGAAAATCCCCTTTGTGGTAGACATCCCCAAGTTTCTTACTTTAGTTACAATGAATGGAGGTATACATAAATGTGCACATAAATCAGTTTATACAAAGTTAATATTTTACAATATTTACTGTGTAGCATACGTTGTGAAGAATATATTGCTCACTTTGTGTGCAATGGGGCAAGTAATTTATAACTGTCAAATTTAAAAGACCTTTACCTTTGTGTGGACTGTAAATTTTACTTTATCTCTTTCACTCAGAGCATCAGAAATATCAACCTGAAGAGTGCCATCTGTTTGGAGATCCACATTGACTGGTCTGGGCTGAGACGGAAAAGAATAATAAGACTCAAAATATCTAACAAAAATCACAACAGCAATTTAAAGTTGAGTATCAACCCCTATTTCTTTTAGAAGTAAAAAATACTTGAAGTACACTCCTTTCAAAAATATTACATAAACAAGGTAGTCCCAAAGCACCGAACAATAGATGTAACTACGAAAAGGTATTATTTTATCATTGCGCTGGTGATTCTAAAATATCACAAACTGCCCTATACCAAACCCCCAAAATTAAAAGGTTGATGACATTTGCACAAAACAGGCAATTAACTTTTTGCCTGATACACCATTGCATCCTTAAGATGATCATGTACACATTTCACCTTTATAAACTAAGATAAATCTAAGCATGAGCCCAACAGAATATCTACATTGTGCTCTACTAGCGGTTCTGCATTAGGGGGTAATTATAGTTAACAGTGAAGTGAAGACTGTCCTTGCTCTCAAATTACCAGATTTTACTGGGAATTAATATTGTATCACATGATTTAAACATCAGTGATAGTGGAATTTAATTATTGTAGAAGAAAATGTAATACAGAGTCCTGAGGGAATGCTTAGGTCATTTAATTTATTGTTTGTGAACATTGCTGAGGCAGATACGTGTTTTTTGGCTGCATAACTACAACCACTAATTGAATTAACCAAAAGTAACCGAAGGTAAGCATTCAAACGTTTAAAGTTTTGTTAAACTCATTATGCCTCAAAATTTACATTTTGTTATTTACTAGCTTAGTGAAGACCTCTTCTGACAATGTAACACTATTATTGATTTATTGACAGCTAACCTATTTTAACCTTGAAACGATCCTGATTTTACCAGAAATGCTGTTGTTTTTAAAGTCATGCTTAACTAGAATGCTGATAACATGTTCTTCCTGTCACCTGACATAAACCACAAAACAATCAGAAATTAACATGGTTAAGAACATTTGTCAACAGTAACCAAAAATATGCATTTCAATGCCTAACTGAAACCCCCACAATAAGTACACATTCTAAAATCACGTCTGGAAATGTAATAAATTGGAACACATTCGCTTCAAATGTCTCCATAGGTTTTAGGCCTTAATTAAATCCTCAAATATAACTAAGGTATATTGTAACATACTCACAATAGAACTTCAGTTGGGGTTACTTGCATCCCTCCATGCATATCCTGAAACCTCTCTCAATTCTCTGATAAAGCACAAACTATTCAGCTAACTTTTCAAACAGAAGCAAGTTCCATGATACACTATATATGAGAGACAGAGGTGTACCAGAACATTACAAGCTTAGCAAATCTGTACAAAGTTAACTTGGCCAAATAATTGACTTCAAGAGATAGATTTCTTTTTACTCAGGCAGATAGGCAGATAAGAGAATAAACAAACTTTAAAGTTTAGGGTAAACAAACATTATTACGTTTTTTTTAAAAAAAAGATAAGGAACAAAAAACGAGTTTGATTTTCAACGCCATACACATAATTTATAGGTGAAAATACCTCATTAAAAGTTAAGTGGAACGGGAAGGAGTACAATTTGAACTTCACAAAGTAGAAGTTTCGAGTCTAGTTACAAACTGGAGTACAGAAAGTGGATGTTGTGGGACATTCTTCCGTGGTCAAGCTGTTTAATATGGAAAGTGAACAACCAGAAACAGGGAAGACCAGATCAGCCCTGAGACCAGAGGCTCTGAGACCAGATCAGCCCCGAGACCAGAGGGTCTGAGACCAGATCAGCCCTGAGACCAGAGGCTCTGAGACCAGATCAGCCCTGAGACCAGAGGGTCTGAGACCGGATCAGCCCCGAGACCAGAGGCTCTGAGACCGGATCAGCCCCGAGACCAGAGGCTCTGAGACCGGATCAGCCCTGAGACCAGAGGCTCTGAGACCAGAGACTCTGAGACCCGATCAGCCCTGAGACCAGAGGGTCTGAGACCAGAGGGTCTGAGACCGGATCAGCCCTGAGACCAGAGGGTCTGAGACCGGATCAGCCCTGAGACCGGATCAGCCCTGACGACAAGCAGCGGAACCAGGCGGAGGTCAACACCGAGACCGAGTGAGACAGCGAGAAGGTGGGTTCGCAGTGCATTAACCCACCAACAAGCGGCGGGGCTGCCTCTGTCAGCACAGGACAATGCAGTCAGTGGACAAGGTTCAAGCGGCCGCCGTCACCTCTCCCACTTCAGCCTATTCTGTGTGTGTGTGTGTGTGTGTGGGGTGGGGGGGGGTGGGGTGGGGTCTCCCTCCCGCCCCCTCCCTTTCAGAGGCCCCAGCGAGGGAGGGCCCGTCACTCGAGTAACCGTTAAGAACTTACTCCTCGCTCTTCCTCTGACAAGAAGTCGGGGCCGTCGTCCATCCCTTCCTGCCGGTTGAACACAAAAGAATTAGCATTGCAGACCTCCGCGCCAGCGTCCGGGCCCGACATTTCGCTCGAAAGGGGGAGGAGAGGAAGCGGGGGGGGGGAGGGGGGGGGGAAGAGGAGGAGGAGGAGGGGAGACTCTCGGCCCGGGGTCGCAAGACACCCACCATCATGGCGGCTGCGAGTGGAGCTGGAGCCGCGCCACCACGTGACCCGTCCGTCGGGGAGCCGGTGACGTTGACGCAGGAGGCCCCGCCCCCCACCCCACCCTCACCACCACCACCAGCAGCAGCAGCAGCTTCGACACCTCCAAACACCGGTTGCAAATCACTGCCTGCAACTGCGGGGACATCCACAGGGCATTCACCATTCTCCTGCAACCAACAGTTAATGCAGATAGTCATCCTCGCATTTGATGGCGCGCCTTGCCACGTCTGCGGGACGTCTCCAAGCGCTTGGCAGGCTGTACCGCAAAGTGAATTGGCGGCATGCTTTGTGGGTGGGACGCAGCAGCCAATTGCGCACAGCGGCGTCTCGCAAACAGTTGTGGATTGAGTGACCAATTTATTATTATTAGAGAGTTAATCTCTGCATGCATTTCTTTGTGGCCTCTGCCTTGCTGGACTAGCCTCCTCCACACACACATACGCACACACACACTAACATGCCGGTGTCAGTCTTGCTGCAAGCAGCTTGCTTTGTGAAGACAGTTCCCTTTGGATGAGGCAAAGTGCATCAAAATCGTTCATTTGTTAGAGGTTTGTTCCCCCCAGAAGGAATGCAATGTAGTGTAATACATTGCAATGTGTAATAATGCAATGAAAGGGTATATTGTGCGATGCTAAACTTTTAGTGTTCTTCAGCTCTTCATGTACCTAATACAGTCACCAGGATTTGGTGCAAAAACAGAATTATGTTCTTCAGTGTAATGGCATTTACAATTTGTACTAAAAGGGCAGAATGCCAGGCTTTTGTGCACATAACATTCCTGCTTAATGGGTGAAAAATTCCTCACGTTCTTAAGGAAGAGAAATTCCTGAAGAAAGAAGCATAGCAACTTTAATGAAATGGCTAACAAGAGTATCCAGGCGAATGGTATTGCACATCTTCAAAATTGCTACAATGAATGCCAGGAAGAATTTCTCACACTTAGTTCCTAGAAAAGAACACAAGATAGAATTCTTTGTTGTATGGTTCAATTAATTGGGATTAGGAGAGATGGATTCATTGGCGGAGCAAACAGTGACACAGTTGAAATAACCTCCTAATGTGTCATAGATTTATATGATTCTGTGGCTCTAACTTTGAAAATGCCACAGACTTGATCACTATTTAATCACTTTCATGCACAAGCTTCAATTCAGTGATATATATATATATATATAACACTCAAACTATTTTCTTCATTCTTAGTTTTTATTTACAAACAAAATATATTTCTACTTTAACCTAGGTTTCTAAATTAGTTTCTGATAGGGCAAGATAAAATAAGAAGTAGTTTTCCTTCAGAATGGCAAATAATAGATTCTAATTGTAGAAGATGGCACATTATGCAATGGCCTTTTGTTATAGCACCGATGCTCTTTTGTTTAAATCTCTTAATGTCTAACATTGGAATCTGACTCTCACATGCATGCGGTATCATCAATTCTCATTTTGTCACCAATTATGACATGCTTACTCAGAGGAAACAGTATGACTCCTATCTTTTCATACATGCTGTGGTACTGAGGGCAAGGTTATGGAACTCTCTGCTCCTCATACTTTATGTGCTCTTTGAGCGGAGGAGTGATGCTGGAGAATTTACCATACCATTTTACCAGAGAAGATAAAATGGATAAATATGATACAGAATGATCCCTGAACTTATGATCAACTTTGATAAGGTCAGAACTGTCCACTACACAAAATCATCAAATTCTTCAAAAACAACATCTAACTTGAGGATTATTGTTATTAATTAACATCAACATGCTTTCTTTACAATTCCAACCCAAGCAAATTAATCTTCCTACTTCCCATTTCAAACAAAAATGAAAAATGATTGAATGATAATAAAAACAAATGTGGTCACTCAGTCCACCACTGTTTGTGGGGCACTGCTGTGTGCAATTGGCTGCAGTTTTTCGCCCACAAAATATAGTCAATTCCTTTTTACCGTATATTCTGTGAAGTGCTTTGAGATCTCTCAACGACATAAGGTACTATATCAAATGCAAGGATTATTATTATTATTAAGCCTCTAGGCAAAAAGATTGTTTATGAACTGGGCAGTCTTTATTTTTTTCAAAAACGAATGTTAGTAAAATAAACACATTGCGTGTTATTTTATTGGTTCAGAGGAAGAAATTATATTAAATCTTCTTTCTGGTCCATTGACTACTATCTTTGTTTCTCCCTGTGATTTCTGGTCTCAACATCTTCTGGGAAGGATAAATAAGCTCAGAAACATAGTCTGAACTTAACTACAGCACTGCCATCAGAATGCACCAGGTTAGATATTCACTCTAAACCATCAGCAGGGAGTAAGGGAGCAGCGCAAATAAGAATTCAAATAGGAAGATGGCAATTCACTGTCCATCTTTCACTTCTATTATCTTGGCAGAACATCCCACAAAATATGCCATTCACTTGCTGATTTGGGATCTTACTTGGTCATGGAGAAGTATGTGTCTTCTTCCAGGTTCCCTTGGGCTTTTCAGCCAATTTCTCTTTGATTTTGACATTTTCCTCACACATGAGAAGGACTTTTAAGTTATAAAAGGGAATAGCTAACCCAGGTATTGATTGGAGGATCTGTACGATCATTACTCCTTTAAGAATCTCAAATATCAATAGCTCTCTGAAGGAACGATTTTAACAATAGTCCTTGCATTTTAATTATAATGTTGCTTATAATTATTATTTATATTTATGTATGCTATAATTTCCTCAGAGCCTAAAATTTAAATTACAAGTTTAGAAGTTGGAATGCTTTCCTTTCTTTAATCCATTGCAATAAACAATCTCCCTTTAAAAAGACCTAAAGTATGATAGCGCACTCATCTTCTTGTGGAATTTAATAATAATAATAATCCTTGCATTTGATATAACGCTTTTCACATCGGGAGGACGTCCCAAAGCGCTTCACAGAACACACTGTAAAGTGAACTGACTGTATATTTGTGGGCAAATGCGGCAGCCAATTGCACACAGCAATGTCCCACAAACAGTCGTAGATTGAAAATGACCAATTTATTATTGTTTTTGGAGGGATTATTATTAGGCGTGTGGAGTAAGGAAACTTGCCCAAGGTTTCGCTCTGCCTGGAATTGAACTCAGGTCTCTCGCTTTCAAAGTGAGTGCTCTAACCACTGAGCTACAGGACTCCACGATTTAAAGAACAATTTAAAAGAGCAACTGTCACATAAAGCTATTGCTCTCTTAAGTCACTCACCTGAATAATGAGGTCCAATCAGCCACCGGAGACTCAAGAGTTGAATGGGTTTCAAGGAGTGATGAGATGTGGTTTCCATCAGTAGGTCCCATGTCTCTTGTTAAACTTGCCTGATTCACTAATTGAAAATATTTAGCATCTTTAAGAGGGATAATTACACAAAACTGAGACTCATTTATATGTCCCAATGCATTTACAAAATAAAGCCCTTATGGGCTAACTAACCTCACTGTAATGTGATTTCAGGTATTGGTGCAGTTATATTTCACCACTGGATGTCTTTCATAAAGGTTAAATAATCACACTATAATATCGATGGACGTAGTATTGCTAATTTTTTGTCAAGGGTCCCAATCCAAAGCAGGGCCTCCCTTGAGGCACTCAAATGTAACCACATTTCACAACATTAGGAACTGAGCTTTGATTTCATTTATGTCACTCTGACTGGTAGCTGGATAAGCAGTTCTCCACAAGAAGAACATATATTTGTTTTTACATAGGTCCCTCTTCCTTGTTTTAGGAAAACTGAGATATCTTTGCCTCCTCTGTGCCTTCTTTTGCTGGAGATCAAAGAAAGGAGAACATCAATGTTCTCACTCAAAATCCCACAGCAGGGTAATAATTAACCCCATAATTTTAAAATGTTTTCATTAGATTAGGATTTTGTAAAAAAAATTTGGTCCAATTGTCATTATACGCTTACGCATGCGAACTTGTGTGTTTGTATGAGGGGAAGGGGTAACATTTTTGATTCTTTGATTTATGCAAGTATCCTTTTTGTAAATATATCTGGATTCTATCTCAATGTATTCTGTAAGCGATAAGTAACAGTAATTTTGTGCTTTTATTTAAATTAGCAATTTTTATGCTATACTTTCATCATTTAAAAAAATTAAATGCACTATTCAATCATCTCTTCAGAGTGTGCGTGAATGTGTTTAAGAGCAATATTTCTACTTGTTTTTCATAGTTACAGATTTCCATGTTACTTATCAATTATTAATGATCCATGCCATCTCCAAATGTATAGCCTAACCATAGGAAGTCCCAAATGCTCACCGGCCAATTATAGGTCAAACTTGTGTTTTTTGTCATAGTATCATTAACATTGATTATCAGCTGTGCTCCCTGCAGCTCCGGTTTTAATGCCATCATCTGCCAGATGGTGAAAACAAGGTAACCTAATCTTAGAATTAGAGCTAAGCTGGTTAGAAATGAGATCACGAAACATTTCGTTACACAGGTTGTGATTATGTGGAATGCAATACCCTAGAAGGCTGTGTGGAATGTATCAATTTGGATTTTAAATGATAGATATGTGCGAAGTTGTTGTTCGGAGAAATGGCAAGGTAATGGAACTAAAAGATCTGCCATGATCTAACAAACTTCTTGACACATAATCAAAACATGTGTGAAGAAATGTTTTATGATCTCATTGCTAACCAACTTAACATTGTGAGTCTAACTCTGTCTGCTCCAAACACAATGCTATTTGGCCACAATTTGCCATATTTATTTATAATAAAATATTGATTCAATTTCTTTTTAAGGGACATTAAACAATACATACTGGTGAAGAAAGGTATGTGTTGAGTTTCCAGAACTGTATTAGCTAGAGGTGCTGTCCTTCCAATAAGATGTTAAAACAAGGTCCTGTCTGCCCATATGCATTGACATTAAAGATCCCATCACAATATACAAAATTGGCTACGTTTTTGCCTACAAAATAGTCACTCCACTTCACAGAAAATCCTGTGATGCCTTTGAGATGTCAAAGATTATTGTAACTGGCTTGATTTCAATAGCCATTGCCACAAGTGTTCCATATCCTAATAATTCTTTGTGTAAAACTTTTTAGATCTTTAATGTTATGAGTATTCTTGTTTTTCGCCTTGTCAATAGTAACCACACAGGCAACCTAAATATCATGAACCTGTTTGTGGGAGTAATACAATAAAAAATTATATTTTTAAAGCACCTTTCACATTGTGAGGATGTCCCAAGGTGCTGAACAGTCAGGGGTTAGAACCCAAGTGAGGATGGTTGGGAACAGGGAGGGTGGAGGTCAGAGGATTGGAGGGTGGCCAAAGGCACTGTCAAAGAGGAGGGTCTTGACCCGTGCCTTGAAGGAGGCAAGGGAAGCAGTGAGTAATAACTAGGTTTACTCTGTAGAAAGATAAAAACGGGGCAGAGCAAGACCAGACAATTTCCACTCATGTCTGTGCTGTTTACCTGCCCAATTCATAAATTTTCAACACAGCAAAAGAACCAATACATATTTACACATTTCCATGGGATGACAGCAAATTAGTCATGAAAGACCGTTAAGAATATCAGTCCGCTAAGTAGGTCCAAGTACAAAACCATAACAAATCGTTTTATTTTCCTGCCATTTCTGTTCAAATTTGGATGTTTTGTTGATCAAGTTACCTTTTGACTCTTAAGTGTGAGAAGAGTGCACAAGTTACTCTCAAAATTATGTTTAATCCAAATGCCAAATTCATTTGTTTGAGTTACAGATCAAGCTTCATGACCAAAAACGCCTTTACCATTCACAATTCCCACCTGGTGTACAGTTCTGAGGTACCAACAGCGATTTAGATCCGTAGGCCAAATCAGTATTCTTCAATAAAGAATACCAGAGATGACCTTTGGCAAATCCCATGAGTGAGAGTTACAAACCAACTCCATACTTTAGCCATTGCTTCACACATAAATATGATGAAAAGCAGCAAGATACGTTTTTCACAAAATATGACCTATCTGTGCTTTCAAGTTCACTCTCCTGCTCCAAGACACTGATTTTAGATATTGCTAGAAGCAGATTTGCAGCTTCTGTCACATACTGAGCAAATCAAAGCATCAGAAATTACTTGATATCAGACCAAGAAGGATAACATCAACTATTAAACCAGATGCTTGAAAAAAAATTCTGGTGGCCCTGCGATTCACTTTTTACTTAATGTGAATAGCTAACTGAATACTATAATGATTTTTTTCAAAATAGAACCATAGATCATGGGAGGCTAATGAGCAGTAAAGCAAATTACTGTTGAGGGTTATGGAATTTTAAAAAATTAACAAATCTGGTCTCAGTAAATATGTAGATGCTATAATTTAAGATTACCAAGTCAATTTTAAGTCCTTCCATTACACAAAACAGCTGCTCTTAGGCTCACTAGATTATGAGACAGGTATCTGACAGCAGACAGCTGCATAGGGGTGAAAACATTACAAATACTATTCTGAGAAGTTTTGTAAATAGCCTACCTACCAAAAATGTAAAAACTGCAAAAATGCATTATACTTTAAAAGCATATTGCTATTCAGAAATATTTAATATATGTATTTAATGAACAATTACACATAATATGTAATATACTCCTTACATTTGATATAGTGCCTATCACATTGAGACATCTCAAAGTGCTTCACAGAATATATTGTAAAGTGTAACAAATGTATTTTGTGGGTGAAACCAGCAGCCATTTGCGTACAACAGAATCCCACAAACAGTCATGGGTTGAGTGTACAATTTATTTGTGAGATTATTACTCCCTAAATATTAAATATGTTCCTCATAGCCATTCAAGTGGGATCAGCTTTGAAGCAAACTGAAAATAATTCTCATGCTCAGAAATTTCAAACACCTGTTTACATGCAATATAATTGAGACATCCTGGAACTAATATTGCCTCATTTGAGATCGCTCCCTTTTAAGATAAATTGGTACGGATCCAAAAACCTCAGAAAATCACTGTCCACTATATCCAGGTCAGCTTCTGTATCCTATAAACATCACTGACCACATTTGTTGCTCCAAATATTCTAATTAATGAAAAGCTACTGCAAAATTATACAAAAACTTCAAATAAAATGTCCACACAAAACAAATTTAAATTATTTTAAACAAACCCTTTAAATTATGACTCCAGCTCAAGAGTTAAACTAAAACTGATCTATTGAGTGCTCACCCTTACAAAAAGGCTGTAGTTTTATGCATTGTATATAGCATGCATCATTGTGGCATGGAGAATATGATTTTTAATTAACTGAAAACATTTTCTGGACATGCAATATTTGACAGCTATGTTTGGCTGCCTGGCAGAGCTTTCCTTTTATCCAGCACTGGAACCACGTCCAGTTTTGCCATTTGTGGACAAAGATGCCAAGAGACAAAAGCATGCGTTTCCCATAAATAGCTCTGACTAACATGAGGCTTGCTCACAGGGTACAGATCAAATTCTCTACCAGGAGAGCAACTGTTGGCTTTGGTCCAAACCCAGTAACTTGATAGCAGGGTAATAGAACTGCTTTGCTAGTCTTTACATGCAAACGTTTTATATCTTGTCCAGCTCATTCATTCACACTTGTATTCAAAAAAGATAGTATATTTGTTTCTACACTCCATTTGAATTAGCCACATCTAGTTGAATTAGTTGAAAGTATACATTCTTTCAACATGTACAACTTAAATAGAATGTAAATTCTAAACGTTTACTCAATGTTTTATTCATTTGAATTTTTGAAAAATCTATATTGGCAAATCAAGTCAAAACCATTCTATCTGAATGCAGGTTTCTATTTCAGTGGGTTTTGGAAAAGGTGATGTATCATTTTCCACCTAACTTCGGTGAAGCCCCCCAAAAAAGTATTTACTATTTTTTGTTAAATCTGTTCTGACTTTCGCTCTTTTGTCTATATAATTGCAGCTATAAATCAACCAGTTTGGTTACAGCACAAGGTTTACGTCCATTTTGATGACATTTCTTTGAAAAATGCACTAAATTGTGGTATTATTCTAGTTTGCATTTCTGTTTTAATAGCTGAATTTCTCGACCTCTATTATTTAATAGACATGATTATTTAATAAGCTTTCATTAGAATCTACTGAAAATAAATCAGAAATATCTTAAGACAACATGGCTAACTTATTACAATTGGTTATTTTAAAGCTGACTGTTTAAAATATATCAAATGATAGTGTAAAGGCAAATGATGCTATTCCTATTGAATACTTAAGATAGGAATGGTTTGACAGAGGCATTATAAAGGGATTTTTTCATTGTAATGAATTTTGTAAAGAAGTCTTGAATCATTTCTAATTCTGTAATCTTGCAATTGTTTCTCTCCTGTAAGTTTTTTTTTAAATAAAGTTGATTTAAAGGGGAAAACTTTACCTCCTAGAAGTTTAATTTATCTATTTATTGATATCAAGAAAGTATTTCAAATGAAATAAGGTCAGGGGAAAAGATTGTGATAATACTGACAGATGTGCACAATTGTGGACATCTGATGCATAATTTTAACATTTGAATACTTTCCTAATGAAACCCCCAAAAAACCTTGAACCTCATCCTCTAAATCTCCAATTTGTAAGTCCTGTAGCTTGGTTAGAGCACAAACGAGAAGACCTGGGTTTGATTCCCGGTCAGGGCAAAATCTTAGGCAAGTTTCCTTACTCCATGCACCTGTTTACCTAGCATTAAATTGGAACACGGTTGTTAGTCAATTGGCAGATCACTTTCTGTCAAAATTCAAAAAAAATTTGGTCACTCAATCCACGACTGTTTGTGGGACACTGCTGTGCACAATTGGCTGCTGATTTTGTCCACAAAATATAGTCAACCACTTTACAGTATATTCTGTGAAGCACTTTGAGACGTCTCAATAAAATAAGACATTATTTCAATGCAAGTATTATGTGCAATTCCATTTAAATCTGCAATATCTGTAACCTGGAAATACCAGTTTTGAAGATATCCAAAATATTCAATAAACATAACATGAAATGCTCCAGTTTCACAACCAGCAGTTTTCATGTACTAATGCTTAGACAAAGTGCAGTTTGGCATTTTGCTAGCAATGCATCACTAGTCGCAAAAATGAAAACAAACCACTTGGTAATAAGCAATAATTTTATTGTAAGCACTGCTATATTTTGATCTCAATGACAATATTCCATTTAAGGCTCTTGTAATACAGTAACTGCCATCATGCCTGATTTGCAAATCTGTTTCAATGTTCAAAGAAAACTAATATGGTAAAGGTTGACTCCCACTTTTGTTCAGTGTACATTTCACTGGAAACTAAGGGCATCATTAACAGCTATTTCTTTAATAGTTTGTACAACCAGAATGAAAACTCAAAAGCTACTGGTGATGCAATTACAACTACAGAAAGTTAGTTGGCATTCCTTAGATTTTGATTCTTTTAAGAGAACAAAACAATTACAAAAAAAGTTTCTGATGCATAGTGTAAACACAATCTGCCATGACACAAAGCTAGACTATCAAGGCAGGAGTGGTTTATTAATGCACAAGAGCCTCATGGAACTATAATCAAGTGCAACTTGAACAATTATAATACTGAATTAGTGGCTACCACCTGAACAGTGGACAAAACTCGCATTGTTTGATTATCATTAATGTTTCTAAACTACTCACATGAATGTTCACATTCATTCAACAAGGAATGCATGCAACGCCAATGGTTTTGGCTAGAATGAATGACGTGAAAGCATTCCTTGAGGATCTACATAAAAACTACAGGAATCAAACAGTCGAAGGGCAACAGCTGGTTGACTGTTTTTAAATCGAAATCTCATTGCATGAATCAAGAAAAACCTAAAAACTATTCCAACTTTGATCAAATGATATCAGAGCTGCAGAAACGGAAGCTCCGTGGATCAAGATGGCACTCGTTTATCATTTTACAAGGCTATTTCTTCAAGTGAAATCACAGAGTTGCCCCCCAACTTCTCTGCAAGGGTTCTGCGGTCCTGAATTTCATCTAAGCCATTAACTTGCCATTCATGTTTAATACCTGAAAAACAAACATAATGTCAGAGCATGTTATTTCACACCAGCAAAATTCAGCAATAATTTCATGCATATTGTTGAATAAGAATTAAAAACCTGTCAATCTCTTTTTAATGCTATCCTTTGAACTAGCATATATCATCTTGCTTTTAAGTGATGCACCTTCTGGAGCCCTACAATAAGAAAGAGGGAGAAAATGAAATCAGTTTCCAGCATCCAATACATGCTTGATATCTGTAGAAGAGTCTACATGAGTTTCCAGCAAATAAATCAAAGCTTTAAATGTAGAAAAACTACTGCATACCAGAATATAAATACCAAATCTTCTTTCTTGGATTCTCTTGTCTCATATGTAGCATCATACAAAGCATAACGACAGTCATTCAACGGTAGTAACTTGACAAAAGTTGCATAGGGGTCCGCCACATCATCACCAACCAAAATCTCTTTATTTTTCTCCACAATGATCTCTTTTTTGTTATCACTAAGAACGAACAGCACTCCCTTCTTTCGTTTTTTGATTTCTTCAAGTGTTGATGATTTTCTTACTTTCATCTCATTGAATACCTTGATAACATCTTCATTTACTCTTACTCCAGAGGCCTAATTGAAAACAGCAAGAATAAGCACATACACAAGAATAAGTACACACTCATTCATAATGACACTTACAAGCCCAAATAACACATCACTCAACCATACTTTTAAAGTAACTAAAGCATAAACCAAACGCCCTTACGTTCGCAAATTGCAATAATTGACGTTCAATGCTACACGTTTTTTTTGGGGGGGGGGGGGTGAGAGCCAATTACAGGTTTTCACTGCGCGAAGTTAAGGTTCTTCTGTACCAAATGAGCACATGCAAAGTATCCCTCACAACTATGCAGTTGATTCTGACAAATTACAGCAAATTGTGGTGATGCGACAGATTGGGAAGGGAGGGGGGGGGGGGGGGGGGGGGGAGGAGAACCAGAGAAGAAAGAGACCAACGTGTGCAACAAAAGAAGCAAACCACAGCCCTCACACGCTTAATGATGCTCTTGATGACATGCATTTTTAGAGATAAAACCGCAAACCATACAAATTATCCAGGGAGGAATACTCGAGTCAGTTCTCCTCTTCCCCCCACCCCCAAAATATCTCAAATGGTCCATCGGTGAAAACGTTAAGAGGACAAAAAAAAATTGTTGGGAAGAGGGGGGGGGGGGGAGGTGGAAAGAGATACACTGACCTCCAAGATTTGAACAACACTATATGGTGGCGCAGAGATATTGTATTTAGCCGTTGGGTCTATCGTTATTATATTTATCGTTATTATATTTAATTTTTTTTAAAAAAACCATTAAATTCAACGGATTTGATAAACAGAATAGCGTCGGCTCCCGGACACAGAACGACTTGGAAACCCATATATATATACACACACACACACACATATACACAATAAACATATAATAATTATAAGCCATTTGATTTGCAAATCACGCCGTTCTCGAGATTTTCCCCTCGGCCCCCCCACTTGCCACAATTTAAATTTCGCGAAGAATAAACGAAATCAAGTCCTTGTGAAAATCTCCCCCCCACCACCCACCCACCCACACACCCACACAACCACCACGTAAATCTATATGACACGACAAGATAAGTAAGGGGTTTAAAGGAGAGAAAAGCCCACATTAGTCGGGACCGTTGTATTTCTCCCCTCTCTCTCTGTGTGTGTGTGTGTGTGTGTCTGTGGTGGGGGGTGGGTGGGGGTCAGTGGTGTGGGATTCTCTCCTGATCATGGCCGCCAGCCTCAGCCCTTTTCTCTTTCCAACGATAAACACAACGAAAAACCGCAGAGGACAAGAGAAGAGAGTGAGAGAGAGAGCCCGAGACCCCCGCCATACCACAGGAGCTAATCCCCTCTCCCCCCCACCCCCCCCTCCCGCCGCCACACACCACCACCACCACATCTTCCCCCATTTACGAAAAAAAACCCCACGAGAAGGAACGACGTCTGACCCGGGCAGACGGTTATTATAATTATAATAATAATAATAATTATTCGCCCAGAACTAACAAAAAGATGTTTAATATAAATATATATATATATATATACACACACAATTATACATATATATATAAAAAATGGAGACGGATTTTTTTGTGTGAGAGGATGAGAGGAAAGAAAGAGAGAGGGAAAAGATACCGCATACCGAGGGCGAGGATACCCAAGCGGTTCCCCCCCACACCCACCCACCCCCACCCGCGTTGGCCCAACCTGTTCCCCACTCCCCCCCCAACCCCCACCCCCCACAAGCGCCAAACTCGTCCTTTACGCCCAGCGCCCGCCCGCCCGCCCTCTCCCCGTCCTCGTCCCCGTCCCGTTGGACGGACGTGAGAGAGTGAGGAAAAGATGCCGGTCACTGGCTACTGCATCGCCGCGGCTAAAATTAGGTTAAAATGGCCGCCCCAAGCGGCTTCCCCCCCAACCCCCCCACCCACACCCCACCCCACCTCACACAGTTACCTCTCCCCCCATTCTCTAACCCGCCCTCTCCCCACGAGCATCACTCAACGATAAAACCAAACCTCAGGGTGTTAAAGAATAGGGGGGGGAGAGAGAGAGAGGGGGGGGAGTAGAACAGGAGGGTTTATTCCCCCATCCAAACCCTCCCCCCCTCCGGGGAGGATAGATAAGGAAAGATAAAGAGCGCTCAGTCCGGCACTGACCGACGACTCTACTCACCATTTCGAACGGTAGTCGGGATCAAGTGGTACGCGCTCCGAATCCGCTGCGACCGTTATTTAAGTGCACGGGTGGGGTGGGCGTGACCATTCACAAGAGCGGTGGGGGCGTCATGGAAGAAGGGGGGGGGGGGGAGTGCAGTGCAGTGCGGGGAGGAGGGGAGAGGGGAGAGACGCGACAGAGCAACCGCGAGCGGCACCACCACCACCACCACATGGTACAGCTCTACTCTGACCCCCCCCCCAGCAACCTGCTAAACCCTGCACCTGCACCCAATCTACACCCATCCACAACGTGGGGATAAGTGCGATTTGCCTGCGCTGCCCTCCTCCCTCTCCTCCCCAGCGCACGGTCCAAGGTATTCATGGTGTCCACACACAGCGTCTCCTGACCAACGGTGCGCACTGTGATGTATATACACACACACACACACACACAGTCCCGCTAATGGTGCATTACCGTTACATGCACCGAGTCCGCTAAATGGATGCGTTGTTTAACGCAGGCTGGTTTGGGATGCATTTTGTGCGCCGGGTGTATGCACAGAGTCGGCTGATGGTGCGCACAAAACACACCCCAAACCAGCCTGCGTTCAACAGCCCAGTGTACTGTACATAGAAATCCATCTGCAACCATGTGCTTTATACGCCTACCCAACAGAGCTAACATTTGAGGGATGCACACAACGAGACAAAATCTGCTATAAGGAGGCGCCCAATAGACACACACAGCAGCGGCTGGTGATGCGCAAAATACATATGAATTTGAATCTGCTAATCATGTACCCAACATATAAACAAAACATACTAATGTTGCACAAAGTATGTACACTCCACAGCCTGTATAAATGCATTTATCCCAGTTTTTGTTGGAATATGGCCACCAAATTTCATACTACTGCACTATGCATGAAGATTACTCCTGAAAAGTACAAAAATCGCTCAGTAAAACAGCACTATATAATAATAATCCTTGCATTTGATATAGCTCTTTTCACGTCTTCTCGACATCTCAAAGCGCTTCACAGAATAGACTGTAAAGTGAATTGACCGTATATTTGTGAGCGAAACGCGGCAACCAATTGCGCACAGCAATGTTCCACAAACAGTCGTGGATTGAAAATGACCAATTTATTATTGTTTTTGGTTTTGGAGGGATTATTATTAGGTGTGCGGAGTAAGGAAACTTGCCCAAGGTTTCGCCCTCTGCCTGGAATTGAACCCAGGTGTCTCGCTTGCAAGGCGAGTGCTCTAACCACTGAGCGATAGGACTCCACTTCAGGGAGTAATCGGGGAGCGGAGTTTGGTACAGGTAAGAATGCGGGCAGCAGAATTCTGGATGACTTGGATTTTATGAATGATAGTGGAGGGGAGACCGGCGAGGAGGGCATTTGAATAGTCCAGCCGAAAGGTGACAAAGGCATGGACCAGGGTTTCGGTGGCTTTTGGGAGAGATGGGCAATGTGTCAGAGGTGGGAGAAAGTGGTGCTGGTGAGGGACCAGATGTGGGGAAGGAAGGATAATTAGGGGTCGAACCTGACATCTAGGTTGCATACGGGTTTGGAGAGTTTTAGGGTGAGGTCGGGTAGGTGGAGGAGGTGAGAACTGTGCAACTTAAGATGTTGACGAGAGCCAAAGAGTATGGCTTCTGTCTTGTCAACATTTAGCTGAAGGAAATTCGCGCTCATCCAGCTCCTGATGTTTGACAGGCAGGCTGACAGAACAGGGGACTGGGGGGTCGCAAAGTGAGGTGAAAAAATAGAGTTGGGTGCCATCCGCGTACATGTGGCTGCACACTCAACCTCACTAAGCCAGTCAAGAACCTGGGTGTCTTGTTTGACCCTGAACTGTCCTTTCTCCCCCACATCCGCACCATGACCAGCACTGCCTACCACCACCTCCGCAGCATTGCCAAGACTCCGCCACTGCTTCATCCCTACTGAAACCCTCACCACGTATTCGTCACATCAAGGCTCGATTACGGAAACTCCCTCTTCATCAGCCTTCCCAACTCTTCCCCTCACAAGCTGCAGATCATCCAAAACTCTGCAGCTCATGTACTCTCGCGCACCAGGCTCTACAACCCCATCACCCCCACCCTCACCCAACTCCACTAGCTCCCCATCCCTCAGAGGATCGAATTCAAGATCCTCGTCCTCACTTTCAACGCCATCCATGGCCTTGCCCCCTCCTACCTCTCTGATCTGCTGACTTCCTACCAACCTGCCCCTCCCTCCGTTCAGTGGGCTCCGGTCTGCTCCATGTCTCCTGCCCGACCTGCCCTACCATCGGTGGCCGGGCTTTCAGCCTCTCTGCCCCCACTCTCTGGAACTCCATCCCACGGTCCCTTCACCTCGCTTCCCCCCTTGCCTCCTTCAAGGCTGGTCTCAAGATTGTGCCTTTGGTCGCCCTCCCACACTCCTACACCACCCCTCCCCCATGCTCGGGCCCCGACATCTGACTGTTCAGCACTTTGGGACATCCTCCCGACGTGAAAGACACTCTATAAATGCAATTTTGTTGTTGTTACCGTTAGGTAAACAGAGGCGCGTGGAGTACAGCAATTTGCTCAACATTTTGCCCTGCCGGGAATCAAACCCAAATCTCTCACTTGTGAGACAAGTGCTCTAATCACTGAGCTATTATTGTAACTGGGGGGGCTTGCAGCGGAAGGAGTCAGTGAGCGATGCGAGGGGAGCGAGGTGTTGAGGATGGTGGTGAGGGAGTTATGCAAGAGGTAACGTACGAATAACTTACAATAATTTCTTAAAAGAAAATATTTGCACATAATATAATGGATTGCTGACACTTTAAAAAATGAATTGGAGGATACATTTATTGGAATGTTTGAGCGGATGTTAGCTAGCAATAATAACAACACATTGTCCATGTTTCCATTACAAGGTTTTGTCAGGATATTTATCTTTGTTACTGACTTTGTATCAAAACGTAGAAGCAACTATTGACCTCAGAGTTGCAAAAGCGCTGTGTCAGGTGGTGGAGTTTGGTGTAAGAATGACCACATTTCTTTTCATAGCATATCTCAAATTATGAAATCACTACAGATTTATTAATCAAAAAATGCAGTTTCACACTACAATTTCTTGAGTGTTTAACAACAAAAGGAACTTGAGTTCAGGACATGTTGCATTTGAAGTTTGTGAAATAACAATTTGTAGTTGGGAAAGGCAGTCTGGCGTGATTCTGGTTTTCATTTATGCAGTTCACATTTAGAAAAAATCCTGGATACAGGTCAGCAAGATTCTCTTTCTCATAAAGCAAATAAGCAGGTCATTTATTTAATTCGGTATTTGAAGTACTTCATGTTTGGCTTCAAAACTAGCTGTTTATCAATCAGATGATAATAATAGTAACAAAATAAAGGTTTCAAAGAATACATTTCATGAAGCAGGATTCTGGTAAAACTCAGTGAATGGAATGATTATTGGTACTTAATATATACCCATTGTATATTGGGGGCAAATATTAGATATTATAATTCATAACCTATATTTTCTGGAAAATATACATCAAAACAGTTCATCCACACAACTCTCACATGTTAACCTAAATTGCCTGTTCCCTTACACTAAATTAAATATCTGGTTTAAATGCTATAGTTAAGACAGCTGAGTGCGTGAAAGTTACTCTCTGGTATAGCACAGAGCCATACATACCAAAAATTAATTTTACAAACTGTTAAGATCAGTGGTATCTCAGACGACTTGAATACTGTAAGATTCTATTTGTGTTGGAGTGAAGACCTGTAGTATGTTGGTTAGAGACAGGTTTGAGATATTTCAAAGCGCTTCTCAGCATTTTTCTGTGAAGTGAAGTAGCTGTATTTCTAGGCGAATGCAGCAGCCAATTTGGCACAGCAATTTCTCGATGGAGTAACCCATTTTATTTGGGGGATTCTTGGACAGGACACTGGGGAAAATTCCTTTCTCTTTTTAGATAATGCCATGGAATCTTTAACGTCTACCTGAACAGGCATGTTCACGTTTTTCATCTTATTTGAAGGATGGAAGGAGGGATGGGTGGAGGCCAAAGGGGAAGGGGCAGAGAGGAGAGGGGAGAGATGGCAGAAGCAGAGGCGGCAGAATGGATCCTTTCGATTTGCAACTACAAATTTGAAATTGGAAATGAGGATGGAAGGAGCATGGGAGAATGGCAAAAGGAGGTAGTGTGTGATTGAAAAAAAGAACCTAGCTTATTCTTTGGCCTCCAAGACAATCCTCGAGTAGACAGATGGATATGTCATGACATGGACGGAGTCATGATCCAGCCAGATCTGGCAGTGGTTCGTATGACCAGATTTAAGCCATGTGAGTTCGGCAACTTTAGCCTGGGATTTGAGAGTTTGGTCATGGCTGTTGTAATCATGATAATAATCCTTGCATTTGATACAGCGCTTTATCACGTCTTCGAGACGTCTCAAAGCGCTTCGCAGTGCAAAGTGAATTGATTGTATAATTTGTGGGCGAAACAAGGCAGCCAATTGCACACAGCAGTGTCCCACAAACAGTCATGGATTGAAATGACTGATTTTTTTTTTGAAGGAATTATAACCCCTGGAAAAGTGATCTGCCAATCGAATAACAACTGGGTTCCTACTTACTGCTAGGTAAACAAAGGGGTGTGGGGTACGGAAATTTGCTCAACATTTTGCCCTGCTGGGAATTGAACCCAGGTCTCTCGCTTGTGCTCTAACCACTGAGCTATGTTGTAAATGGGGGAACTTGCGGCGGTAGAAGTCGGTGAGCGATGTGAGGGGAGCGAGGTGTTGAGTATGGTAGTGAGGGAGTTATGCAAGAGGATGTAAAGTACATATAACTTACAATAATTTCTTAAAACAAAATATTTGCACATAATGTAATGGATTGCTGACACATTAAAAAATGAATTAAGAGCATACATTTATTGGAATGTTTGAGCTGACATCACAGAAATTAATCTGTTTAGCTCAAGTTTCCAAATAAGGTTTTGAAATAATATTTATCTTTATCACTGACTTTGTATCAGAACGTAGTAGCAAACTTATGACCTGAGTTGCAAAACTGAAGAATATTTGCTGTTACAAATTGATATTTTTTCAAATATTTGAATGAACATATTTGTCTAAGGTTCTTGAAATTGTCGTCGCCTCCCAGCTGCGCTCATTCCTCTCCACCCATTCACTTTTTGAACCCCTCAGGTCGGGTTTCTGTGCTGCCCATAGCACGGAAACCGCTCTGGTCAAGGTCACTAATGACATCTTGACCATCTGCGATCAGGGCTCCCTCTGCCTCCTCGTCCTATCGGCCACATTCGATACGGTCGAACACTCTATCCTCCTCCACCGCTTGTCCTCCCACCTCGACCTTCAAGGCCGTGTCCTACCTCTCCCAATGTCTTCATTTTGTCTCCGCTAATGGCTTTTCCTCCAGCCCCCACACTGTCTTGTGCGGAGTCCCTCAGGGTTTTGACTTGGTCCCCTCCTCTTCACCCTCTATATGCTCCCCCTTGGTGACATCATCCGCAGACATGCGGTTAACTTCCAACATGTATGCGGATGACACCCAACTCTACCTTGAAAAGCGCTCTATAAATGCAATCTTGTTGTTGTCATAGTTAACAAATGAGGGTACCAAAATTTTGAAATATTCTACTAACAATCATTTTCCTTGGTAAACTAAAATGTTTGTTTTCTGGTTAAGATATTTTACTGAACATTTCAAAAATATTTTGACGAGAATCATATGTACAATGTTTTCTTTGTCCAGTCTGCACAGTTCGGTTGAATACTCCATTGGCATTACTGGTGTTGGCTGGGGTTCAACTTCAGAAAATATTTTATATGCATTCCATGCCACAAGCATTCACTGCTGCGTACAATACACTTATAGGAAGCTGTGACTTTAGTTGTACAATAATAGATAATTCAAAGAAAAGTGTTTTTGCCTGAAAGCTATCTGATAGGCTGCAAGGAAATACTGAAAATTTTCACACTTGGGATTCAGACAGCTTGCATTTATACAGGGGCTTCACCCAGGATCATGTCTCAGAGTGCTGACTTGTGTGAAACCTTTGCTGTGGACGAGAGCATGCTGAAAGCTATGGTGTGAAAGATGTTATACAAATACAATTTGTTGTTTGCAATAGTAATTTTATACTAATCAGTAATAATAATTTGATTTAGCACCTTATCACATTAATGAGATGTCTCAGGGCACTTCACAGAATGTAAAGTGAATTGACTGTATTTTGAATGCCAAATAAATGATAAACTTGTGTGATTTTTAAAAAAGTCTGTCAGATGTATGTCAACACCTACATTAGGGTGTTTTCTTATCCAGATCTCACAGGTTAAAAACTAAGAACATGATTTTTTGAGGTTGGAATGTAATGTACAATGCATTGTATAATAATATAATGTTCCGCACAATTTGTGGTCTGCATGGATGGATTATAGTTCAGAGAATCCAGTCAACCAAGTCAATAAAGAATCAAAAGGGTTTCAATTGCATTCCCATAGTATATGCATTTCCAAAAGTCTTGTCTATTTTAGTTCTCCAACATATGGAGTCCTGTAGCTCAGTGGTTAGAGCACTCGCTTTGCAAGCGAGAGACCTGAGTTCAATTCCAGGCAGAGGGCGAAACCTTGGGCAAGTTTCCTTACTCCACACGCCTAATAATAATCCCTCCAAAACAAAAAAAATAATAAATTGGTCATTTTCAATCTACGACTGTTTGTGGGACATTGCTGTGCGCAATTGACTGCCGCGTTCGCCCACAAATGTAGTCAATTCACTTTACAGTGTGTTCTGTGAAGCGCTTTGGGACATCCTCCCGACGTGAAAAGCGCTATATCAAATGCAAGGATTATTATTATTATTTGGCGATCACATATAGATTAAGCTCTTCCATTATTTTGGCCTTCTTCCAATTTTTTTTAAAATGATGATATTGTAATGCCCTGTAGTAAAACCACAGAGATTAAACCAAATGTTTAGGGAACAAGTGCAGCTAATGACTAATTGCTAAGGATCACAATTTACCCCACATATCAGCCCTGCCCTATTTTCTTTATAAACAAAACAGGACATTTTCGTGAAGTGGTTATCACCTGGATCAATAGAAATGTGCAGAACTGTTTGCCCAAAAGTTGCAGGTAAATTTGGAAATGTTGCAGAAAATTCCAGGGAAATTTGAAATATGTTGTGGAAAATTACAGGGAATTGATTGGTGCTATTGAAATAAATTTTACTGTCAACCTACATTTTGTCACTTTATTGTTGAAAGCTAACCTGAGGAATAACATATATTAGATTATTGCAAAACATTATTAATTTCTTCTTTCACAACAAATGAGTAGCCCATGGGGAGTGGGGGGGGGAAAACAAACTATACCAGGGCAGACCCAAAGGGCTTGGAGATCCGCCAAAAAACAGACACTCAGGACCAGTGTTCTGACTGCGGGTCATAGCACTGCACAGACACAGAGACACATAGATTCTCGTAGACAAAGAGATTATATATATATTTATAGACACACACAAGACAAAGGAGAGTCACACATATACACAGAGACACTGAAACACACACACATATAGAATACATATACACACACACATATATATTATACACACACATACACACAGCGAGAAAGCGACACACACACTCACACAATTACAACAGGGGGGNCCTCCGAGTAGAGTGAAATCCATTTCCTACTTGTGCCACACTGTGGATGTGCGTCCAGTGTCATACCACTCGCTGCAGAAAAATTGCGGCCACTTTTCTATTAGCCCAGGTTATAACCTTGGAAAGTGAGGGCATGTGCAACTTACGTGATCACTTTGTGTCATGGTTATTTTCCGTGAAGGCAATACTTTTAATATAGCATTTAGGAGTCTCTCTAACCGAGCCCTAAGTATATTCATTTTATAACAGTGAACACTCGGTAATGATGAACATTCAGTAATGAAAATCCTATGCAGCACACCTGTTCCATAGAACAAGTATTATACTCTAATCTAAAGAGTTGTCAGTAAATTTGGACTTTCATTTCTTGACACTAACAAATAAATTAGGCAACTCAAATGCAGACACTATTTGAGCCAGAAGCCAAATGGAATAAAGAGCTTCATCTGTGGTAGGATTTCAAAGAGCGAAGCATTTCATTCTGCCTGACCAAATGCATTCAAACCCAAGTCCCAGAGGTGGATGTGCAAGCTTAATGCCTCACTAAGTTCCACATCTTTGCCAGTTTAATTGAACATTAATAATGTATTCTTTACCCCTTTAAGTATTAATTGTATCTTTACATTCAACCATCGCTATGCAGCAAACCACATTTATACACACGAGACTGGGGTTACCCTTTTAATGAAAGCATTGTGTTATAAGGTTGTGCCAAATGTTCTTTTAATATACTTAAGCATATTTAAGATATAAATGAACTAATTTATTGACCTGTCAGAGACGAACAATATCAACTTGATTCAATACTCAAACATTTGGTTTTAGCTCCTGTGATAAGCAATGCTATCACTATAAGTGCATTGCAGTCACATCCAATAGACGAGCAGTGCCACGCCCCACAGACAGGCCCCCGGGGTAAACTCCCTTCTCTTTGAGAAGTATATTGAGAGCATTCCAGTTACTCTTAATTATCACAACATTTGCAGTATTATATTCAAACAACAAGTATCTGACAACTTAAACCTTTTATTTATACAAAGAGAAAGACAAAGTCATTTTTACAAAACAAATATCAAATTCAAAAGTGGGTAATGTCAGAAACGTACATCAATTTGGTTCGCGGTTTACATGTTTTAATGGTCATTTGAAAGGACGTGTAAAACGCAAAACAAACTCAGAAAATGAAGCCGAGAGGGGAAAAAAACACAACTCCCCTTATCCCCCCTCCCCAGGTGTCATTCAATTACAGATTTTATAAATACAGGAGAAATTCAACATCCCACAAATTGTTTTCAACACTGAATAAATATCTACTCTATTCCATGGCAGACTGATAGTTCTCATCAGCCAAAAACATATACAGTACTGAAATGATATGTAATCCTCAGTCACTCACGTGTAGTGTAGCATTCTTTTTTTTTTAAAAAACCCTTCACATTTTTCGTTAATAAAAAAACAAAAAGATGTACTTGAGACTTGGTGATTGGAGTTTTCTTAAACAAATTAAGGACTTAATATTTCTTTACAAAATGAGAACGCAAGGAGGGCTTCGCAATTACATTTATAAAAAGTATAGTATCCAAGCTTCTGCTGGAAGACACTACCATGCATGAATGTTACTTCAGAAAAGTACAAAAATCATTCAGAAAAACAGTACTGTATCCAATATACACAAATTATGAAATCTCTACAAATTTGTTATAGCAAAATGCAGTTTCACTCTACATTTTCCTGAGTGCTTAACAATAGAATGAACTCAAGTCCAGTGCAGGTTGCATTCAAGGTTGTAAAATAAAGGTTATTGCAGTTTATAGATGGGCAAGGCAGTCTGTGGCATGATTCCGATTTTCATTTCAACAAAAGGAACACCGTACTTTTTAACATGTTCCCATTTAAAAAGATACCACTAAATAACCTTAAATTCTTGACCGTTTAGTAGCTGCAAGTTGTGGTGGATGGTCCACATTGGCAGGTTTCACTGGCAATCCCAGTTTTTCGACTTGATTGTGAAAGAAGGCTTGAAGTTTCATCCCAGCTTTTGCCTCGCTTGTGTTTCGAGGATTGTATTCAAAACAGTTTGTAAACATCAATTCCACATCGTCAATAAAATCCGCTGTAAAGGAAACAGATCGATAAGCAGGGTATTTAAAAATGTAAGAACCTCATGTAGAGATCACAGAAAGGTCAGATTTTTGACCGCGCCATTCTGTTCTCAGCAAGTAAATAAAAACGCATTCAGCTAATTCAATGTTTGGCTTCAAAATTAGCCTTTTATCATTAAGATCTTCAAAACAGAAATTGTACGAAATAGGACCAATAGAACTCAAGATACTGCAGGGATTTTTTTTGCAGTAAATCGTGATTATTGGTACTTCATAATGACTGGACCTTGATTATCCACTATAATAGGGCAAAATATTATTGTAATTTATAAAATATTTTTGGGAAAAATATCAAAAATTCTCACCCACACATTCCTCAGTGGTAGAGAGAGCAAGAGAGGAAGAGCTAAATTATCCACAAACCCTAGACATTTTTACAATGCTCTAAATTCCAATTCTGCAGAAACAATTCCCTCCACAATTCAAGTTTGTTGCCATCCCCAGTTTGAAATCACAAAGATGAGCAGAAAAAGGAGGCTAGAAAGTAACTGCTGAATCCACCACATACTCCTCTTCCATGGACTCAAACTCAGTATAAGCAAACCACAATGCTTGACTTTGGATATGTTTAGTGTCTTTAATTGGTTGGATGATCCCACCCAATTAATTAGGCACTAGACATGTACAGTACATGAATATAGATAGATGGATAAGACAAGCTAACTCTTTGTACTTTAACCCATTACTTCCATGCTTGTTATTTTCATACATTAAAAAAAACTTACATGCATAATTATACTGACATCGGTTTAGCTTTTCTCTTATAATATTTAAGGCAACTGGTTTTTTAATAATATCGTAGTAATCCGTAACCTGTAAGAAATCAGAAAAATACATTGGTAATAATGAAATAAGTGGAAGTGGAAATCAAGTGCAAATGTATTCATATCTACACAATAATAGTAATCCTTACATTTGATTTAGTGTCATCACTTTGTTGAGACGTCTCAAAGTGCTTCACAGAATATATGAAACATGGCAGCCAATTGCACACAACAATGTCCCAGATAGTCATGGATTGTGTGACCAATATTTTTTTGAGGGATTATTACCCCTGGAAAGCGATCTGCCAATCGACTAATAATCGGGTTTCTAGTTACTGATACATAAGTAGTGGTACTATAAAGAAAAATTTAGTTCAGCTGTGAGAGATAACTGATATCCTTCACAGGTTGAAAGTCAAATAAAAAATATATTTTGGGCCAGATTCAATTCTAATGAATATCACATTTATACTACAGAGCAGCTTCAAATAACATATGTCCACAGTCTTAAGGTTCCAGGAACCGTAGATTCTTGTGTTACTACTTTACAGAACTGTCAGGAAGACCAAGTTGACAGTGCAAATCCACATGTCGGCAGTTGTTTTCAGGTCACAATTTAGGATTTTTTCTGGCTGCTGGATAGGGAAAGGTTGTTAAACAAGCAATGGGTAAAACTGCATTCCTCGTCTGTAAGAACAGGCCAGCAGCTTTGTCAGCTGGTGGGCAAACAAACTCAGCATGTGACCCTGCCAGAAGGACCATTTTTCTTGTCATCCCCAGAGGTGAGATTGTGTTCCACTGTGGGATATATAAGTACCTCCAATGGCAATAAACACTTCCATTTATTGCCGAGCTTGTATATAAATGAAACACCAGTATGGTCTCTGGAGGTGCTCAAATTCTGTGATCCAGAACCACTAGGATAAAAAGTGTCCCCAGCAGTGCCATCATTGTTGGACAGAACTGTTAGCTAGTGTAGCAATGAAAAGAATTGGATTGCTGTCCTGTATACAGCCAGAAAAAGAGTCAGTTTCCCCAGTGCTGCATATGAGATACTGTCTTGTAAGTAAGCATGGTGACATCCACTATACCAGGAGCCTTGGAACTGAAGAGAAATCTTTATTTGAATAGGCTCTAGGGTATAAGGTGTCAGTCTGGCTCAGTTAGTAATAATAGCATTCTAGTATCAAAAATATGGTCACTACACTTTACAGAAACCCGACAACAGCAATATTATGTCAATGTAAAGGTAATATTTCTATCGATTGTATTTAACACAAATGCACTAAGATCACATCTGTGGGTTTAAAAAATCCAATGCATTTGGATAAATTAATTTCAGACAGAACTCCTACTAACAACACTAACAGTCAGGTGTCTGGATTTTACCTGGGCTTTGTTTACCAGCTTGAGGAATGGCCAACTGTCTTCGTGTCGTACCAGATCAACAATAAGTTGTTCACAAACAGAAAGCTCATGTATGCCAGAATTACGACCTGAGCTCCTCCTATTTCCAGTTACTTTCAATACTTCGACCACTGTATCTTTGGGTGGGGGAAAAAAATAAACACCATGAACAGCTCACCAGGCAATAATGATAGATCACTTGATAGTAATTCTGTAAAAGGTGATCCGAGATGAGACAAAAATTCGTATTCTGCAAAACCAATTCTATTGAAAAGCTATTGTACATATTATAAACAGCAGTTAAGCAAAGACTCACAAATGACACAAGGTTGAAATTAAATTGCAGAATAAATAAATTGTGGGATCAGTGGGTTGCATTACTAAACAACAGAGCACAACACAAGAATGATCCCAAATCTTTCTTCCACTGGCTGAGGTCTGTCATTGTTACAGCTGAAGGCGTCCCTCTGGGTTGGTGCCAGTGTTGGACATGTCCAGTGCTCTACAATAGACTGATAAGGATATCCTTGTGGTCTAGAGGAAGCGTCCGTGTAGTTGGTGCCTCACCCAGTGGGTCTTGGCAGGAGATCCATCTGCTTGGAGGGAGATGTTCAGCAGATGTCACGGGTACATTGGGCAAGCAGCAGGAAACTTGCCAGAGAGTGCTTTCACTTGCAAACTATGTGGATTCAATTGAGTAAATTCACCAGTACCCCAATGCACATGCTGGGGTTCCAAAGCCTTTGTTTTACCAACCCAGGCCTAATACTCTCTGGAGTTAGGTAAACAGGGACCATCCTATCAGGAGAAGAGTGCACAATGCATCCCAGATTGAATGGCTCTGCCCCGGGATCCGTTACTGTGAAGCGCTCTGAAACGCTATATAAATCCAAGTTGTTGTTATTGTGATGGGTTTCCTCATATATCAGACACCCGGCTGACCAAAAAAAGTAAACTGTGCCTTGAAACACCCGGTTCTCAAGTTATTGAGGTAATGTAAACCATAATAGAGGCTAAGGGGAGACTAGTTTACCAGATCCACATAAATAGATCTACCCCTCATTTATCTGCCCTGACAGGAAGTTATTTTTGTAGAATTACACAGATAAGTAGTTTGAAAAGTGCTATAGGTATCATAATAATAAATAAGTGGCAGAAGGCCCGCCTGCCAATGGCGGGGCGGGCGACGTGAAGCAGGTCAGAGCCCGCTGAGCAGAGGGAACGGGCAGTTTGGTAGGGGATTAGAAGGTCACAGAGGTAGGGGCAGCAAGGCCCTGGAGGGCTTTAAAGGTGAGGACCAGGATCTTGATCCTCTGCATGATGGGAAATCAGTGGAGTCGGGCGAGGATGGGATTGATAGGGTCGCAGAGCCTGGTGGTACGGGAGAGGTCATGGGCTGCAGAGTTCTGGATGAGGGAGGAGTTGGGGAGGCCGACAAACAGGGAGTTTGCATAGCCGAGCCTAGATGTTATGAATGCATTTATGAGGGTCTCGGTGGCCCGCAGTGAGGTGAACTGTGCATCCTTGGATGGTGATGCTGTCAGCGCCTGAGGTGTGGAGGCGTTGACAGGAGCCAATCAGGAGAGCCTCAGTCTTGTTGACATTCAACTGTAGAACGTTAGCTCTCATCCAGGAATTGATGTCTGACAGACATTCTGTCAGGGCCGCAGTGGACCTGGAGTCGAGGGTGGAGGCAGAGAGGTAGAGTTGGGTGTCATCCGCATACATGTGGAAGTTGACCTCATGTCTGCAGATGATGTCACCAAGAGGCAGCATATAGATACTGAAAAGGAGGGGACCAAGGACAGAGCCTGAGGAACTCAACACAAGACAGTGCAGGGGCTAGAGGAGAAGCCGTTTGTGGGGAATGAAGTGGAGACGGTTGCAAGGTAGCAACTGAACCAGGCAAGGACAGAACCATGAAGGTTGAGGTGAGAGGAGAGGCAGTGGAGGAGGATAGAGCAATCAACGGTATCAAAGGCAGCAGAATGGTCGAGGAGGTAGACGGAGACCTTGTTGCAGATGGACAAAATGTGATTTGTCACTTTGACCAAAGCTGTTTCTGTGCTGTGTATTGCACATCGCTGCATATTCACATTTTAAAATCTAAAACAACAACATGGAAGTCAGGCTCTCCTACCTGCAGATTTTCGTTTCCTTCCTCTTTTGCCGGATTGTATCAGTGGAGGAGGAGTGGTCTGCTCAACGCGACGTGTGTACTTCCTCTTCTTCCTGACGGGTTCTTCCTGAGAGTTGTCCAAATCCGAGAGCCTTCTTAGACGGCAGGATGTGGAGGCTCCATACTCCGGGGATCTGGCTGCAGCTTTACGATACCTCCGGCGACGACGAGGCACACCAAGTTCAATAAAAGATCCTTCTGACCAACGACTATTCTTCATACGTCCACTCAGTCTCGCCAAAGGTTTCACTTCAGCGTTTGGTAAAGATTTTGGTCGCCCCACTTTTTTACCACGTCGTTTTTTAGCACCAGATAGAGTTAGTTTGGGGGTGTTTGACCGGCTGCGAGAGGGATACCTTCTTGGTTCGGTACCTTGACCATGTGCTACAGTTGTGGCGCTACCTTTACCGCTCTTGCTCTTAACTTGAAGTTTTACCCGAGTTCTTCCTCTTCGTAGTTGCCTAATAAAAATAATAATTAATAACAACAAGCATTTACATAGCGCCACTCACACAGGGTAGCATCCTAATGGCAGAGCATGATAATAATAATAATCCTTGCATTGGTATAGCTCCTTTCATGGCAGGAGGATGTACTAAAGCGCTTCACAGGATATACTGTAAAGTGGATTGACTGTATATTTTGGGTGAACGCAGCAAGATAATTTCTGCACACCAATATTCCATAAATAGCCAGAGTGAGTGACTCATTTTATTTGGGGCATTCATTGGCAAGGACACAGGAAAAACTCCCTTTTTTCTTTTGAATAGTGACATGGGATCTTTAACATCCACCTGAACAGGCAAACTGGACCTTGGCTTATCATCGCATAATAATAATAATCTTTGCATTTGATATAGCGCTTTTCACGTCTTCTAGACGTTCCAAAGCGTTTCACAGAATATACTGTAAAGTGAATTGACTGTATATTTATGGGTGAACGCGGCAGCCAATTGCATACAGCAGTGTCCCACAAACAGTCATGGATTGAAAATGACCAATTTATTATTGTTTTGTTTTTTGGAGGGATTATTATCCGCATCTGAATACCCAACCTTATGACTCAGAGGTGAGAGCAAGGCTGACAAATACTGATTAAGGAAACAGAACACGCGCATCTGTTCTCTTTGCTCAAAACATAAAAACATACATAGAGCTGGGGAAAAAAGGACTTGCTGACCCTGGACTGAAATAAGCAAGATTTACCTCCAATTTGAAGAGCTGATTGTTCAGATAAGAGTACAATAATAGTATACATGATTATTGTCACATTATATCACTGTATACAAATGAAACTGGTATTAACTGAGCAATAAGTGATGACAATACAATTAAAAAGGAAAAAAACTATTAAAAGGTTTTTAACGATAAGTTAACAAAATATTGTTCCTGGGAGGTGGCTAGCAGTCCAGCTATCCTTTTTTAAAAAAAAATGCTGTCAGGACAGTGGTACATGTGCGAGTTAGGTGACTTGTTGGGGAATCGTTTTATTACAAATGGTATGACTGCATTTGCTTACCTAATATACATGTTGAAAACTGGAAGAAAAAGCATTACTTTAAAAAGTACCTTTCTATTTCATACTCTTCTTCAGTTTCATCATCTTCCACCTCTGTTTCTTCCTCCTCTTCGCTCTCCTCCTCCTCATCTTCCATTTCTTCCAACTCTTCAAACACTTCTTCCTCACTGTCTAACGCTGGTCTCTGCCTGGCTGATGGACGGCGAAACCGTTGCTTTGGCCTACATTCAGGGCAGAACCAATCATCTTCTGGAATAGTCTGCAATAAAATAGTGACAGGCTCGGTTTAAATGCAAATTGCAGTTATTTGTGGGAAATTCTCAGAGATAAAATTGCATCAAGTTTTTCCATTTGTTGTATCTGCACCTTAATCTTTGGTCTCAGGCAGTATGTATGATGTCCTCGGTCACAGCCATCACACAATAGCATGTTCTCTGCATCCCCCTTCTTGTGGCAGATCTTACAGCGAGCATTCAACAGAGACTTAGCCCATAAAATGCTACGATCCAGTGTTGATAGGTGAAGGAAAACCTGAGCTAAACTAGTAGAAGCCGTAAGCGACTCTCGCCAGCGATCCAGTAACGTCTTTTGCACCTTACCCCCGTCACTGGCATCTAAAGCAAAGAGTTAAGACAGAATTTCAGGTCTGCATATTAATTATAAAATCCGTTATACACCCATGTTTTAACTGGATTATCAAGCGACTATAGGCTCGTGCATGACAGGCCTCATTTCAAAATATTCCCGACTTTATAATGGTCTTAAAATCTTACAAATTACTAATGTGTTTTTGTAAGAATCTTTGGAGCAAGCTGAAACTATGTCAATCAAAGAGCAGTTAGTATACATTCATCCGAACTGTCACTATTCCCACCAAATACGAAGAAAGCCCTTAGCTTTCCCAATCTTGATGTTTTCGAAATTCAACATCAACAACAAAAAATTACATGTGTATAGCATCTTTCACTCCAGGAGGACTTGAAGTCTGCAGTGACGTTTAAATCAAGATTATAACGACATTAACGACAATAACTGATGATCAACAAAACTATTTCCATTAATTTGTCCAAAAGTAAAAAGGAAAGCTCATTGGTTATCAAATTAGAATCACTTTTAACAGCTTAGTTATAAAAATTATTTTGGAAAAATACCATTTGAATGTTTAAATTGGATGCAGTTTGCTCTTTACACTGATCTTTAACTTCCAGGCTGAAAAAGACACATACAGATAGCAATTCAGGCTTTGCAGCAGCTGTTGAGACATCTGGCCATACATCGTAATGTATGTGCTTCAGCTGTTGCTCAGAACAAAAGCTATGTGTTTCTGCTGAACTTGTAGGAAAAAAAAGTTCAGTGTGGACCCTGTTTTTTGTTTGACTATATTGCGCTGCAAGTCAGCCTATATGGGCCCAATTGCAGAAAACATTAAACAAAGGCAGTCAAATTTAATTTAGTAGGTTCTATTTAAATATTTTATACAAAAACTCAACATGTGCTAAGTCAGCTTTTGTACTGCTGCTAATCTTGCATATATACATTTGTCATATACTCCAAGAATAATAAGTTGAATGAACTGCACCAAAGGTTTAAACACCAGATAGGAGTGTACTGAATCAGGTTTAAAAGGGTATATTAATTGAATGAGCACACCTGGAAAATGATTTGCAAAACTTCCAGATATCTGGGAACTCTTGCAAATTGGTAGCTACAAGTAGTACTACAAATATGAAAAATCAAATATACACAGACTAATATTTTATGAATCAGTACATTTGAAAATCTCCGACGGAAAAAAAATTGAATTTCACCACAGATCTTGCAAAGTCTGTGTTCACCCATTTCACTTGTGTAGGCATTTGTACAATACTGTGAGGATTTTCACAGATTTCATTTGCAAGGAATGAAAACTATTTTACCCTACATTTTTTGGAGCATACTGCCTTCATTCCTCAACAAACCTGAAACAAACATTTTATATTTCATGTGCTTGGCCAATGAATCAGGACACGTTTTAAATACACACCATCCTTTTCACTGGATTGATCGTCATCTCTCCTTTTCTTATCATCTTTCTTCTTCTTGTCTTTCTGTTCTTTCTTGACCTCGTCCGCTTCTCCTATTTAAAGCAAAAGCATGTATTTAGGCCACATCTAGAAAAAAAATCTTATGAAAAGATAAAGATAATCCTGGGCCTGACCATTCCTCCATTCATCCAAATTTCTTCCCTCCTCTACTGAAGGTGGCATTTGTTGCCGAGGAATATTCTACAGATGCCATCTTTTGGTTCTCCAATTATCTCGTAGAACCGGTATCTGAATTTGCATTTGGAAGGGATTCCACAACATAAAGAACATCAATGACTTGTATCTACACATAAACAATAATTTCCATTAGTCCAGATTCCAGAACTACCCAAACAATTGGTTATGCGCAAATGCAAAATATACACATCCCTCAAAGGTGTCTATATACAGACTGATCTGGATTTTAAACCCAACATTTAAAAAAAATTAAAATGCCAAATTTGCATCTGAAAATTAGAAGAGCAGATTTCCCCCATAACAGTTGAGGATCGACAGCACCACCTGGTGGCAACAATAAGAACCAATGTTTATTGCCAGATAGGACAATTATCCTTTTGGTCGACATAAAATATATCATGCATAAAAATGATAGAAAAACAAGTTTAAGAAACGGTTTTGTAGAATTTGAGAGCTTAAGGAAAAAAGCGAGTCATCATGCTTTCAGCCACTATGCCCCAAAACTCTATAACACTCTCCCTCAATCCCTCCGCCTTGCCCCTCTCTCCCCTCTTTCAAGTCCCGCCTGAAAACTTTCTTGTTAGACCATGCTTACGGCCACCTCCCACCTCCCCCTGGCTCGGAGTCAGGCTCCGCCACTGTTAAGTGCTCTGAGACGCTAGCCTGCGTGGAGTGCACTATATAAGTGCAAGTTGTTGTTAATGTTACACACCTAAAGGAGGCTTCAGGAACTTGCGCTCAATCCCGCGTTCCAAGTGAAGCAAAGCGATGGCCAGGTAACGCACTACAAGATTTACTGGCTGTGGTGTACTTGCATTGGTAGATACGATGCTTCTTGCTTCAGTCTTCAGTTCACAAAGCCTGGTCATAAATCAAAGGCACAAGTTAATGTCACCTCTTGGGTGAATGATGCTTTTAATATAAAAGCATACTATTAATGTAACTTTGCAACAAATCATCTCAATTGTTTTTGCATTTTTATGTTGATTGAAATACGACACTTAGGCCAATCAATCTTTGCATAGCTATATACAATTGTCAGTCAGTTTATATGCAAATTTAACTTATTGTGTGGTTTAGGAAGAACCTCTTTGTAACTAATTTAGTGAACATGTTATTTAGAAACTCAAAAGCAATAAAAAGATCTTCACATAAATTGAATGTTTTTCTAGATTCAATTTCTCAAAGGATATCAATGTAAGCTAGCTGTCTTCAAATGAACCTACGAGGCACGTGTTATAGTAATTCCAGTTAGTTACAATGCAGAAAATACTGAAGGCATAGGTCACCTTGATTCTACACAATACGGTTTGGTGCAATATATTTTTTAAAGCTGTCATTAAAATACTGGGTGATTGATACAAGAATAGAGTGAGAGCATGTAAGGCATTCAATAATAGATGGAGGGACAACAGGTTTGCCTATCACACCTGCATTGTGATAAACAAACCTATCTTGTGAAGCAACTCCTTGCGTTCTTGTTCAAATACCTCACTCGTGACAGGAGTTGAGGCACTAAAATTGTCTTCAGTCACCCCTGGCTAAGAAGGGAAACCTCAGGCAGATTATTCTGATAGTTATCCAGTTATTCTGGCTGCTAAGTACACATATAGAGTCAGGCTCAGACTCTGATGCCCACCACAGACAGACAAAGATCCCAAGGCATCTGCTGTCTGGAATCAGCATCTAAGCAACTGTATCCAAAGAGTGATTTAGGCAAGGAGGAAAAATTAATTTTTAAAAAATAGTTAAAGCCATTCATGTACTGGAATATTAGTAATGTTTTGCATAATTCCAGACATTTTAGTGGAAGTTTTCACCCCAGATCATTCACAACTTCTAATTTGGTAGGGTTTGAAATAAAGGAAGTCATATTTTAAGTGACTGTAATTTGGGCTGTAAATGCATCTCGAAAGTATTCCCATTCAACGAGGTGCACCAACTTATTAGCAGCACCTACCTTTAGAGCTGAATTTAATATTTGTGCTGTATTTGGTTTTACCTTATTTATTAGCAATACCTGTCTTTCGAGCCAGATTTAATATTCATGCCATCGTTGGCCTCTTCATTCTCAATTTTCATAGCTCCGTTTTCTTTCACATCATTCTCCAGTACTCGAACACCGTTCTGTGTAGGAATCGCTTCACCTAATAATGCGTAGTGTGCAGACTCCAGAGCTGCCCTCCACACGTCTCTTCCCACTGCCTGTTCACAACATAAGTTGTGTTAGATAGAATACCTAAATACACAGGAAAAAAAAGGAGCCAGGCTGCTCATTTCAGGCCCTTGACAGTATAGTATTATGGATCCAGATTAACGAAAACCACATTTTTAAATGCAAATAAAAATATTAACTGAAATTGCAGAAGCAAAACAAAAACCTCTGCCCGTGGGCACTTGGGAGTACAGGAATACATACCTTTATTCCCCCCAGGGTTCCTTGCCAGGTTCGATCTTCAATGTCCAGAAGTAGATCCTTCAATCGTAGCTCAAGCTGTTTCTCAGCAGACAACTGGGAAGCGTCATTTGTGTTGTGAGCACTTTTAAAAGAATTTCGTGCAGACTTGCTCTCCACTGGAACTTTATCTAGAGATTGATATTACTTGTAAACTGCATTACTGGCTTCTTTGAGCATTAAATCATTTTTCATCCTTCTCCTCCTACGCACACTACACAGACTTGTACTAAGAAGCAAGGCCCAAGAGATCTTTACAGTTCAATTATTCTCCCTTCCTGCATGAGTGTTCAGCACCAACCTTGTTAAAAAAGATCCAGGAGCACTTTTTTTTATATACAATATTATCTTTTCTTTCTTAAAAAATACATTTTATTGTTATTGCAACAAGGACAGCTAAGAAGAGTAATCAAAGTGCAATAGCCATTAATTTGTCAAGCATGAGCAAGTAAAATCATTGGACACCAGTCAATCTGAGTTTCTTTTTTAAAAAAATTTCCCCTCTCATCCCGGAGTTCTTCCACTGATGTACAGGTTTGTAGACTCCAAGTACCTCTTTCACATTGTTATTATTTGTGTGTGAAATGTAACAGTGGATTTCAGAAGGATATTTGAGCCTGTAGGAAATTAAAGCCACGCCTAATCTTGTCCTCATCCAATATCCATCCCGACCTGAAGTCAGACAGCAAGAGCCACAATTCTATTGGATTTCTTCTCCCTAACTCAAGGTGCTAAGATTTCAAACTGCCAGGGGTGGCGCACAAATCTTGCACCACCCCTGGCGGAGATATGATAATTTCGCACAGATGGGAGATCGAATCTGGAGCATTCTCAGCCCGTAAGGCTGAATTACTCACAGGATAAACATACTGGGCCATGAGGGAGCCCGGATCAGTTTCCACAGAAGGCAGGAGGCATTGTTATAGGAACAAAACAAACTGTATTCGTGGTCATTGTTCATGAGCTGAGCAAAATACTTTATACTGACATGAAGATACAATCCAAATTAAGCCTGGTTTTAACTTGTTACTGTGTAAATCACTCACTATTCACATTAAACTCCAACCAATATGTTTTATAATGATTTGATAAATATTCCATTTATCATTTGAATAAAAACAAACCTTGATAATCAATAGGTGTGCAGACTGTTATATTTAACAATAGGAATTTGAACATTTTAAGCACAACTATAGAAATCTGCATATTGTAATCATATCCTGCTAAATGCTGTGCAAAGGGAGTATTTGGGAAATTCAAATCAGAATAATCTAAATAGATAAGATCCTTACTTTTCAGAATTTCTCTTCAAATGGAAGGTTGAAGAAAGCTATTTTTCTGCAGGAACAATCATGATTGCAGAAAATGTAATTAAAACTACTGGACTCGCTATTCCTCAGTGCTCTATTGTAATATGGCAGATGCAAGAGATACAGCTATTAAGACTTTACCTGGAATGCTGAATCTTTCCACAGGAAAATTAGTCAGTCTCTCGGTTAATCGGGTTTTCTCCTGGTGAAGGGATTCTTTCAAACAGCTCTCTCGTTTTCCCCTTGAGTTAAGTGCTTCAATTAGCTGGTCTAATTGTTCTGGTGATGAATAAACGCACCATCTATTCGGTTTGTTTACTGGTTTGTGCAATTCTTCTGTCGAGCTGGCATCAAGAATTTGGTCCTGGCTTGAGGTAGATGGTTGCGAAGGTTCCAAAGGAGAAACAAAAGAGTTTTGGTCCTGAGAAAGGTCTGTATTGTGTGGCTCAGCAGGCTGTTGCTCCACCTTCCCTGAAGCTCCGCTTTCGGAGGATTCACTACCTGGTGCTGTATCAGACAGTCTAGCATTTCCCTGAGACTGTGCGTTATTAATTGCAGTTTTGACAGGATAGGGCTGTAACATGTCCTCTGTCAAGCCCTCAAAGTCTTCCTCCACAAACAATCCTGGTACGGAATTTAAGACCCAGTATCTGCGGTACAGGCGGTCACGTCCTAAAGGAACAATATTGGTGCAGGACGAAGCGATCTGAATCTTTTCCCACATTTCCTTTTCCTTCCTTTGCTGCTCACGTTTGAAAACTTCCTCCTCCTCTGGAGCTAACATCTCTCTCTTTTCCGTCGCACTTTCTTCAGTCTCCTCACGACTCGGAGTATCTTTAAGCTCATTTAGACTTTTCCTGCCTGTGGATTTAAAAAGAAAAAATCCTTAAGCAGGTGGCTTCCCTCTGTCCAGTACATCATAAACCTTTTTGCTCAGAAAAGGTAAAAGTAATTTTTAAAAATAAAAAAATGAATCTTAAAAACTTAAGAAACAGGAAAGGCTTTGGAGGAAAGGATGAGGCAAGTTTACAGAAAAAAATGTGAGTTCAACCTTTTCGGTCTCTTTTACTTGGTCCTACTTCCTCTTCATCCTCTGTAGCCGTGTCGTGCCCTCGGTCTATGTGTGCAGACACCCGGCTCTCAGTGCTAGTCTCAAGCTCTTCCTGAGTTGCGTCCTCTTCACTTTTCAAGAAGGAAAGAAAATTTGTTGCAACGAAGCACAAAATCTATTCTTAATACTATAGTTTGCCATTCAGTAGGCTCTGGGAGAACAAAATGCTTGAAACACAAGGCAATTGGCTTGAAACTCCCAAGTCAGTGGTGAAGCAGCTGAAACACTTACCACAACAGTTGGTGATAGACTTTAATACTTTAGGTATGAGTAACGTAAATGACAAATTAAGCTCAACCTCCAAAAAATGACTACCCCCACCACAATTGATTTTGAAATTCTGTCAATCTATTTGACAACAATCCTTAAAAGTTTGAAATCATTAGCACACATCAATTAGTATTTAGGGGTCATAATTAAAAAGCTGACATGTTCACCTGTATTTTAGATCATGCAAGTGAACTTTGCAACATCAGGAGCTAAGACAGGTCCTACCTCTTGCAGTTTGCCACAAAGTATTTAAGCAGTAAATAGATTTTCAAAAACAAATCTTTGAGCTCAGTGAATACTTACTAATACACAATCAGATGATCAGAATTCATTAAGGTTTCAATATGCAGTTACCTTTTTGCTTGGCAATCACAGATATCTGTAATACAAATGAATTTTCAAACAATTATCTTCACCAAGCTGAAAACTTACACTGCATTGCCTTTAGAATTTCTCTGCTCCTCCTCTTTTAACTGGTCGTGCTTTTCCTTGATTTTTTGTTCCTGTTCTTTCAGTCGCTCCTCTTTTTTCTTGCGATATCTATAAGACCACAAAGTTTTTTTTTAAGAAAGTGACTTTCAAACTTTCTATTATTGAATATGCAGCAGAAAATTCAGAATTTTTTAAATATAAACAAAGTGAAATGGAATCCTCTCTCTCCGTAAGAATCTAATGCTGAATTCCAGATTTTTCAGTGTACAATATATCTAGTTTGCATCCAACATTACCTAAGATATCAGTTTCATACCTTGCTGCAGCCTCTTCTCTCTCCTTACGGTGTTGTTCAGCTTTCAATTCCCTAAATTCCTGCCTGGCTTGTTTCAGGATCTCCACATTATCTTCAATGAAATCCCTGGTGGAGACCAGGGTTAGCAGTTGTCCACAAAGTGCCTGCAGTAATTTCAGCTTGTCCGCTATCAAAATGAGAAAACACTTGATCATTTGAACATGTGCACCCAGACGCACACACAAACCTAGTCAGAATCCAATCTTCACTGCTTGATAGTTTCAAACAAATTGAAGTTATCATGTGCAAAACTGTAGGTATGCAGATTTGCTCATGTTATACCCCGCCACTTGAAGAAGATTAGACATCTGTTCTGCTGCAAGTTCCCTTATCAGGAGCACATGTCCCTCCATCAAACTATTTCAGCAAGACCTTACGAGATGCTGATTATTAGCATTATATAGCCAAATGGAATGAAAATTTGGTTGAACGGACCTTTGTGTAAACGGCTTGGTTACCTGCTGTCAAATCATACACTGGAATATTTGATAGTTTCTTCAAAAGGCCTGGATTATTGAGTCTAAGTTCCACACAGGCATTATCCGTAGCGTCAAATCCACCTTGTTGCTGGTATCGATACTTTGCGTTGGCGGGTGTCACATCTGCTCCTGCTGCTAAGATGTGAAGCCTGAGGATTTCTGAGAGAGTGCAACTGTCAAGATCCAAATCACGCAAAGTGCAGCCTTCAACACATGGGAAATAATTGACACATCCATTAGTTGATCGTGCTAAATGAAGTCTCATATTACAAAAGTAAATGAAGACTATAAAATAGATTTACCTTGGTAAAGCTGGGGCCACGCAGCTGCAAATGCAGCAACTGCAGACACTGCGCATTTGGTGGAATCTGCATCTTCATCTAAAGCTTCAGTTAAATCTTTTATAGACAAAAACATGTTTCAGTAAATAAATAAGATTATTTATTAAATAAAATAAATAAATAATGGTTATTTACACTTTGCTCATAGGGGAAAATTAAAATCAGGAAAAAGTGTAGTCTCTACAAAATTCTGTAATACACATTTTAAACTCAAGTCTGCGTAAATTACAGTAAGGTGGTTTAATAATCTATTAGCTGATCAATGGAGGACATTTTGTTTGATTCTACAACCAAGATGCACTATCCCTGAGCAATGCTTCAATGTTCAACACTAAGATTGATAAATTCGCGACTTCAACAGATTTAGCTAGCAAGTCTTAGACCCAGGGAAAAACTCGACTATGTGGCTGTGTCAAGCTGCTATAATTTGTCTTTGGAAGACCACCAGACCCAATGGGAATCATCAGTTGACACAGATTCAAAGTTAGCATCTCCTGTGAAATCTGGAGATTAGAATTTGTTCAAAAATCAAGTAGACATGAAGCTAACAGGAGAAACTGGCGAACAAAAATAAATATTAACATCATGAAGTGCTGCAGGAATTCCTACAACACTACACGTGCTGAAAGTATAAAAATAACACGGGATAATCAAAAGGCAATACAATGGTAGTAAATACGCATCCACCAACTACGAAAACCAGTGGGTCAATGCATCAGGCACGGACGGACCTTTAGTATCAGCCTCTTTTAACTGCTCCTTTGCCACTTCCTCCTCCTCTTCTGCGTGTGCCTGAAAGATTGCACTCAGGAAAAAAAACAGCAACTCGCATAGTGGTCCTTCAGTGTCGTTCCCAACAAGTGCTTCTTCCAGCATTTCTGTCAACAATTAAGCAACAATCTATTAATCAGATCTAAAGAAAATCTTTCAGAAAAGATCAATTTTCTAAAAAAAGCCTTTGCAATATATATTGAAGCTGCATTGCCCATAAGGCTTTCAGGCAGATATTAAAGCAAAATTTATATAGAAATAAACCAGTTCTGATGTTAACCTGGTCCATTCAGAACAGTAAATAAAGGAGGACTGCTGTACACAAGTAGCGCCCAAAGTGGTACATGTGCTATATTGAACTCAATACTCAGGAACAGAGGACAAACAGCTCTACAAAGAAAATGCGTCTTCTTCTGTCTCAGTTACCAAGTCACAACTTCAGTTACCTTACTAGGAACAGAAGTTTTTCCACAAGTAAGCTACTTTAGCCTTGACTTGTGCATTAGAAGAAATTATGCAGTTGTAACACCAAATTCAGTTGGCTCTTTAGCTAACAAAATTATCACACCAAAGAACTAGTGACACAAGATTCCAAAAAAGCAAAAGATGAAAAACAAATTTAAACAAGAGTGTCTATAAACTTAGATTTTCATGAAATCAATATACTTCAGTGCTATTAACAAGTAATATTTTCAATACTTGTACACATGAAAGGGGCTTCACAAATGTAATTTTGTAGTGTATTGTCCAAGCAACACCCTATGTAAGGGCCGCTATATACATGGATATTTTTGTTGTCTACATAACTCATGTTACTGAAAACCATTACCTAGAGTCATGCCATCTGGAAATTCATCCTGCAGATCAAACAGCTCTCCAAATGCATTCAAAAACTCCAGAACCATTAGTGCATCCCCAAAAAGCTCTGATGGTAACCTGGTCTTCACTGGCATTGGAGATGGAAGCTCCTATTAGAATTGAAAGTTAGTGTTTAAAAAAAGTTTTTTTTTTAAAAAACATGGGCGGTTAGCATTTCACAATAATTACTCAGAAATTGCCAGAACTTCATGTTCCAAGTGTCGTAATCAGAAAGTGAGTTGCAAGCATTAAATGCTAGATAAAGAGAAGGGAGGGGCTACATCATTTTTTATGATAATCTCCAGGAGTGATCAAAAGTCACCTTGCAAGGCTCAGCATTGTAATCAAACAACTGTAATAAAAAAGGATTCCACATTTATTTTAAAAAGCCAAACTTAGAGTACACAGAAATACTGGAAAGTCATCCAAATAATGGTTTCAATTAAACAGCAACTTACCTTTAGGTCTTCACATTCCATATCTTCGCGGGGCTTATTCCATTCTTTAAGATATTCAGCATATTTTTTCTTTTCCTCTCGCAGTTTTTCTCTTACCTAACAGTTAAGCATTGGTAAGATGTCAATGAATGAAAAGTAAATTTTCATCATGGAAACCAATTAGTCTCATTCTTGATCTCACTTAACAACTGAGCACATTTTGAATTTACAGTCTGAGCCTTTTAATCATGCCATTTTAGATCATGCTATTTGGGAACAAAAATGAATAATTCGATTTCCATTCATTTGCCAAGATTTACAGCACTGAGTAAACAATAACTTGCATTTATTATAACGTCCTTCATTCTGGGTAGCATCTCAGAGCGCTTAAATGCATGATGTGAATGACCAATTTTTTAAAAAAAATACCCTCCTCTCCCACACTATAGATATTACCAGCATTCACGCTCCTACTATACACTGTTGCAGTAAGTTACCTTTTCCTTTTCCAATTTTAGTCGTTCTTTTTCTTCTTTTCTTTTCAGTTTCTCTTCCTCCAATATTTTCTTTAATTCTTCTCTCTTCTTCTCCTTATCCTCCTTTTCTTTTTTCTTAGCTTCTAACACCTCAGCCTTTCTTTTCTTTAAGTCACTTGCAATTTCGTCTTCTTTCCTCCTTTTTGCTATAAAAACACAAATAATTATCAGCCCTGGAACACGAACCATTGCGGACAGAATTCTCAAAACTCCAAGTTTGGAATAATAATCCTTGTATCTGATATAGAGCCTTACCATGTCGTTGAGAACTCTCAAAACGTTTCACAGTATGGCGAATTGACTATATTTTGTGAAAAAAAACTGCACACAGCAGCGCTTCACAAACGATCGTGGATTGAGTTACTAAATTATTTAGATTTTTTTTTGAAGAGATTATTGCTCCCGCAAAGTGATCCGCCAATCGACTAACAACTGGGTTCCTACTTACTGCTAAGTAAACATAGATGCGTGGAGTAAGGAAACTTGCCTAAGGTTTCTCCTTGCCCGGGAATCGAACCTGGGTCCTCTCGCTTGTGAGGCGAGTGCTCTAACCACTAAGCTACAGGACGTATAGAATTAAGGGAAGGACCAACAGTACTCAATTTTCTTTCCACTAACCCCCTATCCCCATCAAAAGCCACCATAGATTGGCAAAACTTTCTATTCAGTAAGTTTCCATTGCTATAAAGTAATTAAACACAAATTACTCAACTGTAATCTAAAACCATTAACGTGAAATGAATCAATTCCCATAAGCTTTATAAAGTCTTGTAATATTCACATATAAAATCTGTATGTGTTAAATATTAAGCATACCCATTCCCTTCATTTCTTCCCTATGTTTCCGCAATCTTTCAATTTCCCGTGCAGATTTGTTCTTGTACTGTGGAGTTCCCTCACCATCTGTAGCGCCATCAGATTGTGACTGAAAAAACAAGATCATAAAATCGGTTTGGCTGGGAATTCAAATAGGATTTAAAAAAAAATCATTTTACTCTTAACCAGCAACCATTGCCATTTTATTAGTAAAAGGGCAATTACTTCACAAAACGAGTTCCATATAAAATGCTTTGAAAGAGACATCAGGGTGCATTTTACAGACAGAATATTAAAAATTTTTTACTTCCTCTACTAAATTAAATGTTGCTTCTGATCAGAAAAAATATTTTACAAACCACAAGGGGAAAATTACGCTATACAAAGGATCAATACATTGTGATTATCCCGCCAAGAGCACAATCAGTGGCTTTTAAGCCTCACGCTGCTCAATTCACAACTAAGATCCTATGAGCCTCATTGTCATATGTTGTACTATCTTACAACAACTTAATATATTTTTAAAAATTCCAGAAAAAACCCATGAAAGGTGTATAGTTTACAATTTCTGAATGTTGTGTTTATGATGTAGGAAAGCACTAAGAATGTAAAGCATAATCATTTTTACTGGTGTATCAAACACTGGTATATCATCGTTTCCACTTTCCCCATAAAACTGTTTCACTAATAGAACAGGGCAAACTGTGCCAAAGCGGAATTAAAGAAGTTTAAAAGAAAGTTTCTGCTCACGTTTGAGAATGATCCCCGATGCTTGGCTACCCGTCCCCGTCCTCTACTGGTGGGACTGAAAGGAAATGCGAGTGGATCATCCGGGAACAAGTGGGAGAAATTCTGCTCTGAAAGCTTGTATTTGGTGGCTGTAGTGGACTGTCACACACACACATACACAAAAACAAGGAAAATAGGGCAATACGTCAAACTAAATGTACATCCTGCACACAAAAGCACAATTTAAACGGTGCAACATTCTCATAAACATCAAACAAAACATTACAATATTTTAAATATGCATAAAACATGTAGCATCCATTTTGTAATTCAACTTGGGACCATTTCAGAACTGTCAATATCTATATGAAGGATAAATCTGCTACACCCCCTAGTGGCTACTGAACATTGGCTTCCTGACAACACTTTACAGTAAGTAACACATGTACCAAGACATTTGTGACTGTCGCTCTTAATGAAGCGCTTACTGGGATAGAGTGAAAAAAATTAGCACTTGTTTTATTTTCAATGATGAGAGAGACCCTTTAATTGCACAAATTTTCAGTCAAACGCCTTTTTCTGCCTTTCCAAAGGTGACAGTCAACCATGTGTCAATGTTCACAGATTTTAAACAGCAACAGGTCACCTGCCTTCCGTCAAGCCTGAAGCAGTGGTCAGAAGATTAGAGCAGTGAAGGCAAACTACTTCATTCCCCCCAAAAACAATTCCATTAAGTGTTAGAACAACCCTTTATACTTTTACCCATTTTTGTTTTATTCCTTCTAAAAAAAATATTTACCTTGACTTTGAGAAGAGAGTGCCGCAATTCACAATGTTGTTTGAGAAAAAGCTTCAGTTTGTCTCGGGAATAGACGTTTTTCTTGCGACTGTATGAGGGAGGAGAATAAATCAAAAATAAAACTAAAGCTTCAATAAACAACCATAAATGCATCACATTGTTGCATCACAATAGACAAACAAAAATGAATCCAAATATATTGATGGAAAAGGCATCAAAGTGCATTTTAATCCAAAGACGAGATAAAACTTTTGATAATACTCACTTCATCTGGGCAGCCTTTATTATGATTTCATTTCCTTCACTTTTCAGTGGTTTCACCTTGTATTTGAACAATGACACGTCAACCTTACTTTTCTTCTTCCTATGAGATTTTAAAAAAGAAACTTGTTAGTGTTGCGCTTTAACTAAATATTTTGAATGCTTGTTCAATTATCTAGCTACCAGGATCACAAGTTTTTTCAGGAAATTGTAGATGATCTCAACTCACAAATTTTACAGTATTTTAATCTAGGTTTTCTCCTTCTATAATCCAATGTCCAGTAGTTCAAAGTTTGGCTAAAAACATCAAATACTACATTGTTACAGTACATGACCTTTTCCAAAGATTTCAACAACCCTTACTCAAATAAGCAGAAAATACCTTCGAAGGGTCTTTTATTTGAGTCACCAATGCAGACAGATTACCTTTGAAATACTTTTGTTGGACAAAAAGTATCATCTCCCTCTCTTCCCCATCATAATTATATTAATGGATTTGATATAGCACCATAGCACATTGTCAACAACAACAACTTCAATTTATATAGCGTTCTCTGCGCCGGACGGCTTCTCAGAGCGCTTTACAGTAACGGATCCCGGGACTGGGAGTGGAGGGGGAGGCTCGGGTCAGGGCGGCAGACTAGACGTGAACGCAGAGACCGGGAGCAAGCGATCAGCGAGAGTGCATCAGCCCGCAGGCTTAGCCTCCCAGGGGCCAGGACATTGTTGTTATTGTTGGGTTTTTTTTTAAACAAAATTAATTTTTAGGGGACTTGTCCCTCATGTGGGACTTGAACCCACAACCTTCAGAGGCAAGAATGCATCTGACTGAGCCAGATGGATGCCAGCTAGTTGGTAAAATTTTTACACTAGAATTTTACAGCAAAGAATCAGGCTATTCAGTCCAACTAGCTTCGGGTGGTGCTTATACTCCACATGAACCTCCACTCTTCATAAACCCCTCTATTCCCCTGATACGCACCCTGCTCTGATCAAATAATTAATGGGATCTTTCTGTCTGACCTAAAGGACAATATTTTTGATAGTGCACTGCATTGGAACAGCGGGCTAAACCAGGGACTCACGCTTACATGATAAACCACAACACTGATCAGCAAGCAGTGAAACAAAACAACTTTACATGTTTTTCTTCCATAGGTTGAGTCACCTGAACCCAGGAGGTCAATAATAGAATACACACTGGCACAGCCAGAACAGAAAGGCAGGTTTTATCCTACTATTCTGGGTCAGATTTAATCAGGTCAAAGAGGTGAAAAGTCAGTAATCCCACTCTAAACTCTAACCCACCTCTTAAAGCAGAACATTCTACCTATTTATTTCCTCCAGCTTGTCTGTAGGCTACACTTACTAAAGTGAAGAATAAAAAAAACAAAAATACTCAAAATGACCTTCTCCTAAAAATGATAATTGGGGGAGCAGCACAGCTCAGTAGGTAATACTCTTGTCTCAGAGACAGAAAGGTTGTAGGTTTAAGACCTATGCGGGACTTGGAACTTGTTACATTTAGGCAGTACTGGAGATGTGCTGTGTTGTTGGAGGTTCGTCCTTCAGGTGAGATGCTAAATCGTGGTCCTGTGTCTGCTAGGTGGACTTTAAAGATGCCGTGATAACAATAATAATAATAAAGTGATACCACTCAAAAGGACAAGTGAGTTTCTCCCGGTATTCAAGTCAACCATCCTCCAGATAAAATTGGTCATTCACTTTTTAAGTGGTTTGTGAAACATTGTTATGGCTGCCATGTTCACCTAGAAAATAGTCACTACACTTAACAGTTCATACTGTGAAGCAGTACAAACAAAGTACATCCTGGAAGTTACGAGTAGCTAACACGCTACACTAGTACTTGTTCTGCAGCAGATTCAAGTGATGGAAATAAGGTATTTACTTACCCAGCATGCGCAGAGCTTGTGGACCCATCCTCATTGTCGCTTTCATCACTGATGACAATCACAACATCTTCAGCTCGGTTGCTTATGTGCCCGTTTGCAGTTCCATTTTGCACCGGTGGGGTGACAACCTCCAAAATCTTGCAGGTTTGCCTAGCAAGAGAGATCTAAATAATCAGCATAAATACAAAATATCTCCATACCCCCTTCAATCAGCCATTAAACCAAATGTAGGTCTGGCTTGCAGACCTACATTTAATTGTACATTTATTTATATTTAAAGTACAGAGTTCTACATTCTGTAGACTGAAATCACAATCAATAGATTATAGCCCAGTTTCTTACTTTTATGATACTCTGATACTCATTTACAAATCAGTCCATTCAATATCTCAGCCTTCAAAAATTAGTCAATTCTTCGAGAAGAGCAAAATGTTTCCTTCATAAATTTATCTTCCACTACATACTTCAGGATTCTTTCTCAACAAAGGATTAGTTTTATTTGTTATCAGGTCTTCGAGACGTCTCAAAGCGCTTCACAGAACATACTGTGAAGTGCATTGCAACCAACAACAAATTACATTTGTGTAGCGCCTTTCACGCCAGAAGGATGTACCAAAGAGTTGCATTGCCAGCAACCCCCACGAACCATTCTTTCAGCTTTCACCTCACCCTTCCCCCCTGCCCCCGCCCCCCACAATTGCCGAGAGCACTTTTTATGTTTTCTTTTGACGTCGACTCTTTCGAGCCGCGCAATGTTTCTCTGAACGGAACCATTGACTGTACTTTGTGGGCAAAATTGCGTACAGTAGTGTCCACAAATAGTCGTGGACTGAAATCAACAGTTGTTGATTAAGTGACCAAATTATTATAATTCTTAATCATTATAATGTTATGAAAGTCTTTCACCTCCAATCACACGTTTGCTCTTTTAGCAAATTGAGATCAGAAATGCTGTCAGAGATGGGCGAAAGAATTAGAACTGGATACCTGGGCTGTCAGTTGCACATCACAACATCAGTCACTGGCATTAGATATACAGTGTGAGGAGAAAGCTGGGGTGAAAGGCAAAGTGATTCTGTATTAATAATAATAATCTTGCATTTGATATAGCACCCTATCATGTCATCTAGCTGCAAGGAGTGTTGAGAGCTTCTTCACGACTGCCTGAAATCCACTGCTCTTCAACCTTAATAGCCAGTAAATACGTACCTTAAATCAACCTGCAACAAAAGTACTAAATGGCAAGGGTGAAATACTTTTAACTCCCCGTGAAAAAGACTATTGTAACTTATTCGAGCTACAGCCATTCTCCTAGAGTGGAAGCAGTTGTATAAGTACCTGTTTGGGGATTTCCCAGGTAGTTAGGAGAAATATTACACGCTTAAAAATCGTCATTGGGATGCATTTTAAATATCTAAGAATCTAGAAATGTAGGATAGTGCGAGCAAATAATCCTTCATGGATCCCTCAAAGGGCAATAATCCTAATCTCTAGAGAATCACTGAAAGCCAAAATTACCTGGTGCCATTGGTATTAGTTACTTCAATTATTTCACCAGCAAAGTAACGGTCCTTAGTATATGTGTAGATGTCATCACAGAGTTCATGAAGGCGGGAGCAATGAGTAAGGGTAGTCAAGTAGAGGATGGGCACTACCAGCGGCCCGGGGAAGTTCTGGAGATTCTGCCTGGCTCTGCTTTCTGACTCAAGGGCTTCTTGGTAAGTCAGCCCTGGCTTGCCTGTAATAGCACAGCTCCACACCAGACTGTTGCAAAGAATTGTCCTTTCAAAAAAGTCACTGTATGAAGAAAAAAAAGTAGAAAGTTTACAAACCCACAGAAAAATATAAAGTTGATTGCAACAATTTTCCATAGAGACTTGTTCTCTCAGGTCTCATACACACAATGCAAGATTAACGTTATCCTGCAGCAAAAGACACACTTTATAGTTCTAGATATTGATTGGTGGAATTCACACTAATAAACTAATAATAATAAAGTAATCCCTCCCCCCATAGTCAAAATTATAATAAGCAACTATAAGGTTATCTTCGTCATGACAATTTTTCGGTTGTAGCCAACAGAGAGGTCAGTAGTGCAGTTTTTTTTCTATTGTGGCGCCAGGTGTTATCTTCTACAAACGGGAAAACTGTAGCAACCACAAAATAAGTTAAAACATGCAAGCTCATTACTATTACTCATGACGCCCACATCAGAATGGAAATTCCACAGAAACAGAGGCTCAAAGTGCTCTGACTGAACCTTTACAATACCTAAAATTGTTCCCACATTCTGGAGGTAGCCAGGCTCACCCCCCTCCCTTAGGAAGATAGTCATTATGGATAGTCCTGTAGCTCAGTGATTAGAGCACTCTCTTTGGAAGCGAGAGACCTGAGTTCAATTCCAGGCAGATGGCGAAACCTTGGGCAAGTTTTCTTACCCCACACGCCTAATAATAATCCCTCCAAAAAACAAAAACAATAATAAAAATTGGTCATTTTCAATCTACGACTGTTTGTCGGACATTGCTGTGCGCAATTGGCTGCCGCGTTCGCCCACAAATATACAGTCAATTCACTTTACAGTGTGTTCTGTGAAGCACTTTGGGACGTCCTCCCGACGTGAAAAGCGCTATATCAAATAAATGCAAGGATTATTATCATAGTCATTATCTGGAGTCCTGTAGCTCAGTGGTAAGAGCATTTGCCTCGCAAGTGAGAGACTTGGGTTCAATTCCCGGCAGGGCAAAACCTTGGGCAAGTTTCCTTTCTCCACATCCTGATAACAATTCCTCAAGAAAAAAAAGCAATAATAAATTGATCACTTCTATCCATGACTGTTTCTGGGACACTGCTGTGCGCAATTGGCTGCCACTATGTCACATGCAAGGATTATTATTATTAGTTGGTCATTTGACATTATTTTGCCCATAAAATACAGTCAATCCACTTTATAGTATATTCTGTGAAGCGCTTTTTGAGGTGTCTCAACGACGTGATAAGACACGATATCAAATGCAAGGATCATTATTTTTATTATTATTATCTGACAAGGGCAGGTTTGAGCCCCACCCTCACTAGGTGGACAAAACTGGGTATATATTTGAATTATCATCAGGTTTAAATTGAGAATTAGAATTTTCAGCTTACTTTGTACAACTGGTCGTCTTTATAAATACAACAGATACTTAAAGCTACAGCCTCTGCTTGGTGCAAAACTGAGTTAAAAGTGACAGAAAGTTCAAAGGATTGATTCCCTGTCAGTTTGTTGATCCCAGCAGGAATAACAATAAACAATAATGATAATCCTTGCATTTGATAAGTGTTTTATCACATTTTCAAGATGTCTCAAAGCACTTCAAAGAATATACTGCAAAGTGAACTGACTGTATATTTTGTGGGCAAAACGCAGCAACCAATTGTGCACAGCAGTGTCCCACACGCAGTCATGGAACGAGTGACCAAATTCTTCTTATTTTTTTGAAGGAATTATTACTGCCAGAAAAGTAATCCACCAATTGACTAACCGGGATCCTACTTACCGCTAGGGAAATAGAGGTGTGTAGAGTAAGTAAACTTGCTTAAACAGGGCTAACATTTCGCCCTGCTCAGGAATCGAACCCAGGTCCTTTCGCTTGCGAGGCAAGTGCTTTAACCACTACGTTACGGAACTCCACAAAGGTGATCCATAAACAAGAACAACAAGATTACATTTGTATAGCGCCTTTCACGTCGGGAGGACGTCCCAAGGCGCTGGACAGTGTACCGCATTTCAGACTCGAGCTGGGGTCAGGGGGCTATATATACACATACATACATATTATATCTATATATATTAAATAAAAGTGTTACAATTGGACTCATCAACCCTAGAAAGTCTTTCCAAATCTTTGTGAATCTAAAGTTATCTAAATAAAACCAAGTGTTATTTAGATGAAGGCCCGTTTATATTGGAGCGCTACCAAATCTAACACCAATGCATTGGCTCCTTAGGTGTAGGAGCAGCAAATAGGAGAAACAGGATAAAAGTGAAGGCTTGCAATCAAACAAAATGACGTCACAACTTTCACAGTAACTGTGTATACATGATGATTGCCTCGTTGTCGCAAGTGCTATAGAATCCTCGTGCATTTATAATGTAAATGCAGCAAATTCCACAGAATTAATGCTTCATAATATTCCCTACATCAACACTGTCATATTAAGCTTAACGTACTCTTTATAAGAGAGGCACCTACTGATGTCTACACTGAAAGCGCCTTGTACGGCAAAAACATCCCAGTATATATATTAGTTATTGAAATATTCTTCAAATACATGTTGGGATAGTTCCTTCAATTCTGATATGCTGTACACAAGAGCTTTACACTCAATTATTTTATCATGGTTTACATCATTCAATGGCAACAGTATTATCCAACGGCCATGGAAAGAGATATGTAATAGTTTCAGGTGTGGTGCAGTTAGATTTAGGTCCCAGTACAATAAAGTGAACACAAAACACCCTTGCTGTCCTTTGTCTTACCCATATTCGATAGCAGTAGTGCCGAGAACATCACTGGTGCAAATCGCTAGATATAGATTATGGTAAACTTTTAAAATTTCCAAGAGGACGAAAAGACATTATACAACTACAACGAGAGCAACTGCCTACATTTAATAATTTAATTTTCAAAATAATCAAACATACTGCTCCCCTCCAAGTACAGAAAAATCTCAAAGCACCTAAACATACTGGCTCAGACTGGCGAGGAAAGGACCATATGAATTTGCGCTCTACTGCATTGTGGTGCAATATGTTGGAACCCTACCACCCCCTCCCCAATCACTCATGCAGCATGATAAATGGGTGATAAATCCATCTCTGAAAAGGTCAGGTAATCTTTGCAAAAAGGTTTTGCTGACCAGTGAACCTTAATATAATATGAATTGATATTCTGAGGCCCACTGATAAAATTTTCATAGGAGGCAGCGACCATCAAATATTTATTAAGTTTAGAAGTAAATGCTTAGGGAAAAATAAGTAAACCGTGAACCATTTGCTTTGACCACAGAACATTCTCCGTAAGGAGCCGGGTAATTTTCCAACAATCCACTATAATTTAGAAGTAATCCTTCCAGACGTTCGGCAATTGGGCAAATTAAAAACGTCGCTGAGCGATTTTAATGAGTAAACGAATCTCTGGGGGTCAGACAGCTATTTAGTCCAATGTCATTGGAACCTCTCCAGTGAATTGCTGCTTTGCAATCACTCCCAGTCTCTTTTTTTCCGCCCCCCCCCCCCCCCCACATAAAATTGAGAAGCACTACTAATGCGGAGCGAAACAACATCTTTGGGAGCCACAGCAAAGTGACACGAGTTCATTCCCGATGAGACAACCCCAATCGGTTGGGAGTTGTGAAACCGAAGACACTTTGAAGCGATCAAAGGTGGTCGTGGGCGCACACGCACTCACTCACTCACTCGCTCGCTCACACACACGCACACGCACACACACACACCGGCCGGAGGGAGCATTGCCGGCTCACGGCTTAACGTCAGTATAACCGGCCCCGCTCCTGTCTGTGTGTGTGTGTGTGCGCGTGTGTGTGGGATGTTTACCATCGAACAAGGCGGTGGAGTCGCCAGACTAGGCCCGCGACTGACTTCGAGTCGGTACAAAAGAGACAACAACGTAGTGACCGAGACGAGCAGCGAAACATCCCGCGCTCTCTTTCCACATGTCACACGGTGGTTGGGGTTGGGTGGGGGGGGGGAGAACCAAGTTGCCTCTTTTGACAAGGAAGGGAATTAAAATAAGAAAACCCGGGGACAGGGACGGAGGGGCGCGTTCAATTCTTCCACCACCACCACCAAAACCTCCTCCTCCTCCTCCTCCCCAACCCAGACAGGGCGGCGGGAGGGAGAGAGAGAGCGAGAGAGAGAGAGAAAAAAAAGAGGCACAAACGTTTGGGGCTGGGCTGGGTCGGATTAAAACCAACAGCCATTACAGACATTATCACCAGCAGCACAAGGCCTAGTCGGCACGAGTTTCAAACCCAACCGGCACCTGACAGCCCACCGCGGTGGGGGGGGGGTTGGAGAAGGCGGGTTGACGGCGGCTCAGGGTCGATTCTTTTCGAAATCGGACGCGGGGGCCAAAGCCCGAACCGTTAACACGGGTTTTTTTTCGAATCATAATTTGTCGGTTTGAAAAATAATGTGAGGCGGCGGCGGTGGCGGCGGAGGAGGCGCCGGGCGGGGCGGGCGGTGTGAGTGCAACTCTCTCCCCCCCACCCACCATCTCTCCCATCTGCTCGCCTAAAGTTCAAGGAAGTGTGTGGGTGTGTGTGTGTGAGAGAGAGAGAGAGAGAGAGAGAGAAACAAGCCGTCCACTCACTCGTAGTCTCTGAAGATCTCGTTAGTCACTTTACAGTAGAAAACTTGCTCGTCCGGCTTCAGGTCGACCGGAGGTTTCTGTCGAACAAACGGTTTCCGATGGAGCAGCGGCATCGCCTCCTCGGGGAGGGAGGGAGGGAGGGAGAGGGGGGCAGGCAGGCAGGAGGCGCTTTTTTTTTTCCCCCGGAGAGAAGAAGATGAAAGAGAAAGAGAGAATAAATCAAACAAAAAAACATCGACCGGTAGTAAGAGGGGGAGCGACCGGCGGGAGAAGCCTCGTTGACTCAACTGAATCACTGACTCACTGAAAAACTTTACATCAAAACTTAACGCCGCTTCCCCTTTTCACACTCCCTCCCTCCCTCGCCCGCGCGAGCGGCGAGCCGGCGCCGGGACAGCTGCCGGCCGCGTGAACCCCGCCCCCGGCCAGCGTTACCGCCCGAGTCCCGTCAGATGCCGGTCCCCCGAAAAAGGCGGAAGAAACGGCGGGACCAAGAGAGAGAGAGAGAGAGAAAAAAAAGGGGTAATGAGCGACCTCTCCTCTCTCTACCCACAGAGCGGCGCGGGTCAGCGAAGTACCTGGAGAGAGAGAGAGAGAGAGAGGGCAAGTGGTTGGTTGTTTCCGGGTGTGTGCTGTGCTGTGGCCGAGCCGCCTCCACTCCTTTTCTCTCTCACTGACGCCCGGAGCCGCCGCCGTCGTCGTCGCCGCTGCCGCTTCTCTTTTTTTTTCTGTCCGTCTCTCGAGGCGGCGCGCGCGCGCGCGGCTGGGAGGAGGAGGAGCGAGCGAGCGAGCGCGAGCGAGCGCCGCCAAGGGGGCGGGGCGTCACGACGCAAACGCTCGCGCCGAGGCCGAGGAGGGCGGATGGAGGGGTCGGGACGCACGAGAACGCTGCCTTTCTATTGGTTCCGACTGGCGAGGGCGGCAACCCAGGCCGCCTCGTCATTCGCAAAATATACGTCATCGCGCCATGGCGCGCGATCGCGCACGCACGCGCCCGCCCGCCCGCCCACGCTCCCCCCCCCCCGCCCCCCACCTGCGTCACCCAGACACGTGCCGGGATCCGATTGTGTCGGGAGTCCCCGCTGTCGAGTCGCTCTTTGGGGCTCTCGACACATTTTGTGTGGTTTTTTTTTAAAAAGAAAAATTCATGTCATCTATATAATGTTATACACATTAGAGAAAAAGTTCGGCACTTTTTTTTTTTGCTTTGGAGGGGCCTTTACACTCGCGCGAAGAGAGAGAGAGAGAGAGGAACGACGATGAGTAACGCAACCGCCACCGCAACCTGTCATCGACGTGGGTGATTTCCTTCCCGCTCCGCCGGGTTTGCTGTCCGGCCCGGTCCGGCCCTGTCCGGCCCGGCGGGTCCCGTGCAAAAAAAGAGAAGAGAGGAGAGAGAGAGAGAGAGAGAGTTTGTGGGGGGGGTGGGGGGTCTTTTTTTGACATTGGAAAGCGTGTGGGATATCCCGGCAGCTACTGTTCAGCCGTCATTATTACACCGCCAGCGGCCGCTCAGCGAAACCGATCCTTTCTTTATTCACAATGGATTACCGCTTTTTTTTTCTCTCTCTTCTTCTTCTCCTCCTCCTCCTCTGGTGTCGGGGTTGGCACCGCGAATAGGGTGCATCCGGGGGGGGGGGGGGAAGAGAAGGGGTCAGGAATTGCAACGCTTCACAAATTGGGGGGGGGCTGTCAGCAGTCGCTGACGTAGTGGGGGGGGGGGGGGTTTGGGTGGGGGGTACTGGAATGGGTTTTTACCAGAACATGGTAGAGGCTGAGCTCAATCAAGAAACTGTTCCGACTCTGCAAGTGGGGAGGTCTGTGTCGAGAATGGTACCGGGCAGTGGGACACTGCTGTGGGCAATTGACCGCTGCGGTTCGCCCACAAAATATACAGTCCGTTCGCTTTGCAGCGTATTCTGCGAACCCTTTTGAGATGTCTCAATGACACGATAAGGCTCTATGTCAAACGCAAGCATTATAATTAATAATATACCCGAAGGGCACTGTATAAATATAAGGATTGTTTGCCGGGGAAAAGTGCACTGGAAATGCAAGTATCATATTTTAATCAGGATTCAGGGTCAATACTTTTGAGCTCCTGCTCTTCAGGCAAGTGCTCCAGTTGTATACAATACATTCTCAATATTTAACCAATGTTTTAAATCCACGGTTGTGTTCCTGTACTATTAAGGTAAGGCATATGTAACTCCATGTGGTAAAATAACAGCCTGTGCCTAAGTTTTCAGGACGACATTCTATCTGGTAGGAGTATCCTTTCTCTAGTCCAAGAATGGAGATTATAATAATAATAATAATCCTTGCATCGTGGAGTCCTGTAGCTCAATGGTTAGAGCACTCACTTTGCAAGTGAGAGACCTGAGTTCAATTCCAGGCAGGGCGAAACCCTGGGCAAGTTTCCTTACTCCACACACCTAATAATAATCCCTCCAAAACCAAAAACAATAATAAATTGGTCATTTTCAATCTACGACTGTTTGTGGGACATTGCTGTGTGCAATTGGCTGCCGCGTTCGCCCACAAATATACAGTCAATTCACTTTACAGTGTGTTCTGTGAAGCACTTTGGGACGTCCTCCCGACGTGAAAAGCGCTATATCAAATGCAAGGATTATTATTATTATTATTTGATATAGCGCTTTTCACGTCGGGAGGACATCCCAAAGCGCTTCACAGAACACACTGTAAAGTGAATTGACTGTATATTTGTGGGCGAACGCGGCAGCCAATTGCGCACAGCAATGTCCCACAAACAGTCATAGATTGAAAATGATCAATTTATTATTGTTCTGTTGTGGAGGGATTATTATTAGGCTCTGTGTGGAGTAAGGAAACTTGCCCAAGGTTTCGCCCTGCCTGGAATTGAACCCAGGTCTCTCGCTTGCAAAGCGAGTGCTCTAGCCACTGAGCTACAGGATTCCAGATTGTATTTGATGTCAGATCAGTTAACTCAACATTAGAGGAGTGATTATCTAAAGCTTGTCCATTTCTCTCTTCCCATTGGTGAGAAGTTCACAAGCGACAACATTTGGCTCATCTCCATTTGATTCATTTGCACATTTTCCTATTTTGCCTCCCTTGGATCTGCCAGAGTTAAGAAATTCACTGTGGCAGCTTCCAGCCCATTAGTTTGTGTCATGGTACAGTATTTAAGTGCAACATTGTAGTTGGTTACCACATTAATTCAACACACATCGACTTTTGCTGTTGGTGTATAATATAATCTATGAGACCTCATCAACTTTTAAGGCTTGGTACTGGTAGATGTCAAAAATAGGAAATACAAAACTGCACAGTTCTTCACAACACATTTCATTTTTGGTAATAGAAATTTATTAAGCAGGAAGACAATTAAAAATCTTTCCCGCTTGCACACTGCTACATTTTCATAAACCATGATGCTTAACAAGTTTCAACTGATTGTAGATATTTTTTGCCAACCTTCTACTGTTGATTATTTATGAATTATACCAGTCTTCAATGCAGAGTATACAAATTGACTACCCTAACAAACCCTTAATTTCTTTATTTCAGACGCAGATTCTAATAAACTAAGAAACTCATCAGGACCTATATTAATGGTGAACAGAAGTTCAGAGTGCATACTATAGGCAAGTGTGATTTTACAGGAGACCCTTTCATGATTTATTTTTACCAGACAGGATTAATTTAAGGGAAATTTATTTTATTACGTTAAATTCTACTCAAACAAGAGACTATTTTAATTGTTTAACTTCAGTTTCATTGATCAGACACAAGCAAAGCTATATAAATGTAAATTCTAGTTCTAATGCTTTGCCTGGCCACTCTCGTTTTTAATCCTGCTTTAAAAAGACACTGCCAGAACTCCTCCTGACACCAACATGCTTAATAGCGGGTTTATAACAGTTATATTTTGCACGCAGGTTCAATTAAAGACAAAGTCCATTTTGCATCACAATAGTCTTCAATCTGGGACAATTGCAATTGGAAAATTTCAAGCATGATTCTGAAAGCTGAAGAACAGTGTTTTTATGTTTCTTTCGTCTTCATGGTTTCTCTTGTCTTTAACTCATCTGGAATATTCCATGGAGATCAGTAACCTATTCTCCCTTTAGTGCAGAAAATTTGCATAATGTAAACATGGAATCCCACGAGCCGCTGGATTAATCAACTCCCCATAACTAAAAAGGCAAAATACTGCAGATGCTGGAAATCTGAAATGAAAACAGAAATTGCTGGGAATACGCAGCAGGTCAGGCAGCATCTATGGAGAGAGGAAAATGAGGTATTCAGGTCGATAACCTTTCGTCAGAACTGATAGATGTTGGAAGGGAGCAGATTATAAGGACAAGCAGAGAAGGGGGGAAAGGATCAGCAGAGAAGGGGGCAAGGAAAAACCAAGGAAAAATTTAGGTGGGGGACAGATGATGAGAAGATCAGGGCTGTTGATGATGCAAAGCAAAAGAAGGCACTAGTGGGAGATTACAGAAAAAAGAGATGCATCTAAGACCCAGAGGATGTGTGAATGGTTATAGAAGAGGGGGAGGTGGGAGGCAAGGCTGAGAGAAGATGGGAGCTGTGTTTAAGGCTTGAAGTGGTTAAAATCAATGATGAGGCCAGAAGGTTGTAAGGTGCCTTGGAGATAAATGAACTGCAGTTCTTCGAGCTTGCGTTGTGCTTGGTTCGAATAGCATAGGAGGCCATGGACAGATAGCAGAGTGGAAGTGGGAAGGAGAATTGACAAACGACTGAAAGCACTGGGTTGCAATTGAGTACGGAACTGAGGCGTTGGTCAAAGCGATCACCCAATCTGTGTTTGGTCTCCCCGATGTAGAGGAGACCACATTGTGAGCAGCTGATCTTGTCATTTTTTGTCCCCACCTAAATTTTTCCTTTTTCTTTCCCTGCCCCTTTTCTGCTTGTCCTTATAATCTGCTCCCTTTCAACATCCCCCAGTTCTGACGAAAGGTTATCGATCTGAAATGTTAGCTAATTTTCCATTCTCCATCGGTGCTGCCTGACCTGCTCAGTGTTTCCAGCGACTTCTGTTTTTATTCCATAAATAAAACTGAATGGTTGTTTTCACAACAAAACCCTACATTCTCATTGCTGGTAATGATAAGATTCCTCACTCCATATTTTAAAATAAAATGTATTGAAAGCAGCTCTGCACCAATAACTATTTGAATAGTGACTCAGACCAAAAAAGGTAACATTTCACCCTGAAAAACATCTTCCTGAGGGATTAAAAGATTAGAAGTGCTTCACTCAAGACACTGCAGTGCAATTCACTAGTTGTGCAGTTCAAAAATGCATATCGCTTTTCACCCCCGGAATGGATACAAATCAAATGTAAACGCAGGAATAAAAAAAAGAAAAATTCACAAATGCAACAGTAATACAGTTGATTGCTTTCTGTCTAAAAGTGCACAAATCACATCTAGCAATGAACTGACAAGTTGACAATCAGTGTTTGTTTCTCTATGTATGAAGCCATTTTGGAGTTACTCTTAACACAGGGGCGCAAACAAAAGTCACTATAAATCATGATTATATAAAAAAGTTCTCTTAAACAACAAGAAAAAGGCTATAAAACACGTGCTCGAGTCTAGGAATCCCGTTTTAGGGTGCAAGATTTCAAGGTATGACAGTAGTTGACAGAGCTCAGAATTTTAGATAACATAAGTAAAAACATGAAATCTTAGTCTGTATATCTGTTAGTTGTGCAAAAGTGCAAGAACCCAGGAAACGAATAGGATATTGTTGAAAAAGCACCGTTTGAAATGACTATTTCTATCAGAATCGATTTTTTTTTACTACTAAAGAACACTGTTTTACAGCTGGATGTTTCATCAGAGGTAGTGAAGTACAGTTAGTCAGAGTTTTTAAGATGCTTTACCCCACTGTTACAACACTTCGTAAAGATGGAATTGCTTTAAGGCTTCCGTGTCAGTATCCTTCCCCAAGTAAACATTATAATCAAGTGGCACTTCCCGAACCCACTGTTTGAGCTGTACACCAGTCTGTTCAAAAGAAAAATAGCTTTAGTTACAGGCACATTTAAGATTGTTCACTGTACACTCATGAATTTTACCTGCCATTTTACATGGGTAGGAACACAGCAGTGCATGGTGCGCACACTAAGATTGTGCCTCAGTGAAGCCCAAATCCAGACACCTAATCTGGAGTAATGCATTCGAGCATGGGGTGATCACAAATTGGGTGAGAAACAAACTCACCCTTTAGGAAAGATATGTTCCATCAAAAAATACCATTCCACAACTTTGTCATGCACTAGTTTTTCTTATTTTCACCACTTCTCTAATCAAAATAGGGAAGGGAGGAAATTAACCAGGTAATATCCAGCAGCTAATAAATATACTGAGACTTTTTTTTAATAAATTCTATTTATCTGTACACTTTAATGAACACACTGACCTGCAATTGAGAGAGAGATTCCTGAAGGCTTGGAGTCGTCACGAGTAACATACCCTTCTTTTTCAGAGCTGAATTAATAAACTGCCATGATCTTTAACAAAAAGAAAGTTGCTCTATATACAGCTTTACATACAGCTGAAATATTATCAACAAAAAAGTGGTAGAATTCTATTAGACTACACAAATAAATAACACTTCTGCTCTTCATTTAATAAGGTTCAATATCAGGCTTCAATCAGGATGAACTTTTTATTTAAATGATGTACAGGAATTGCATCAGTTTATTTACAATTTCTCCATGCAGGTCCAAGATGTAACCATTTGTCCAAAATTCTCCACAGTACATACCGTTTTCAGCAGTATCAGTTCAAAAAGTCTAAAATAAAGTCTTATCAGGGAAAAAAGTTAGTGCAATCAAGGGCAATACATGCAATCTATTGATTAAAATGCCTTTAGCCTTGTCATTTACCCATTCAGAGGATTAAAGCAAAATCTGGCATTTCATTAATAAACAGCAGAACCACAGACAGCTATTAAAAAAATTCAGATGTAGGTGCCACCACACACGAGGGGAAGGGGAAAACATATAGGACTATTAGTTCAATTAAAGATAAAACTCCACATAGTTTTAGTGGAAAACTTCCAATTGTTCTATTGGTGCAGAATTAAGCCTGGTTAATAGATTTTCATCATTGGACACAGAGGAAAGGAAACTGGAACTGCTTTACAGCTGAATATTAGCATTAAAAATGTTCAATCATACAACTGGAACATTCCCACAGCTAAGCAGGCTGCAAACTGCGGTGGAAAATAAAAGATCCCCAGGTTACATGAGGAGTACGACTGTTTTAAAATAAGCGTTTGCATCTTGAAATTGTTTACCTGACTTGTTCCTCTTCTTCTAGAAAATATTCAAAGACATTATTCATAACTATGACATCAGCATTTTGAAGCAAAGAGCCTTGAGCACAAATATTCCCACAGATAACCTGGAGCACAAAAAGAATTCCAAAGGATTCACATCAATTTTAGTCACAGATATCAGTTAAGCTGTCATAGAAATCCAAGTACTACAATATAATGAAGCGATATAAACTTTGTTGCCAAAGCTTTATTCATATGTTTCCATGTTATTAATTTGAATAATAATAATTAAAAAAAAATACATTTTAGCTTTTAGTATAACAGTAGATGCATAATAAAATGTTTCTTCTGACTATAAGTTATTTTAAGTTCAAGACTTTGGTGTTGGCACAGCTTCAAGAGTTGTGCATAATGCTTTCGGCCATACCTGTACTCTGTCGGTGAACTGATACTTCTGAATCATCAATTGCTGCAAATGGCAGAAATCTTCATTCATCTCAACTCCTATGATTTGAGAAGCAGCACTATAGAGGTATCCCTAAATACAGAACCAATAAAAGAATGATCGGTTGCAAAATGTATCAGTTAATAGAATATGCAAATATGCAAAGAAATTTGCCTTCTTTGTGCAAAATATTAAATCTATTATTTGTCAATTTGCTGCCCATTCCATTTTCCCTCTAATAAATGTCAAAAGAAATTTAAAAATGCAGACATACTACTACATTTTAAGCAAAAATTACACTGGACATTTAAGCAGGAAAGTAATGGAAGAAAGTGCAAAGTGGAGTAATGTTAACGCAATTTCACGGTTGTAAATAATGGTAAGGTGTGACTTTTAACAGAAAAGATGAGTATGTGGTAATGACAACTGTACCCCAAATAGAACTGCTCCTAGCCTAGAGCCAACATCAATAAGAATCTTTCCTGCTAGATCTGGCAGCACATGATGAAAAAGGAACTTGATCTCCAGTGGGGAGAAAGAATGAGAAATAAAAGCTACAAAATAAAGAAACACATTGTTAAGTTTTGTAACAAAATTACAAATGTTTTGCCAATACATTACACACTTGGGTTAACATTTATTTTGAAACCTGGGATTTATACACTTGATTGTGTACAATAAATACTGTAATTTGTTTTGCCAATTTTGCACACTCCGGGACCTAACCCAACTGATCATTCTTGATATGAAAGCCAGGAAAGCAAATACCATCAGGCTAAGGCACTGTGAAGAACAGAGCTGAGACCAATGCTGTATCCACTCGATGTTCAGCAAGGAGCACTCGATAGCAGTCAGGATTGGGAATTTTAGCAGGTTTTGAACTTCCTGGCCATTGGGCCCCTAGGTTAATTACACAGCTGCATCGGCTGTGATAAGCTAACCCAGCATCGATCTGAAACTTTCTTGGTTAGAATGGCTAACCAACATATCAGGTGATACATTTAGCCACTGAGCCATTTGAGAATTCTTAACCGACAGCATTTCTTATGGTCACTGAGTTTGAAATGAAGCACAATCACAGACAATTGGTTTAAAAAAATGAAAATGAAAAACACACATAAATAATTATGAAACTAACAGAGTGGTGCAGTGTCATGTGATCCACAACTTAAGCAGTAGTTTCTGCTCATCTTCCCTTGCTCACATAAAGAGTCAATCAGGTCATCGTCATACAGAAAGGCATCAACGTTAACAGTGGGATCCTGCTTCTGGTGTGTCTGAAAAAGTATAATAATGTATCCATCATCAGTAGCCGTTTTGTGGAACAGTGGTTATAAAAGTAATGCTGATCACAGCACAGTTTAAATGGTTTAGGAAGTTTTGCTCACAAGATACACAGTCAATTCACTTTACAGTGTATTCCATGAGGCGCTTTGAAACGACTCAATGACGTGATATGGCTCTCTATCAAATAGATGGATTATTATTTTATTAAGTTACTTTGGTCTCACAAGAAGTGCCAGATAGTTCACACTGTGAAATCCTGTAAAATAGTACACCAAACAACACTGCCAAAAAGCATTTGGACAATACCTTTTTAAATGCCAGGGGTTCTGAGCTGAGTACTGCTCCCACTGGCAAGCAATTCCGAAGATCTTCAGCAATGCTTCTGAGTAGGATTTCATTGTTATCCGTACAATATTCATCAAAATCATCTAGAAAATATTTTTTTTAGAATATAGTGAGTAATACTGGACCAAAACGTCCAGGAAATGTGGCCATAAAGTAAAGTACACTGTATTAGAAAAGATGTGCTCATAAAACCACTAAAATATATCAATATGCAATTTCACCAAATTTCAGGGATTGAGATTGTGGCTCTGAACAAAAGGTATTTTGTAACATTGCTGTAGTGGATCAGGAGGATGCATACAGATATTTCTTATGCAGTGATTTCAGCATCCAGTGAAATTGGAATTATTATTGAATCAAATATTGAACTTAGAGGGCCAGAGATTTGAGACGTGTCAAAGATGCGATAAGGCACTATATCAAATTCGAGCATTATTATTATTAAAGGACAAGATACCTATTGGTTTCAACACGATGTTCCGCAGGAGTTACGTTCTGTGGAACAGTGGAAATCACCACGAGTCTTAAAACGAACTACTGTATTTTATCAGTAAAATGGGGGGAGGGGAGGGAGAAAAATGTGGAATTGCTACTTTTTCTGTTAAAACTGATTTTTACGAAGAGAATGCATTATTCATGTGATGAGTCTTAAGACTAAAGGGGAAAGATTTTTGGGAATTCAACTTTAAAACAACTTATTAGAAACTAACTTGCCTCCCTTTACTTTGGGGGAAGATTTCGCTCTTGGACCAAACAGAAACCAACCAAACGGATTTAAGAGCGATTCTTTTAAAAAGGTATGTGAGAGAAAAAAAGATTTAAGACGATCATCGCGGGATCCATGTGTAGAAATAGATGTGCACAAACAAAAAAAAAAATGCCCTCATTTTCCTGAATAACTAGTGGCCAATATTGCAAAAATCCAACCAAATGCAAATGCTGAGCTCGGAATTTGCAGCAGCCCTCCTCTGCCAAGGTTTTGGCCTGTAGGTTGCAAACACTGGGTCTGAATTGTTAACGTGGAGCTGAAACTGCTGTGAATCCTTACTTGTCTGCATCCATTCAACGAGTCTCGGGAGGTGAACAGGGGCTACTTTCCTCAATACATCGTGTATGGCAGCTTTGGCTGTGCTGAACTCCATGAAACGCAGCTCAAGTCTTGCACCAGCACCAGTCTCGGTCTCGGGAGATGAATGAGCCGGTGCTCCTGCACTGCACTGCACAGCACGTCGATGCAGATGTATGCAACCCAAATATTCGGCTGCAAAACGCTGCCTTGACCCAGTCTGCACGTTGCGCAGTCGAAAGTCGGCAGCTGAGCGGGTTGGACTCGTCACTTCCTCTCTCCCTACTACAACAGAATCCCTGCGGTGCTTTGCAACTGTATTGCCTTTCACATCTGGATGTATCTGTGCCTGGTAATGCACTGTTGTTCAAAAGTGTTGCTCAGAACCAGTTATTTGAGTTAATGAACAGCCCAATAATGACCGAAACAATTCATCTTGGCGCATTAGGGATGAAAATTGGATTGGAAATGTATTAACCCGAGGAGGCAGCCTCCAACGATGCTTGAACCCGAGCTTGAGCCCTCAACTTTCAGCAGAGTTAGAGGCAGGAGCGCTACCAACTGAGCCAAACTAACAAGATTGCTGTGCGGTTTTAGCAGGTTAGACTCCCAGCAGTATCCCCAACGCACATTCTGGTGTCCCCAAGCCTTGGTTTTTGCCAACCTGCGCCTTATACTCTCCAGAATCAGGTAAGCAGGTGCGTCCCTCCAGGGAGAGAATGCGCATTCTATCTCAACAAATTACTCTGGAATTCCTGTGTAGGTGGGATGCATGGAATACTTTTATGCATGGTGCTGGGTTTCCATCTGTGTCAGACACCCAGCTGACACCCCAAAAATTGCCAAACACCTTGATGCAGATACTCTACTATACATTGTACATTGTTCACTCACTGATCGCCAATGGGTTAACGAGTAGCTTTCTATTTCATCTCCTGTTGGGTAGTTCCATTTCCAGTCCACACAAAAGCCTCACACTTTGCCCCTGTTGGAATTGGGTGTCGATTTCGCCCACTTTACGGTATATTTCTGTGATGCGCGTTGAACGGATCGAAGACGTGATAAGGCACTGTATCAAATTCAAGGATTATTATTATTATTATCATCATCATCATAGTCAATGCAAGATGTTGTGAAAGTTTCCTTACTCCACACGCCCCTGTTTACCGAACAGTAAGTAGGAACCTAGTTGTTAGTCGATTGGCCGATCGCTTTTCCGGGGATGATAATAATACTAAACAAAAAAAAATTTGGTCACTTAGTGCACGACTGTTTGTGGGGCACTAAGGTGCGCAATTGGCTGCCGGGTTTCACCCACAAATATACAGTCAATTCACTTCACAGCTTATTCTCTGAAGCGCTTTGAGACGTCTGGAAGACTTGATAAGGCGCTATATCAAATGCAGGGATTATTATTATTATTATAGTCAGGATTTACCAGAATCTGGAACGTGCCTGAACTGCGCCTGCGTCACTGAGCCGAGAGAGGGGGGGGGGGGGCGGGAGGAGAGAGAGAGTGACCCCGGAAGTATAAGCGACCAGACTGAGGTCACGGCTAATGGTGACGTTGGTTAGTGACTGTTGAGGACGGAAGGCAGTGCTTGTGGCTGTGGGGGAGCGTTACCGGCGTCGAGTTTTTGTCGTCGAGACGGGGAGGGGTGCGGTTGGTCGGGTGTGTGTGTTTTTTTTGGGAGGGGGGGGGGTCTTTTTCCCCCACTTCTCTTCTCCTCCCGTACCTTTCGACTCCTCTTCCCGCAGAGCCCGATCTCGTTTACATACCGAGGCGGCCTACGCCGGGTCCTGTTGTTGTGGCCGAGGTCCCCGTGTGGTGGCAGCCAAGCCTGGCCCTCGGCGCATGGAGTGAAGCCTGGAAACTTCCAGAAGACGGCAGCCTCGCTTCTCTGCACCCCCCGTTTCTGACCTGTAAGGCCCCAGGGTGAGCCCGGGTTGATTCCCCCCCCCCCCCCCCCCCGCCCCTTGTGTTATAATTAAATACCTGTTGAACGTGTGTATTCTCCACGTACGGTTGTTGCTATCGTCCCAGTCCTTTCTGCCGTTTTCAGCTGAATCCTCCAATGTGTTCTGTTTTGAAACTCAGAAAATCGTAACCCTTTCCCAAGCAGCGAAAATGGTGTTAGCGGATCTTGGGAGGAAAATCACCTCCGCGCTGCGCTCTTTAAGCAACGCGACCATCATCAACGAAGAGGTATGTATGTATGTCCGTCTGGGATGGGGATCCAGAATGCGACGGTGCCGTTTTGTTAATCTAGAGTTTTCTACCACACCAGTTAGATATTATTGGTGTAATTCTGGAAAGTGCTTACCAAACCTGCATCGTATTGGCTGTCTAAAATAAGACCATTTGCTGTACGCTTAACATCTTCAACTTGCATTGATATCCTCCACCCTTGACTCCAGAATGTCTGTCGGACATCAAGTCCTGGATGAGAGCTAATTTTCTTCAGTTGAAAATAATAATAATAATAATCCTTGCATTTGATATAGCGCTTTTCACATCGGGAGGACGTCCCAGAGCGCTTCACAGAACACACTGTAAAGTGTATATTTGTGGGCGAACGCGGCAGCCAATTGCGCACAGCAATGTCCCACAAACAGTCGTAGATTGAAAATGACCAATTTATTATTGTTTTTGGTTTTGGAGGGATTATTATTAGGCGTGTGGAGTAAGGAAACTTGCCCAAGGTTTCGCCCTGCCTGGAATTGAACTCAGGTCTCTCACTTGCAAAGCGAGTGCTGTAACCACTGAGCTACAGGACTCCACGTCAACAAGCCCGAGGTTCTCCTGATTGGCTCCCGTCAGTGCCTCCTCACCTCAGGCGCTGACAACATCACCATCCATGGCTGCACACTCCACATTGCTAAGCCAGCCTGGAACCTTGGCGTCTTGTTTAACCCTCAACTATCCTTTCTACCCCACATCTGCGCTATGACCTGCTCTCCCTTCCTCCACCTCTGCAACATCGCCCGGCTCCGTCATTGTCTCATGCCGCAGAAACCCTCATACATGCTTTCATTACATCGAGGCTTGACTATGCAAACTCATTGCTTGTCGCCCTTCCAATGTCCTCCCTCCACAGGCTGCAGATCATCCAGAACTTTGCAGCCCGTGTCCTCTCCTGCATTAGGCTCTGCGACCCTATCACCCCCATCCTCGCCCAACTCCACTGGCTTCCCATCACACAGAGGATACAGTTCAAGATCCTGGTCCTTACCGTCAAAGCCCGCCATGGTCTTGCTCCCCCCCCACCTCTGCGACCTCCTAACCGCCTAGCATCCTGCTCGCTCCCTCCATTCAGCAGGCTCCGGCTTGCTGCACGTCCCCTGCCTCGCCCGCCCCACTATTGGCAGGCGGGCCTTCTGCCACTCTGTCCCCACCCTTTGTAACTCCATCCCGCAGTCCCTCTGCCTCGCCCCCTCCATTACCTCGTTCAAGACCCTCCTCTTCAACTGTGCTTTCGATCTCCCTGCTTCCTTTGCATTGGGCTATTTAATTTAAGGTGGATTAATTTTGACAAAGACTGATGTACACTGGGACAGATATTCTATTGAATTTACATGATTGGCAGAGGAAAGTTTACTTTGTGGTAGCTGTGGCTTTATAACTGATCCTATTTATATAGTAATGTGCTCTGCAGTGTAGGCATAATAAGTTTCATCTCATTGGTAGGTAGAAAATCTTGCTCAAAACAGAACTTGTTGGTAGAATTGCTATGATGTAAATAGGTCTTGAAAGCTATGCATTCAAATATAATACTATAAGCACTCCATAATTTAACAAATAATATAACTTAAGACTTGGAGCATTAATGCATAACTTAATTTGTAAAAAAAAGGTGGGATTTGTTTCCATTCTGCTGAATCACAGCATAACCCAGTCACAAATCTGTATTGGTGGTGAACAACCCCAAGGTCCTGATGAGTCCAGTGGAGGGGAAAGGAAAATTTAATATAAAATCTTGAATTTCAGTATTGCTCTTTTATTTTTATATTTATTTGTGTTCAACTTCAGGTTTTGAATGCTATGCTAAAGGAAGTATGCACGGCTTTACTGGAAGCAGATGTTAATATAAAACTGGTGAAGCAGCTCAGGGAAAATGTCAAGTAAGTGGTTAAAATTCTTTTTGGCAGCGTGTTTCCCCAGTTTTTCTCAAACTATTTTCTTTAGTTACAAGCATGTGCAAATAAGATAGAGGAATATATCATTCTATTGCTGCTTTACACTGTCATTGTATTTCAATTACTCCAATATTTTGGTGTTATTGTCTATTGCCATGCATGAAAGTCCTGTGATGGTTTGGTTGTAGATATTGTAAAGATTTCTATGTGGAACCAAAATCCTAGGAAGAGATTTATAAGTCAGAATTTGGAGCATTGGCTGGTGACACTTCTTGGTTGGGCAGCAAACATCTGAGTGCTTTGACATTGTTCAAGCTTTGAATAGTTGCATCCCATAGGTGATTTGATATTTCTTCGTTCTTTGGTAACTACAAATCATCCTTTGATAACATCTTTTTATTAGCTGGCCCTCTTCTTATCACTGTCGAACATACAAGGACTGAGTCAGAACTATTAATATATACTGTATATTGAAGTAGAATACTACCGTTTTGAAAGTAAATTAGGAAATTCATCTGTTATTTAGAGTAAGTGAATTTGTGAGTGTTTTTGCTTGTTTTTCTGTAGCAGTTTGCAAATTTAATTTACAAATTCCTCTGTCCTGTTTTGCTGATACAATTTATAAGATGAAAGGAATCTGAAAATCAAACTGGAATTGTGATCTTGTTGGTATCAATTGGGATTGTCCTGCATCAGAAGTGAATTTGTTTGAAATATATATTTTTGGTAGTGCTCCTCTTCAAGATGTTTTGCCCACAAAATATATAGTCAATTCACTTTATAGTATATTCTGTGTAGCACTTTGAGACATCTCAACGACATGATATATATCAAATGCAACTATTACAGTAGTAATAACTTTTGTTTGAATTTGTAAAAGATTTTAAAATCTAAATTTGATAAATCAAGCTCAATATGCTGTTCAATTTGTTTTCAACTTGTAAAATTTGATATAATTCTTAGATTTGTGTTATGATTTAAATGTTTTCTATAATATCTTGTATAAGTTGAACAAACTGTTTTGAAAACTTTTTCAGAGCAGCTATAGACCTGGAGGAAATGGCATCTGGCCTTAATAAAAGAAGAATGATCCAACATGCTGTATTTAAAGAGCTAGTCAAGGTAACTAAGGCAGCATGATTTCATTTCAATTTACGAAGATTTACAATCAATGTACAGCACTGAAAGAAGCCATTTGGTCTAACTAGTCCATTCTGGTGTTTATACTCCACCCGCTGCTTACTCCAGCTGCTTACTCACTGATTCCCTTCTATTCCCCTTTCTCGTGTCACGGGCGGACTTTCTTGTGTCGCGGGCATCTTATACCAGGGGTCTCCAACCTGTCTGTCACCCTTTTACGCATCATAAAGACAAGAGTGAGATGGAACAGAGTGTATTTAGTCCAATTGGAAAACAAATCCAGATGCACAAAGTATTTCTTGCATTTGATTTCATGCATCTCAAAATAAAAATATAAACGTTATTGTTTAAGCTGTGGTAAATATCACTTGTTCCCATTTTTATTGAGCATGTGTGAAAGGACACCTTGCGGCGATCGATCAGTTGGAGAGCCCTGATCTATACTATCTGATTCAACCACTGTTTCAGGCAGCGAGTTCCACAATCTCACTATCCTTTGCATTCAGTAGTTCCTCCTAAGTTCTCTTTTTAGTCTCTCTTTAGTCTCTTAACTTATTCCTGTGTTTTTTGTTCAGCTTGTAGATCCAGGAGTTAAGGCCTGGACACCAACAAAAGGAAAACAAAATGTCATCATGTTTGTGGGCCTTCAAGGTAGCGGTAAAACAACAACCTGTTCAAAGGTATCTTGATTTTGTTCATTACCTGCATTTTTAAAAAAAGAGGTAATTAAAGAATTTAAATTCCAAACTTACAAACTATTATCTGCTTACAAGCAGACAAGATTTTCAACTTGAACAAATCTTCTTGGGTAGTGTGTGTACAGGATAAAGCAGACTATTACAAATTAGCATTAGCTGTGGAATTAAAGACCTAATAGGGAAGAACGTATTTTAAAAAAGGAGGTGATGGAAAGTCTGAATTTACATGATAAAGTGGTGGCTGTTTAGCATCACGGGAAAAGACTTCAAAATGCTGTGACCATGTTAATTATCTCTTACAAAAATGTTTACTGCCTTGCAGTAAACTTCTGAATAAATTGAATCGCCAGTTTTTTTTAGTATCCGGGTGGGAACCAATATGTAAAGGTTATGTTTATTGCGCATTTCTGGAGTTAATATGGCACACAAAATAAAGCATGTATAATTTTGCTTCTTCCTAAAATGTTAGGCTTTAGGGGAAGAAGAACAGTGATTATGCAATGTTCAACTGAGCAACCTAAAGATGTTCCACCTTTGAATAAGTAGATCTAGAAAACTAGAAGCATTCATTATCATACTAGGTGTTTTTGTATTGCTCATGTTTCATAACATTTCAGTAATCCATGTATTTGTTTGACTAAACTAATGCCTTAGTGAAATATGAAGATGATTCCATCTTTACTTCTTTTTGTCCTTCACATAGCTAGCATACTACTTCCAGAGGAAGGGCTGGAAGAGTTGCTTAATATGTGCTGACACATTCAGAGCAGGTGGGTAACTTACTATTTACCAAATTTCTCTGTTCTATTGTGAGTAAGGTTCTACTTTTTGTTACTGAAAGTTAAGAAAATAGTCATTTTGTATATCCCTTTTTAATCTTGGTATGCATGCTCTGCAATAAACAGGAATCACGAGTCGGGTGACTGAGCTGGAGGCAAGCAGGTTTCTGGTTTTCTGGCACATAACTTGGTTCCAGGGTGACTTGCTTTGTTCTAATTCCTGTTTGTAGAATTGCCAGTCGTTTGAGGTGGTGGAATAAATCCCATTCCAGAAAAAAGCCAAGAAATGAATATGTTTGAAAAGATGCTACATTTGTGTTCAGTATATGGAATTGCTTGGCTCGATGGTGCATATTAGCATGTTACAAAATTTGTAGGGTATAGGTTGATCAGCCGTTTTACATTTCTCTGCAGGATTCACACAAACTTTCAAGGTGAACTAGATGGTCCATTTATGCAGAAAAAAATGTAATCATAGGATCTACTTTGCATCAATATGTTAATACGTTATATTGAAACCAGTAAAGTGATAAATTAAGTTTCAAGTTAACTAGTTTGGGCTCAACTTTTTATGTTTTTGATTTGTAGGTGCATTTGACCAATTGAAACAGAATGCAACCAAAGCAAGAATTCCTTTCTATGGAAGGTATGATTTCTCATTGATAAGCTAGCATTAGTACATTTCAAAATGTACACCACATTCCTATTAAAATCTACATTTTACTGCAGTTAATTATTACTGACATTTTTTGTTTATGTTAATTTCTTCTCTCTGCTAAGCTACGTATGACCCTACAGTTACCTCAAAAGATTTTAATGTTTTGTAGAGCTAACTTTCTATAGTTAAACTTCAACAAGACCAAGGCCCTCCTGATTGGCTTCTGTCAGTACTTCCACACCTCAGGCACTGACAGCATCACCACTCAAGGATGCACACTCCACCTTACTAAGCCAGTCCGGAACCTTGACATTTTGTTTGACCCTTAACTATCTTTTCTACCCCACATCTGTGCCATGTCCCGCTCTGCCTTCCCCCACCTCCGCAACATCGCCCGGCTGTGCCATTGTCTCACACAGCAGGCCGCCGAGATCCTCATGCACTCATTCATGACATCCAGGCTCGACTACAAAAATTCCCTACTTGTCGGCCTACCCAACTCCTCCCTCCGTAGGCTGCAGATCATTCAGAACTCTACAGACCATATCCTCTCCTGCACCAGGTTCCACGACCCTATCACCCCATCCTCACCCAACTCCATTAACTTCCCATCACACAGAGAATACAGTTCAAGGTCCTGGTCCTCACCTTCAAAGCCCTCCATGGCCTTGCTCCCCACTACATGTGCGACCTCCTAACCCCCTACCAGCCGGCCCACTCCCTCCGTTCAGCGGATTTTGGCCTGCTTCACGTCCTGCTTCGCCCACCCCACCATTGGCGGGTGGGCCTTGTGCCACTCTGCCCCCATTTTCTGGAACTCCATCCCGCAGTCCCTCCGCCTTGCCCCCTTCCTTGCCTCCTTCAAGACCAGTCTCAAGACCCTCCTCTTCGACTGTGCGCCTTTGGTCAGCCTCAGTCCCCACTCTCCACCCTCCCTGATCCTGACCCCCCCAGCCCAGGTCCGAAACACCGATTGTGCAGTGCCTGAGATATCCTCCTGACGTGAAAGGCACTATACAAATGTAATTTTGTTGTTAAATCATTTCCAAGAGATCACACGTAGAAATGTATGCACATTTTCGTCTTGCAAAGTGCTCCTTGGCTTTGACTTTTGCTAATGTGATGTACATCGTCAGTCTAAGAAGTGGTAAAGTTATGGGATAACACTTGCGATTCTTGTTTTGATGGCTGGAAAGTAACAATAGAATTATACTCTATAGTTCAATTAATACCGACTGGACTTGCATCTCTTAATGGTTTATAAATGGTCGTTGTTGTAGTTATTGTTGTAAATTGATAGGCCTGAGAGTTGAGTGCTTGCATTTTCAACTGTAGATGATGGGGGGAGATAGCAAAAGATCAAGGAGAAAGTGGGAACTAACTCAATTTTTTTGTTTGTGTGTGATGTTTAGCTATACAGAAATGGATCCAGTAATGATAGCTGCAGAAGGTGTGGAGAAGTTCAAAAAAGAAAACTTTGAAATTATAATTGTTGATACCAGTGGTAGACATAAACAGGAAGACTCCTTATTTGAAGAAATGCTTCAAGTTTCAAATTCTATCGTAAGTCTTTTCATAATGTATAATCTTATGTACCCAATAACATCATTGTGTCTTTAGTCTGTTGTATATATGCATTTTAACTTTTCAACACTGTTTTAGCAACCAGACAACATTGTTTATGTAATGGATGCATCAATTGGTCAAGCCTGTGAAGCACAAGCGAAAGCCTTCAAAGATAAAGTAGATGTTGCTTCAGTCATTGTAACCAAGCTTGATGGCCATGCAAAAGGAGGTGGTGCTCTCAGTGCGTAAGTGAACCTGTTTCTAATTCAGTCTGCATTCCAACAATGTCGTGTTTGTACATCAGTTCCAGAGTGTGAATTATGATCACTGGACTGCTTCAAATGTAGTGGAATAAACTGCAATATAAATAGAAATTCAGCTTGCTGTATAATTTAAATACGATTGACTGTTTTTAGTATGGTTATTTTAAACTGGGTTGCAATCCTGACTGGAATAAGTATAAACCTTTGGAGATATGTTGTATAGTTTTCTCCTCTTTCCTCCTATCCTGAAGTTGCCTTTCTAAGCTTTGTTATGCTTCAAGGGGCTCAGCTGGTTGTTTCTCTACCATCCCCCTTATTGCCAATGCCAAAACTCCTGCCGTAGGCAGTTTAATGCACACTGAAAGTTGAACCATAGCCTTTGCTAAACTAGTTCAGTATAATCACAATGTATTTAAAGACTGAACAAACCTGGGACCCCTATAGAATTCCATTTCAAACAATTAATGTTCCATGTGTTAAGTTGAAATGCCATAATCTAATATTCTGAAAGGAAGAATCTATATTTACACACAAGTTGTTGCTTGCTTTCAATTAGATAAATTCTGAAATATGGAAAGTCAACATCTTAGACTTAATTTGTATATTGCTTTATGTATTCTATAGAGACATTCAATGTGATTTTATATTCAAGAAAGTAAGCACATTCATACACTTCTGGTGGTATCACCTCAGGTATAAAAGCATTATTTTGCAATTTTAAGAAATCTTTTTGTAAAGACAGAGAACATTACCATAGGTCTTATAGTATATTATTTGAGTTCACATCTGATTTCAGTTCATTCTAAAGTTTATAATTGCAAGGGATAATTTTAGAAAATTCTTTACTGTCCACATTGTTTCTTCTCACAAATATGTCAGTAACCATTTGCAATGTGCTTTATTCATGTTAGTGTGGCTGCCACCAAAAGTCCAATCATTTTCATTGGTACAGGAGAACATATAGATGACTTTGAACCATTCAAAACACAACCCTTCATTAGCAAACTTCTTGGTAAGTTATTTCTCCCCCCCCCGTTGCCTTATTTATTTTTTGATTATTAGTATTTCTTATTTCCCCGACAAGAAAGGTGCTATTTAAATATAATTTGTTTTTTATATATTGGGAGCCACCTAATTATTTTAAATGTTCTGATGACATCAATTTTACTTATTTCAGGTATGGGTGATATTGAAGGTTTGATAGACAAGGTAAATGAGCTGAAATTGGATGACAATGAGGAACTAATAGACAAGCTTAAACATGGTAAGCGGTAACTTGGAATAAATAAGGTGACAAGAAAGGCTAAATAGCTTGGGTCTAATAATCTTGCTTTTTTTTGTAGGTCAATTCACACTGAGAGATATGTATGAACAATTTCAAAACATCATGAAGATGGGACCTTTCAGTCAGATAATGGTGTGTTTTTAATTCTGAATGCTGCAGTTACATGGAAGAAAGTATAATATAGTTTGCTTAATAAGGAGCCTTGTGTACCTTCATGTTTTATTAAATTATCTCTGTCATTTGGGTTTGTTGATTAACTCTTGGCCAATATTAACATCCCTAACCATATTGATACAACGCATAATGCCTTTTCCATAATTTATTTGTTGCGAACATTTAATATTTGCCATATATTTTCTTTTAAGGGTATGATCCCTGGTTTTGGAACTGATTTCATGAGCAAAGGCAATGAGCAGGAATCCATGGCAAGATTAAAGAAACTGATGACCATAATGGACAGTATGAATGATCAAGGTATTTGTTGTTGACAGTTCTGGTCTTGTATACAAACTTATTGTTCAACTCCAACTTTAAATTAAGCATGTTACAGTTGTTGAAAAGCTTTGAAAAAAATATTGTAATGACATTTTCTAGAACTCGACAATAAAGATGGTGCCAAACTTTTCAGTAAACAACCAGGAAGAATTCAAAGAGTGGCTCGTGGATCTGGTGTTACAACCAGAGATGTACAGGAACTTCTGACTCAGTATACAAAGTTTGCACAAATGGTGAAAAAGATGGGAGGAATTAAAGGTCTTTTCAAAGGTATGTAAAGGCTGTTGTGGAATTTGGGTGGTTCGGTCATTGTTACCTGCTTATCTATTAAATCTCCAGGGTCTGTCCAGAGTAAGTCTGTCTTCAGTATGTATTATTGTGGTTTTATGTGAAATCCAATCAAAATAGTGTTGATTGGATTATATGTTGTTATGTTATGTCAAGTCCAGTCCAAAACACTGTGTAATAAGTATGATACAAGATCTTAGCCTATGAATTCAAGGTGTCTTCACTGTTTGCCATATATTTTGGCTTTCTTCTTCTGTTCTGGAGGCTCTTATTTGCTGAGATGTAATTTTGCAGGTTTGTAAACTCTAATAGCTTGTTCAATTGGCTATTGAACCTAGGCAATGAATGTTGGTGGGCCATTCAAACCATGGTGTTAGCCAGGCATAATATTGTTCTTGCTCAATGTTCACATTTTCTAACAAAGGTCATCAAATAGTAATTTAAAGCAGGGCCCTTGACAAATTTGTACCCCTCCCCATCCTGAGCTTTGGATCTCTAGCATCATTTGTGGCTCCTAACTTCAGCTTAACTAAGATGAGCCAACTCAACATAATCAATTTTTCTGGGTCGATGACTTCGTGCTATTAAGTCATAAAGAATAAGGTGATGCTCATAGTTGGCCATTGGGGAGCCTTTTTTAACGAACATAATTTACTTTCTACATCCGAGTAAATGTAACCACTGAATGTTTAGCTTTGTTGAATTGTCTTTTTTCAATCAGGTGGTGATATGTCTAAAAATGTCAACCCATCTCAAATGGCCAAACTGAATCAGCAAATGGCTAAAATGATGGATCCCAGAGTTCTTCATCACATGGGTAAGTCTGTTCCAAATTTTACATTCGCCATTACCATCATCTTGTAGGGCTACACTAATGCTTTTCCCCTCCTTCTGTAGGCGGTATGGCTGGGCTACAGACTATGATGCGACAGTTTCAACAAGGTGCTGCTGGGAACATGAAAGGCATGATGGGATTCAATAATCTTTGAAGCAAATGCCTTTAATAAACTGATTAACACATTTGGAAAATGATTGAGCTTTATTTTTTCTTCCACCCTCCCCTTTTTCAGGGGAGAATGATAGGGAGGATGAAGTACAACTGAGAAAACTTTGTAATCTTTCAAAATTACTGAATAACATTGGTACACTATTGTATTCTTTTGAATATATTAACTAGAGAGCATTTTGAAATTTGCTTTATATAACAGCTAAAGTTTCATTAAGTGAACCTTTCCCTAATAATATTGGGTGAAATAAATATTGTTTAGCTATTTCTTTTCAAGTAAGTTCTACATGTTATGCTGTAAAGTACAAATATAAACATTTAATCATGTAAAAGTAGAATTTAATTAATTTACCTATGGAACAATTGTTCAAGGGAATAGTGTATACAATCATTTGTAAATGCAGTGCTTTGTTCTGAATCAATAAAAAATTTCATAAAATAATTTGTTTCTTATTGAACAATTTTGTTGTGCTTTTGCAACCTCTATATGTAAAAACATAGGTTATCTGGGTCAAGAACAGCATTGAGATCTACTATGCCGACCAGTGAATATCACATACTGTATTGAGGGAAGGTCATGTGAGTTGCATTTGAATCCTAGCACAAACTCTGAATGCTTTTCTTAACTTTCCGGTTTATGGTTACACCCATTCCTATTCTTACTAAAAGTACACTACTAGCAGAGATGAATCACAATTTCAGACGTCTGTTTGGGTTTAGCAGGTTTTTTTTTTCCTGGCAGAGACACATCGGTTAGTTGTACTGTCCTACCTTGACTGAGATGAGCTAACACAGGATTAAAACTACCTGGTCTGTGTCATGGTATCTTTCCACTAACCCAAGACATTAGTATTTTGTTGGAAAAACATTTTCTAAGTAACTTGGGACAACACAAAGTCAATTTTGAGTTATTGGTAACTTCAGTTAAATTTGACACTAGCTGCAGGAATTTTAATTGGCCATTTAACCACTTTAGGATTTTGACAGTTACATTTCTAACCAGTAACTGCTGAAAATCATTTTTTTTTGCAGTGTATTGTTACCGCAATAGCCATTAGTACCAATCCTAGTCAATTACCTTTAAAAGCTATTTATTTAAAAGTCCGTTATGTTGAATGACACTTGCAATCTAGACTCCTGTGTGTTCACAAGGAATGAACAGACAGACCTGATTTATAAGTGCAGTTCTGTGTTCACATTAACATTTACCACCTGAAAACGATTTGGTAATACTATGGCAGAATCTTGATGTATAACCGTAGAAATCTGAATCAAGAACGGCATTATTCAGTTCCACCTGACGGTCCGTGAGGGTGTTCGGTGCAACCAATTGCATTTATAGAACGTATTTTAGGCAGAGCAGCGTTTCGGAGTGCTTAAAGTTACCTCGGAGCATGCAGTCCCAAGTCGGTGCGTTCAGTGGGGGAAAGAGGCGTGAAATTGGCCAAATAATCATGAAGTTTCTTAAGATCGACACGCGTCACCCTAACAACAACGACAACGACGCCAACCCTTGCATTTGATACAGTGCCTTATCGCAACAGTAGATTTTAAAATAAATGTAGGGACAACTTCTTATGGATGTGTTCACGGCTGCGTGATGTGAAGGCATGTGATTGGTGGTTTTTATTGCATACTCTCTTTAAAATATACATAAAATATATGTATTTGTATACCTATCTAAACGAGACAGACGTGTGTCATCTGTGAGCGAGTGATTGTGAGAGGGGGGCGTGGCTACGGCGCTGCCCTCTGCGCCGCGACGTGGCAGAGCCGAGGCCGCCATGTTGGTGGCGTCAGTCAGTGTGTGAGAGCCGAGGTTTGCGTGAGCTCGATCCCGCAGGACAGACCGCAACCGAGCCCCAGCCCCGGGGGCTGCACCCCGGCCCCGCTCCCGGCCCCCGGCCCCCGGCCCCGCTCCCGCTCCCGCCGGGCAGGTACTGTATACGTTGGTGCTTTTGAACTCGGGCTTGACAGTGTCTCCCTGTCACGGCGGTTAAGTGAGCGAGAGCCGAGCCGGGTCGGGTGTGGTGCCGGTGTGCTGTGCGATCAGGGACCGACCGACCGACCCGCCTCTCTTTCCCCCCACCCACCCACCCACCTGCTTGGCCTCTCTGTTGCCTCCCTCCCCGGCGCTGGGGCTCCCACTCCCCGCCCACCCACCCGGGTCGGGTCTGGGTAATCGGTGTCTCAGTGTGTCCCCGGCTTCAGGCTCTGCAGGTTACTCCCCAGCGCTGGGCGTCTCTGGTCTCTCCCTAACCCTCGGCCCTGGGTGTCTCTGCTGTCCCCTCTCCCCCCCCCCCCCCGGCCTTGGCTGCCTGTTCCCTGTCATTGGAGCTGACAGTTGATCCTCAGTCTCTATGGTTCCTTGGCTGCAACTCTTCCTGGTGTCCTTCTCTCCCCCCCCCACCCCAACTGCCCCTTTTATTTGCAGTTATACTGTACAGGTAGTGTTTTTGTAACTTTCAAAAAAAAAACCTAATTCTTTTTTTTCCCCCCCAGGAATAATTTCATAATACGCTGACAAGGTACAGCGAGATCAAACCATAGTATAATAGCATAATATATAATGTTCCTTGCATTTAATATCACATTGGCAACGTTGTTGTTGTTGTCATCGTCGTCTCATGATTTGCAAACACGATTTTGCTGTAAGAGTGCAGTGACTGAATATATATTTCTATTAAATTATAAGGATGTTTTGAAACTAAAGGCCAATCCGAGCTGCGCTCGCTCTAAGGTGATGTACTGTACTTGGCAATGTAATGTTGGTATTGAGTAAACCCTCGATGGCAGTCTCAGTTGTCCAGTTCCGAGGTGAAGCAGTACTCCTGAGCAATTCTTATGATAGTCCAGCCTGCCTCGCTGGTCAGCAGGATTTGGAGAGACACACTGGTCTCTAGGATTCTTCCCATTTGACTCTTAGGGTAGTTTTTAGTCGGTTAAACTACAGCAGCACTCCAGTGCACATTCTGAGGTTCACAAGCCTTGGCTCTTGCCAACCTGTGTCTAATACTCTCTGGAATTAGGTAAGCAGGTGTGTCTCTCCAGGGAGAGATTGTTTGTTGAATTCCAGATGGGGAAATTTCCATGTGTAGGTGCCAGCATATCAACTTCTGTCAGTTTGTGTCTATTGTGCCATAGATTTTCAGAAGCATATTTCACTAAAATATAATATTGCATAACAGAGATATAGAACTCGGGTAGTGCTTCTGAACCGTTTTGATACTGGGGACCAGTTGCTTCTTAAAATGTAGCAAACTGTTAATAAATGAGTCCATCGGGTCAATCAAAACAGGTCTGCACTATGACAAAATTCAAAGACTAGAGACCTGTTTTGATTGTTTGTTTTGAGAAACACTGATCTAGAATGAGTAAATATGAATGAATGTGTATGTAAACACTTCGAAGTAGGAAGCTGCAGTAGCCCTAGTCAAAAGTATTATGGATTTATGTATGGAAAAAAATAAGCTTGATCTTACAGCCAGGCAATTACGTTTCTTTGTGATGGCCTGAACTCCTGTGACATACAAAACAATGTTCACTGTAGATTTATAGTTGCCTTTAATAATTAAGGTGTTCACTGAATATCTATTATAATTGAAGTGTTCACTGAAAATATAATACAAATGAGGGATTAGGAGACTCTTGTGAGGCTTTTGCAGATTATCTTCTATTACATTTCTGAGGAGAAATATCATTCCTTTTTTCTGTTTTTTATAGTACTGGATAAGATTTATCGCAAGATTATATATTTTAATAATAATCCTTACATTTGATATAGCGCCTTATGTCATTGAGACGTCTCGATGCGCTGCACAGAATATATTGTAAAGTGGATTGACTGTATTTTGTGGACAAAACGTGGCTGCCAATTGTGTACAACAGTGACCCACAGACAGTTGCGGATTTAGTGACAAAATTTCCAATTGAGTTAACATGATAATGCTTGAGATGGACAATGCTTGCTTCATCTTGACCAAATGGGCCTTGAGAATGATAATTGACCCATTTAGCATGAAGTTATCTTACAAGTTTTGTATTCAGAGAATCTTGTTTTGGGGTGAAGACTTTTACAGGACATTGTGTCTCATACTTTAATTATCTGTGGTCAATTTTTAAATGTTTGTATAGTCCAATTGACATTTTAGAGGTGCATATAAAATGTGCAAACATTGCTAAGCATAAGCAACATTTCATACATTGCTGTGTATGATCACATACAATTCTTTTACTACAAGAGTTTGTTTGTTTGTTTGTGGGAATTTCTCAATGCATCAGGTCTGTCTCAAAATAAATTTTACAAGATTGCTATTATTCATACTGTTGCCTTGTGCCACAGCAATCACTGGTTTTAAAAAAAATCCCAGAAATCTGAAACCTTTTGAAAATCCTCTTTAACTTTTAAAACTTGCAATAATTAGATAATAAGTTTTTTAAAAACTTTTCATTTGTACATTCACTATAACTTGATAAAACATTTTACCCAAATGTATACAAAAGATCGTGGAACCTAATTGATTTTTCACTTAGATGGATCTGATCCTTGATGCTTTTCTAGTGGTAATATTGATAAAGATGGAACCGTGTTCAAATTTATGTGGTTTGACCTTTGAATCTCATTTTTCCTGATCCTTAATCTTTTCTCTGTTTGTATAGGAAGATTATCTGCATGAGCAAATAATGCACAGATTTCAAATAATTAAACTAGAAACAATAGTACTGAAAACTATAGTACAGTAAATGAGTCCACTCTGTTTTAGGCACTAAAAACTTTAATTCTGTAATATTCTTGCTTGATTGTACAGTACGGTGCATGTTCTTTGCTTGATATCAGCCTGGCTTTGTTGGTACGACTCAGCTGGGAGACAAGATTGTACGTTCAAGCTGAACATCAGGACTTTGAGCATTTTAAGAGGCGTTGTCCTTTGGTTGCGATTATAAACCAAAGTGCATTTTACGTGTCTTTATTGCTTCAATTTCTGACTGTTTAAAGGGAGAAAAAAAAGCTGTCCCTGTTCACTCAGTAATCATCGGCCATGCCATGGCCAAGACTGGTCTAACAGTATATTGAGGGACAAAAAGTAGCCCAACCCAGGCCGGTCTCAAGACCTTTCTCTTCAGCCGTGCCTTCAGCTTCCCCTCTCGACTCTCTACCCCCTACTCGATCCCTCCCTTCCCTCTCCTCACCCTGACCATTTCCCCCCTGCTCGGATCCCGACCCAACTGTCCAGCTCCATGGGACGTCCTCACAACGTGAAAGGCGCTCTATAAATGCAATCTTCTTGTTGTTGTAGGTTGTTGAGGCATTTTGTGCAGATTGGCATAGACCAGGATTTGAAGCTGCCTTTGATTTTTATGGCTCAGTGCTTTATCTTGTGGAGGATTTACCCACTCAGCTATTAGAGGAGCTTAATAATGATTTTACATTTCAAGTACCTTACAGTTCAAAGCAAAAGAAATGAAACCTTTGGTCACATTTTCAACTTTCTCCTAACGTTCCTGTTTAATTTTGCTTCCTTCCTTTGTGTCTCCCTCACCTGCCAAATACCATTCATTCCCCAGATAACCTGGTTTCAGACCTGTTGAAATTGTAATTGTTTTGGATGAGCATTCTAATTTTTCCCTTATTTGGTTCCTTCTTTTAGGTTGCTCTATTCAGTGCAGCATATTTGCAATGTTAGAAGATGATCAGGGTCTCTCCTAGTATTGTTTTGATGGACTGAAATTATTGTTGCATCTATCCTTTTATTAAAGTTCCCAAATGTATTCAAACTTGATTTTTTTTTCCTGCAGAACTAGAATCGTGGAGTCACAATGACAACGTTTATGGAATTCATCCAACAGAATGAAGATCGGGATGGAGTTCGGTTGAGCTGGAATGTTTGGCCTTCCAGCCGTTTGGAAGCAACCCGAATGGTGGTTCCTCTGGGTGGCTTGTTTACACCGTTAAAAGAGCGGCCAGACTTACCTCCAATTCAGTACGAACCTGTGCTTTGCAGCAGAGCAACCTGTCGTGCAGTCTTGAATCCGCTATGGTAAGTCAGCGGTTTAGGTTTAATAGCATAAGGTTACCTGACCTTAGGATAGCTGGAGATGGTTTGATTGTATATTTAAGGAACTGGTATACAATTGTTTTGATTGATTGAGCAAAAACTGTAACTAAAGTAGCCCATAAAATAGTTTGATCAGCAGCTGTTTATGCTGTAGTATAGGATTCATGTCATTTGCATTTAAAATGCCCTCTGTGAAGTGATTGTAGTTTACATCTTCAAAAGGTAAATATTTTCATAAAATCTCCTGTTCCTGCTGGATCATTATGTACATACAGCTTTCAGTGTGACTTACTGATCCTTACAGACCAAAGAAAGTAGCAGGTTTGATTCCTAGTCTGTGCTCAGCAGTTCTGCTTGGATGTTGGTTGGGGATTTCTTAAGTTAGTCCCTACATTGCTACGCTAAAGAGGAGAGAAATAAACCCAGGTTACTGGCTGATAATTGTCTAAATATTTTTCGATGTACTGTGAGGTTTTTGGGTAAGCACATGGCAAGGCTAGGATCCGATGGCTTCGAGGGACCAGACTTGTGTGTTCATAATCACTATTGTCTTGGTGAGCTGCTGACCATTGAGGTGTACTCCAGCATCTTACAGCTTTAAAAGGGAAAAAAATCTAAGGGAGAATTAGTAGGGAAAAATAATTGCGAATAAATTTTGAATATTTGTCTGAAAAGGTTTTCTTAAGAAGCATTGTAATTATTTATTTAAGCTAAACTGCACTGAAATGGATTATGGAGCAACAAGTGACTGCTTTCATACATTGCAGCATGGGTTGTACTGATGAAGTGTTTTTTTTGTTTCCAGCCAGGTAGATTACAAGGCAAAGCTGTGGGCTTGTAACTTCTGCTACCAGAGAAATCAGGTAAGAAGCTGCTTGTGTTGTTGTTAGTGTCCTCACCTTTAAATCCCTCCATAGTCTCACCCACCCTACCTCTGGGACCTCATATCCCACCAACCTGGCTGCTTCTTTTGCTTAGGCTGCTTCATGTCCCTCACCTTACTTCCAGCATCATCGGGTGGGCTTTTAGCCTTTCTGTCCCATCTCTAACTCCATCCAGAGTCCCTCTCACTTGTTCCCTCCATCACCTTGTTCAAGGTCCAAGACCTACCTTTTCAACTGCTCTTTTGGTCATCTTTCCTCTCCCACCGCCAGCTTGGGTGCCCAGCCAGTACTGTTGGGACATCCTCCTGATATGAAAGGAATTACATATATGTGCATTTATAATTGTATTTTTTGCTTTTGTATGATCTTAGATGATGCACAACATAATTCAGTGTGGAATATTTTATATGAATCAATCAGTTTTATGAGAAAAATGTGTTTTTAGATGCACACAGTTCCAATGGAGAGTATAGTGGAGTTTGACATTTCAAGACAATTTCTCATGTTAATGAAATGGATTTATAAGGGTGAAAGGATTTTTTGTTTTAAAAAAGTGATTGTGATTGTAATAGCAGTGATTTAAAAAAAAAAGTGATTGAATATCTTTTTACTTTTATTAACAGTTTCCTCCTTCCTATTCTGGGATATCTGAAATGAACCAACCAGCAGAACTTCTACCGCAGTTCTCCACTATTGAATATGTAGTCCAGGTAGGACTTTGATAACTAGCTTTTGTGGACAATAGGTAGTCATATTGTTACCATATTCTAATATATTTTCTATGCTAGAAAGCATCTAAAAAGTGTTACAAAAATGATTGATCTATGCAGTGGGATTATTCTGAACTAATATATTAGTCACTGTAACATTTGTTTTCTTTGTAGTAAAATCTTCAAGATTTTTGATACTTTAACAAAAGAAACCCGAAATTCATAATGGTGTTGTTTTCACCCTTCACAAACCCTTCCCCCACTCCCCAATTCAAGTTGGGCTGAGTCTGACCATGGCTTAGTTTCTCCTGGAAGAAGTATTTTCTAAACCACCATTAAATCCCAATAGTGCACAATGTTGAAGGAAATACAAATACTCCAGATTAAAAGTTTTAAACTAAATAGCTGCTCAAATATTTTTTCAAGTGTGTGGCTTGTGATTTAAACTTTTTTTTCAAGACTAATTATAACTGTGGGCAGTTTTGGTTTTGAATTATGGGTTAACTCGTGAATGGATTTTTTTAGGTAGCCAAATGTAAGTTAGTGTAAGTATTTTGAGTTGCAAGGCAGCAATTCTTTCCAGTAATTTAGCACCGTCACAAACTGGAATAGAAAGCTTGAGCAATATATGAGCACTGACCCAAAACTAAAATAAAATTATTCACTTACTGCTTTCAGATAGCCACTAGATTATTGTTTTGTATGTTCTCTAGAATGCTGACAGTGAGAGTAATGAAACCTTTAACGACATAAGAGATTTTTTAATAACATCTGGCACAAGAGTACTTTTACGAATACATTTTATGTCTGGAAAATATGCAAAACAATTTATATCTAAAATGATTAAAGTATAAACTTCTCTTTCGCAGCGTGGTCCTCAGATGCCCTTAATATTTCTTTATGTTGTGGATACTTGCATAGAGGATGAAGATTTGCAGGCCCTGAAAGAGTCTATGCAAATGTCCTTGAGTCTTTTACCACCTACGGCATTAGTGGGTCTCATTACATTTGGAAGAATGGTGCAAGTCCATGAGCTTGGTTGTGAGGGAATTTCTAAGAGCTATGTCTTCAGAGGAACCAAAGACCTGACCGCAAAGCAGCTTCAGGTATGTGGTAAGAAAAAGATGCAACATTCAGCATAATGCTATTGACTTGTGTTGGGATCAATAAATGAATGAACTGTAGCATGAATAGGCCTTTAACTATATACATTTTATTAACAGGACATGTTGGGCTTAACAAAACCACAAGTTGCCCAAGTAGGTCGTGGATCTCAGGTTCAGCAGCCTCCTCCATCCAACAGGTGACATTTTAACATCTTACTTGTCTGTTTCAATGTGGTAAAATAACAGCAAATTTCTCCATTTCAGTTACCTTTAATGTATTTTCCCAGAGTGAGCCTGTTTCCATAGTGGCATTAAAATATTTATGGTTTTAAAATTGCCCCTAAAATACTACCTTATGAAATAAGGCTGCTTTAAGTTATAGATTATTGCACTTTGTTTTGGGGGAGGATTGGGAGGCCAACTTATTTAGCAAGCACTTTCTCTTTGCAAGCTAGGAGTAAAATTTTGATAACTTTACATGATCAGGATAGTCACTGAGCGACTGAAACGTTTTCTTCCTTGACTGATTGCTTTTTGGAAAATGTTAATGATAAATTTGCTGTTTCAATTCCGAGCAATTTGCTTTGGTCTATTTTTGATTTCAGATACTATAATTTTGAGAACATGCCCTCTTTTGGATCAAATTGAATTACTGGCATTGCCATTCTGAAATGTTCAATCTTTTTTCTTGCAGTAAATGCATTTATGGACACTGAGGTATGTTTTGGAATTGCTGTCTTACTACAGAAAAAAGTTTGATCATTGAGGGCATGGTTATAAAATTTCAACCCAAGTCTGTACCACTTCAGCTTGTGAAGGAAAATGTGAACAAAAGCAATGTCCCATATCACAAAACACCTTCATGTACAATGTACCTTTTCTTTTTCTGTGTACAAGTGAGCATGAACTTAGCAAGTAAAAGTATAGAAACAATAGAGCAATTTCCATTCTTTAAATATTTTGCGCACAGAAAATAACTTGCTCCAGCTAATTATGATATTTATCATGTTCTGTTTTTTCTGTTTCTCATTTTATTCTGTTGGTGTTTATCTCAACAGAGAGAGAGTGCATAGTACAGAGTGCAATTCATTTACCATTTTAAAACTTCTACATCTATTGTTTGATCTGTTGAACGGAGCTGTATTATACAGTTCAACTAAATTATCATATTCTCTAAAAGAAAGTTTTTACATGTGTTTGTGTAAATACATGTTAAAAATTGCATGGATTCATTGTACAACACCAGAATATCAAATGGTGAGGAACAATTTACATCAAAGAAAGATGAGGAGTGAGGTTAAAAAAGAGAAAATAATGCGGGTGTAAAAATGTATAATTAAATCCCCACCCCGTTTTTTGTTTAAGAATGTACCAGGAAAAGCTTTGACACCTAGTTCCATGCTAGTTGTTTCTTTTTACTTAACTTGCTATTCTGAAGTTTTTTTTTAAATTCAAATTTAGTTCCACTATTATTTTTGAACTTCATTTCCCATGTTAACGATGAACTGTCAACTTTTATGAAAAGCATAATTTGCAATAAGCTTTAGTGCAATAAGGTTCAGTCATAAACCTAAGGTAAGTGTATGACTGTTTTCTCATTGTAGCTCCTGCACAATGTACTATATATCTGGGGGAAATTTTTGCACTCTGAAATTTATTTGTGCAATTTTAACAGTTCCTTAAGGCAGCATTATTCAATGGATAATTTGTTAATTACAACACTGTACAAATATTTTTGATGCCACTAACTTTATTTTTGTCAAATTCATAATGTAAGATAATCTACTAGTTGTGGATTATATTTTGGTATCAAAATCTAGGATCTTTGAAAAAAAATACAATCTCCAAATGGTTAAGTCTTTTTGCTAAATGATGTTAAAGCATTGCATGTACCTTGGAAGTATTTTGTTGCTCTTGTAGAAATTTCTGTACTAAGGTTGGTTGAAAAAGATGCAAAGAAATGTTGACACTTCTGTAATTTGATAACCACCAACGATGTTTGTACCACGTATAGGACACTGATTTTAAGTGAAAGACACTATATTAATGCTAATTATTTAAGATTTTTGTAATTTCATAAACATTACAAGAACAAATTTTAAATGATTTCTCTTCCCCCCCCCCCTCCACCAACCCCCAACTCCCGCGCAGCCTTCAATCTAATTTAGAACAAATTAAATTTTAGAATCTGAACTAAATTTTACCATCCGTGATGCAAAAGAGTCCAGAGAATGCACAGAAAGTGAAATAATTAACCATTTCTTTGACTGATATTGAATTTAAAGCTGTGTCGGTCAGTACTGGATTACAGCAGCATGTAGGTGACCTGCCTGTATATAATAACAAAATGCAGTTGTTGATTTTTTCCAAAGCCCAGACTTGAATAAAATGATAGAAAATTAAATATCACTATTGGGCGCTTTTTGCATTATTGTTTGAAACATTTTTCTAATCTCAAAATTGTCAGATTGTTTAAATTTTGATAGTGTTGGCTCGTTCCCTATTTGTAAAATCTCATTCACAATGTGGGGAGCTAGGAATTTCATCCAATTGTGTGAATTTTGAAGTGCCTAAAATGAGATTTTATTAACGGTTGTTTTGTTTTAAAAAAAACAACAGATTTTTGCAACCAGTGCAAAAAATTGACATGAATTTGACTGATCTTTTGGGGGAGTTGCAACGTGACCCTTGGCCTGTACCACAAGGGAAAAGACCATTGAGATCAACAGGCGCTGCTCTGTCCATTGCTGTTGGTCTTCTCGAGGTATGTGTTGCTCTGTGGTTCTAGTTTTATAATGGTGCATAACAGTAATTATGGAAATTACTTTATTGGTACAATTATATTGATTTTTTCTTGTAAATCTACCTGCAGTAATGGTAATCACAGAATTATCAAATGTATTTTATAAAGTATTTATAACCACCTTTCTTCATTGTTTGCAAGACTTCCATTTGATTTCTTTTTGAACATGGACATTCCGGAATTTTAATTCTCATCATATATTCTTTATTTCACACATAATCATCTTTTATAACATCCTATAATTTTTTTGGTTAATTTTTTAAAAACATTTTCATTACTTGTTCAAAGAACCTCTGTTTATGGGTATCTGAGGTCTTCACTTGAGGCAAATCACATGCTTTAAATAATAAAAGACTAATAAAGGATCAAACAATCTTAGTTGTTTGATTTGTCTCAAATTTGATTTCTCCTATTCAAAGCAGTAGGATATGATTCTAATAGTACTAACCTTTTCGGCTGGGCAGTGATTGACTGGGGTGTGTCGTAACTGAGCTTGATTCTGCTCACACATTGCATCTCCATGTGCATGCTTTCACAAGGATAGTAGTCAGGAGGGGGAACACTGTCTAGAATCAATTGTGCGTGCTCACAGCTGAAAATGATGAACTTAGCATAGACAAGGAATTGAGTCTGATATTCTTAGTGCACATGTTGGAAATGCAAAGAGCTACAATACCTCTTATACACCATGATATTACACAGCCTTCAGCAGGCTGTATGTTCCCCACCCAGCCTACCCCACCATCGGCGGTCGGGCCTTCAACCTTTCTGCCCCCACCCTATGGAACACCATCCCACATTCCCGTCGCCTGATTCCCTCACTTGCCTCCTTCAAGGCAAGTCTCAAAACCCTCCTCTCAATTGAGCCTTCGGCTACCCTCCACCCTCCCCCTCCCTGATCCTACCCCCCAGCTCGGGTTCAAATTCCTGACTGTTCAGCACCTTGGGACTTCCTCCCGACATGAATGACGCTCCACAAATGTAATTTTGTATTACATGATGTATTCCTTCCTATATGTATTACATTTTTAGATACAGTTCACCTAAACTTATCTTTTCTTTTAATCAGTGCACTTTTCCTAACACTGGAGGCCGGGTAATGTTGTTCATGGGAGGACCAGCCACTCAGGGACCTGGCATGGTGGTTGGTGATGATCTGAAGACACCAATCCGATCTTGGCATGATATTGAGAAAGATAACATTAAGTACATGAAAAAAGCCATGAAGGTAAGCAGTACTAATTTAATAGTTTTTTTTGTAGGTTTACAGATAATTATCTACTAAATTATCTGCTAAGTGGTGTCCTGCAGCTCAGTGGTTAAAGCATTCGCCTCACAAGGGAGAGACCTGGTTTCTATTCCCGACAGGCGAAATGTTGGGCAAGTTTTCTTACTCCACACACCTCTGTTTACCTAGCAGTAAGTAGGAACCCAGTTGTTAGTTGATTTGCGGATCGCATTTCCGGGGATAATAATCCCTCAAAAAAGTGATAATTTGGTCACTCAATCCACGACTGTTTGTGGGACACTGCTGTGCGCAATTTGCTACCGCGTTTCACCCACAAATATACAATCCATTCACTTTACAGTATATTCTGTGAAGTGCTTTGAGACGTCTAGAAGACGTGAAAAGCCCTATATCAAATGCAAGGATTACCATTATAATTAAATATATCTTTAAGTAAAAAGAACTACATAAGCCGGCCTGTTAATGAACTTACTGAATGACACTCTCTGGACAATTTGGTCTCTCATAACCAACAATACTGTCTTACTTCTCTTTAGCTCTTCTGTTAATTTCCTGCTCCTCAGTAATGCATTTGTGTCCTTGATACAATCTGATTAAGTTGATGGAAATACAGTTGTTTTAATTCTATGGTTTCAAAACTGCAACTAAAAAAAATCAATATGTGTTAAATAATTTTTAAAAGCTAAGATTAAAAATAAATAGCTGTAGTAATTGTAGTCAACTCCTTATTTCTAAGTAAGATTGTGTCAACACAACACCATTTACCTTCACAGGCTGATCCCTTTGGGGAAAAAAACCTTTGTAATGTTGATCTATCAATGTCAACCTTATTGTTTCTGAATAAGTCTTGTGCCTACGAAATTAATTCATTCTGAATATCTATTTCAAAACTGTTTTGTCAGCAAGAAACAACAACAAAAACAATTTACATTGTATAGTGCCTTTCACGTCTTACATTGAAACGGTTTAAGAATGCATATATGGAGAAATATTAATTGAATTTTGCACATGGATTACTTTGGAGATGAGGATCCGCTTAATATACATCTCTTGTAATTCAATCCTTGGCTGAGACTTTTACAGTATTTCTATTTAATTATATAAAATGTGCATTGCCGTTAAATGAAAATTGATCATATTATTGATGTCCCATTCTTTACCTCTAGATGGCACATGTTTCATTCCGTATAAATACAAAGACTCTTACAGCATTCAGTGCTGTCAACACTTGCACGGTCTACTGTAGACTTGTGCCAATCAGAAGTGCAGTACACTAGCACTAGACTTCTAGTGCATTACCAACATCTCATTGGTGTGGCAGGAAGCTTTGGACATCATGTAGGCTGCTCAGTGCAGCATTGGTAAATGTACTAAGAGTCTAGCAGGAGCCCATATGTGAGCCTTCAGAAAGTGATAATGCATTACCTATTAGTACACTGAAATTCACTGCTGCTGAAAAGGGTGTACTGTACACCAACAGATAGGGCTAAAAAAGAGTAGCCACTGGTTGCTGAATAGAAGTGGTTTATTATGGAAAATCGGAGGGACTGTTCCAAGATGATTGCTGAATAGAGGTGGTTGCTTTAACAGGTTTGACTGTGTTAAAAAATAAAGCAGCAAATGTTTAAATCAAATCTTGCCCAATTCTTTAAATCACAGGCTAATTAATAATAATAAATAACCTTTCTTGTCTGTTTTAGTACAAGGTGGATTTTGAGATTTGATGCTAAGTTCTTTTACCCTTTACCTCTAACGCAGCACTACGAAGCATTGTCAAATCGAGCTGCAGCAAATGGTCATGTTATTGATATTTATGCCTGCGCTTTGGATCAGACTGGGCTAAATGAAATGAAATGCTGCCCAAATCACACAGGGTGAGTCCAGGTTCTTGGAGTTTTAGTATACTTGGGAAATAATGTGAAAATACCAAACGTACTTTTATTAAATATTCAAAAGATGGCAAATGTAGTAGCGCGATAAACTAAGCTACTGAATGTGTTAGGTTTTACTCCTTTTTCACATAGCTGGTTGATTTTTTTCTAATTATTAATAGGAACCTATTTAGAAATTATTTTAACTAAAAGTAAGATTATGGTTGAGCTAATCATTTGATAATCATTATCCTGGGCTCTGTTCCTTACTCCCTCGCTTCCTCTCCCCCCCCCCCCCCCCCCCAAAAGCTTGGTCTCTGCTTTTTTTCACCCTTAAGTATTTCCTGGGATTGTGAACTCCTGATCTATGAACATCATGAATGTAGCTGCTTGTTTACTCCACCAGGAGATGCCCTATAACAATTCAAATACAAGTAAACTCACTCCTTGCTAGAGCTTTCCTCTTTCTTCCTCCACAGTATCTAGCTCTGTTAAATGTGCCTTGTGGAGACAATTGTGAAACTACTCATAGCTTGGTCGACACAGAGACTTGAAGTTTGAAATTGTTGAAAAATCGGTCCTTTAATGTTGGCATGTCAACTTAAAAAGATAAAATATATTGTAATGTTTTCCCCACTCTTTTCAGGAATAGTACCAGAGTTTGATGTAGCTTTGCTCATTGTGTTTTCTCTAGGGGCTACATGGTGATGGGTGACTCGTTTAACACGTCTCTGTTTAAGCAAACCTTTCAGAGAGTGTTCAACAAAGATTTGCAAGGACAGTTTAAAATGGCTTTTGGAGGCACGTTGGAAATTAAGGTAACACTGGATGCTTCTCACCACAGCAAATTTCACTATTTCTGTTAATATTGGATGCTATTAGAGGTTAGAGGTTGAAAACCCAATATGAGTTCATCTCAAGGCTTCTATGAAAGACACAGAATATTATACTAGGATATGACTGCCTATGCATCATCTCCATTAGTTTACAACTGTGCTGCCAATGGTGGCTCAGCAAGTTTGAATAAGCAGTTGAATTATACAGAAGATTCCAGGGTTCCATCTCCAGCCTGTACTAAGTAGGCTGATCTCTGCTGGGGGCAGTGGGAGCACTACAATTGAAAAATATAGTTAAGGTATAAGTTTTACTAAAATTAAGAAAATTGAACCATTATCAATCTGTATAAGTTGGTAAAAAAGATTTCAAATAATATTTTACGGAGACTTGATCCTGCTTAAATATCCCGAAATTAAATTGGACACGGAATAGGAGAAATCCTGATTTGGAGTATTTTGCTTCATGGAACAGAAACTGGAACCATGGACAATGTTCATTTACTGAAAAGAGTATTGTATCTGGAATTGTTCTCTTGTATGCCTATTCCATTTCAGGAGATAGTTTTCTCTATATAACTGAGTTTCAAACATGTGTTTGAGGTTCATAAATTTCAATCTTCTCTCACATCTTTGCCTCACAAAATATAGCCTCACAAGAAACTAAAATGATATTTCCAGAAGAGTTAATATAATCTGCTTTAACACTTCGATAGCTTTTTGGGAATTTAATTTGCATCCCATTGAATGAGCTTCATTCCCAAGTATTTTGATGTACGCTTGTGAAAGTTTGTTTTCAGATATGTGGAATGAATTGGAGGTAATTACTCACAATTGAAATAAATTGACTTTGCAAAGCGATGTGTCTAGTGTCATACAATATTTGCAATTATGTCATCCAATATTTTGGTTTTGATTTATTCCACTTTCTTGTGATTTACATGTAAATCAATTTTGTTAACACAGAATTAAAATCGGAAATTTGACTGAAAATAAACTCTAAAACAAATGGTACAGTAATGATGATTTCCTCAGCAATCCCAAATGTGATTGTGTAAATCGTCATGTAAATGTAATCTATTTTTCCCAAACCAAAAATGTTTAGCGTTGCTTGTAAATATGGGCATCTTGCATATTGAGTAATAATTAGGCCTAATCATGTTGGAAGGTTGTCTCAAAGAGTTCACAGGATTTACTGCAAAATTATTGTAGGTGGATGTGGCAGCCACAGGTCCATTCTGTGAAATTCTTGTATTGTGACTTGTGTCTGTATGATTTTTTAAAAACAAAATATTCTTTCTTTTAAAGACATCAAGGGAAATAAAGATTTCTGGAGCAATTGGACCTTGTGTGTCACTCTGTGCCAAAGGACCATGCGTATCAGAAAATGTAAGTTGTCTTTTGTGCATTCAGCAATATTTATTTAGTGTTAAGAAAAAATTAATGGGACTTCTCACTGATGTTTGCAACGCTTCTGTGATTAGAGAAAGGTATCAAAACTCATCCGAAGAGCATAGATGTTGTAAGGAATAGTTAATGCCTCCTGAATTCACTGTAATTTTGATACTTAAAAATCTAAACTTGTTAGCTGAGACCCACAAAGTAGAATTAATTTTCATTAGAAAAAAAGATTGAAGGGTATGATCAAAGTCTTTAAAACGATGGAAGATACAGATGATTATAGATACAAGCAGGATCTTTGACCTTGAGAGCAGAAAGAGATTTAAAATTCTTCATGTAATACTGAAGAATTGAAAAGTTTGTGGACAAAAGAAGGCTATGAGTGAATATTGGAGATGAGGAGTCTTGTCTTGATTGACTTTGTGGTTCTGAGTACGTCATTGTTTGCCCCAGGAGATTGCTGATGGATGGACTAAGTTTTGCTTGAACTTGGCGGTTTTGGGTGGGGTTCCTGATGATCCAAATGACCATTGCTCATTCCATGCTAATGTTTTTATCTGTGATGTGCACTACAGATTCATTTAGTATTTTCATGCTTACTTCAACCTTTGAAAATGTTGCAGCATGCCAGCTTATAGTTTAAGGTTTTTTTTTATGGTTTCCTTTATAGGAAATTGGAACAGGTGGCACCTGTCAGTGGAAGATCTGTGGTCTGGATCCCAACACAACCCTCGGTATCTATTTTGAGGTGGTAAACCAGGTATGTGGAAAGTAAATGTTACCACATCATAAGTGGAAAGAAATTGAGGCAGGTGTTTTGTAGGGGAGGAGAAAGGCTGGGCCTTGGGAGAAAAAGAGAATTCAAACAAGAAAAACTTTGTATAGAACCTTTCAGGCAGAATAATATTTCGGAGTGCTGCACGGTGCCAGGGTTGGACATCGAGCAAGGGAGATGAGGGAAGCGACCAAAGATGTGGTAAGTCTTAGGGTGGGATTTAAAGATTAAGTGTGCGGAAAGGTGGAGGAATTGAGGTAGGGAGTTGAGGTTGGGGGTGTAGCGGGTGAAAGCACAGCTTCCGTTGGCATTATGGGGGGTGGATGGGGAGTCAGGGGACATGACCCCGCAATTCAACTTATTGTTTTACAGTTATTGTCTGTTGCATTGGGTATAATAATTAATTGACTTTTTACTGGTTTTATTTTTAATTATTGTATTTGTATTTGCCTACATGTTGAAGGGCTTTGAGAGATTTCGAAGACGTGATAAGGCGCTGTATCAAATGCGAGTATTATTATATACACATAGTCATCATTTTACATCACTTCACCTGTGATTCAAAACTTTGTGACCTCTCAGGGATGTGACAAGGTGCTATATCAAATGCAAGAATTATTATTATCATTGCACTCCTGTTTGTCTGAAGTCCAGGTTTTAATTTGAAAATGTTTCTGCTTCTTGATGAATTCTTCCTGGGGGTTCAGTTTCAGTAGGTGCATGTAGGTTTCTTTGAGGTCTTAGTCTCAAGCTTTGGTCTTTAACTGAAGAAGAGAGGGAGTATTCCTCTGTGCGTAGAATTCTGTTTCTTAGTTTTCTCCAGCCTTCCCACATTGCATTTCTATATTTCCTGAGTAAAAAAATAGTTAAATTCAGAGTGAGATATTTTCAATCTGACTTTTTTAAAATAAGTCATGATTCTAATATAATAAAACAAACCATGTACATGGACTACTTTCAGTTAAATAAAGTACAAGTTTAGGTAACACTATTAAGGATTGTGATGTAGAGTGGACTATTTTATAATAATAATAATCCTTGCATTTGATATAGCGCTTTTCATGTCGGGAGGACTTCCCAAAGCGCTTCACAGAACACACTGTAAAGTGAATTGACTGTATATTTGTGGGCGAACGCGGCAGCCAATTGCGCACAGCAATGTCCCACAAGCAGTCGTAGATTGAAAATGACTAATTTATTATTGTTTTTGGTTTTGGAGGGATTATTATTAGGCGTGTGGAGTAAGGAAACTTGCCCAAGGTTTCGCCTTCTGCCTGGAATTGAACTCAGGTCTCTCGCTTGCAAAGCGAGTGCTCTAACCACTGTGCTACAGGACTCCACAATTTGGTTTCCTTGTGAGGTGCACTCAGGAAATTTGGACATCATCAGTTTGTAATGGAAGAAAGTGGAACAGATTGACAAAATTCCTTGACCAGTGATCAATGAAGGGTTCACAATGTTTGGTTCTACAGCGTTATTTGGTTAAAAAANCTACATTAGAGATGTGAAATATTTATTTTAGAATCGAGTCTTATTGAACTCGTCTTCTGCAAGTTTTTGCTACATTTGGTGGCAAATCATGGAATTATAGGCTATTTCAAAGCCAGTTGGCAATAACAATAAAATTACATTTGTACAGCGCCTTTCACGTTGGGAGGACATCCCAAGGGGCTGGACAATCAGTGTTTCGGACCCGAGCTGGGGGTCGGGATTGGGGAAGGTGAGACAAGGGGGGAATGGAGGATGACCGAAGGTACGTTCGAAGAGGAGGGTATTGAGACGGGTCTTGAAGGAAGCAAGGGAGAGGGCGAGGTGGAGGGATTGCAGAATGGAGTTCCTGAGGATTGGGGCAGAGTGGCTGAAGTCCGACCACCAATAGCAGAAGAGCTCAGAAAAGGAGATCTAATTGATATTGATCATAGACATTGAACCCCTGTTTTCAATTTAATTTTCCTCTGATTTTATATACAGTACAAATTCAAACCATCTGATTATGTATTGCAGTCTTTGTCAGGAAATACTTAGTCATATTATAAAGTCTGCAAATCGCTAATCGCATTATTTCTGTTAAAGCATTGCAGGGCAATCCTGTTAAATATTGTATCTGGTGAATTTTTTTTATATACTAGAACCCAATAAAAAGGATATTTCATTTCAAACCCAAGTATAAAGCCTAACTTACAAGTACTTAATGAAAATAATACAGATATAAAAATTGCATTTATAAAGCACCCTTCATGCAGGACAGTGTTTCGGAGCACTTTACAATGTCGGGCAGACAATTAGCAAGATCGACGGGGAAAATTAAGACTTACTTGTTCTAATTTTAGTAAAGCAGAAATACATACTTCTGTATCATCGAGCTGAGCCATGGGTTTAGAGCAGATGTTAGAAGTACAAGCCATATAGACACCATTTCTGCCAACGGGGGAACTCTTTCTCCAAAGGTTTCATAGAAACTAATAGTTATATATGGAGTCCAGCATATTAGAAGTGAGACTAGAAAAAAAAATTGCATGGATTTGATCAGCTCTTTCAGGAAATTAACAACTTTCTTTCCTCTCCAGTTAATTGATATTTTTACAGATGTAAATTATACAAAAGGGCAGCAAATTAATAGACAATATGAATAAACTGCAGTAACGCATGCAAAAATGAGAATCTGTAAAAATTCAAGAATCCCTAATAGTTTTGCACAGATGTTTGGGAGCTATATTCCTAGATAGATTTGTAAGGGCTGAGTTCCAGTCCTGAGATCTTAACAACATTTGCACCCAGATCTCTCGTTGGTGTTGAGTTTTATCTGATCTCCTGTGTGTTGCCGTGGCTCAGTTATTAGCATCTTTGCCTCTGATTCAGAAGGTTGTGGTTTGAAGCCCCACGTCGAGACTTGGAACCTATATTGTCCATGCTGACACTCTGCTATAGAGTTTTTCAGTCTTGCACGTATCAATTAGTTACTTCAAGATTTTTTTTCATCTCAGACTAAAGTCTGGGAAAGAAAAAAAATACTATACTAAGAATTTGAACTATTGTTAATATAATCAATGTAAAAAGATAACTTACCTGCAGTTGAAACCAGAATGATTGTGCTCTTCAGATAGCCTTTTGCAGGCACGGAATAGCAGTGTTGATCATTGCATTCAAATGTTCCTCGCAATTTTTGCCGCCTTGCAATTTTCACAATATAAATTGACAGTACACAGACTGTCGTTATTGGAACAAGTACTCCGATGCCAATAGTGATTACACTGTAAACTTTTAATGAAGAACTGAAACTTGGTACACAGATATATCTATGTTCTTCGTATTTATATTGCCCTAATCCTACAAAAGGCAAGCTTGCATTAATAATGCAATAAATCCAGATGGATAAAATAAGGCCCCACGTCCGTTGCTTCGTAACCAATTGTGCGTAACGGAGAGGCAAGACAATCTCTGCAAACTTGTCGATTGTTACCCATGACATTAAATGAACGGAGGCAAATTGCAGCAGGACATAAAGAAAAGCAGAGAACTGGCACCATATATCCTGCTTACTGTAGCACGACTTATCAAACAGACTATTGTGCACTCCTGCAGGAATCACTATTAGACCCAAGATCAAATCACAGATACAGAGATTAAACAAGAGAGATGATGTGTCTTCCACAATTTTTGGTTGAATCCAAGTGTCAACAGTAATAGAATGTTGGTAGTAACGGATCCTATGCAAGTGAGAGTCATTAGAAAGGCACACAGAATGGTGATAGAGATCATAGTTAAGTATTATCTTTATGTGGTCCAAAGATTTGTGTAATTTCAACCATTTATATGTTGTAGAGGAGGAATCTTGGAGTTGTTTGCAATATTATTGAAACAATCAGCTAGAAAGCGTTGTTACACGGGATAATTTGCTAGTGCCAATAGCTGAAGATTCTTCACCATATTTTTAACCAACAAGGAATCTGAAATCAAAGAAAATTTGTGTTGTCAGAACTGATCACATAGAAGTCATTTTTTGGCTAAAAATAATTGAACCCAGAGTCTTGTATCAGCATAATTTATATTTTCCTATATGCCTTTATAACTTTGATCATATGTTCACAAATTACAGTTGAAATCAGTTACCAAATGTTTTACTATGTAAAGATTATGAAAAAAAATTTTAAAAACGAAAAGAAGACGTCTCTATACTGGTGCTGAACCACAGTTCAGTTTCTTGTTTACACCAGCGGTTGGCATGTCACAAAAGTAATTTACTTGCGATAGTTCAAAAGCAGCCTCAGAGAAAATACGATTTTGACTTTAAAATAGGGGGGGGTGGGGTGGCAAAAATACAACTGCAGAATATAACAGTACAGAAATTTAAAAAATAGATAAAAATTATTATTTAGCCATGAATCACTGTTAATTTGTTTGTTTTGACCTTTTGGGAAATATTTATAAATACAATACTGAGTAGGGACTATGGGCTGCCTTGCACTGCACTATGTGGTAAACAAAGTAGTTGTAGATAAAACATTTAAAAAATATATTTTTTATTTTTGCTCGGGAAAAATAATTTTAGTTGTCAGAGGTTTACAGTGCATAATAGCAGTTCAGTTACATTTCCTGCTCTGCTAAGCACATCGCTACTTTCATTTAAGATACATGGCTTGATATGTACATATGTTAAATTTAAACAAAGTACATTTGCTTTTAGCAAACTATTTTCTAAGCAAAAATACAATGCAGTTTGCAAAACTATCCTTTAGGCCTTTTTTTTAAATTATAAAATACACATTTTATCTTGGTTACTATCAGTGAAAACTATGGTTAATTTATCTCTTCTGTTTGTTTCATCCTGTTTTCCAAATAAACTTGTTTTATAAATATAAGCTGATTGTTTAAATAATACTGCAAGTGACACCCAAGATTCCTCCTCTACAACATATTGATCATTTGTTACCTGGTCAAGTAGTCATCCTTAGAAGCCTTTTACTTATATTTGCTTCTCCAATACCTTCACTCTTGTTGTCTTAGGAACAGATGAGAGACGATCCAAACCTTGAACTGGTTTTGTATTTTATGCTTACTTACAACTAAATAGCACTGTTTAGGGTACAACGTTTCTGTTGCGATCACCTGCGATTCTAGCAAAGGTAAAATAGAAATTGCCTTGGGTCGCTTATCTCATTCTGTTCCATCCAGCATTCACTGAGCAGCTGACTACGTCTGTTTATGAACTGGATATGACTATTATAGGAAGTGGGTGGTGAACTAAAACTCTGTGTCCTTGGTTGTAATTGAATGCTACAGTGGTGTGTACTTTGGTACTTCAAAAATGAAGAAATAAAGTCCCAAATGATGAATTTTGTTGGGCAATTTTTGTAACACTAAGTATTATTGTTTGCAGCATAATGCCCCAATACCTCAAGGTGGCCGTGGTGCTATACAATTTGTAACACAGTATCAACATTCGAGTGGACAGAGGCGGATTAGAGTGGCAACGATTGCCAGAAAGTAAGTGGTTCCATATGTTTTCAAAGCCGAACTGCAAACATGTTAATTCTTTTTGAGACGTTTTAGGCGTGCTGGATATATGAAACTCTGGTGTTATATAATACTGGGAGAACTTCCAGCAGTTTTGCTGTAAAACATCATAGTATGAAGTATGGAAATATACAAGTGGAACAAACCTTTAGGTTAAGGTTAAAGTGTCAGACAATTTGCTGGGGCAGGGAGGGATGGGTGCAGGAGAAGGAGAATGGCGTTTTATAGCTGAATCTAATTACTAAGCATTCAGAGACACTGCTCTTGAAGGCACTATATAAAGTTCTCCATTACTATCTATTACAACTCAATTTACATGGCTGAACAGTTAAGCCAAGATATGGAAAACTATTTTAATCAGTTTATCTTTGCTATAATCTTTCCCAGACCTTGGGAGGCTCAGTTGGTAGAAGAGCACATTATTCCAAAAATTGGCACGAAACACTATTTTTGTTAGCTTGTCCAATTTGTACTGACTTTGAGTGCAAGTTTCAATTTGTTTACATTTGTCAAAGACATTGGTTATTTATAGCAAGCTAAAAAAAAATTGTAATGGGTTAAGGGTCTGTTTTCCTGCTATTTTCTTTTTTTAAACAACAGCTGTCAAATATTTTAAAATGTAAAGGCCATCATAGGTTTATGTACAGTATATTTTTTGTTTGAAGTCTATTTGGCATTTATTTGTATTTAGGTTATGTCAGTGTTGGTTAATTTGTAAATTTACATATTAATATTTTGTGATTCCTCCACTTTATAAAGCTGGGCAGATGCACAAACACAGATCCAGAACATTGCTGCTTCCTTTGACCAGGAGGCTGCAGCTGTCCTCATGGCAAGGCTGGCAGTGTACAGAGCAGAGACTGAGGAGGGACCTGATGTTCTCCGATGGCTGGATAGACAACTTATACGACTGGTATGATACATTTTCAAGAATCAACATTTTAATACTTCCTATTGCATAAGATAGTCTGGTGTTATTTCTATAAATAAATGAATAAATTCAATAATTATTCTTTTTCAGTGTCAGAAATTTGGAGATTATCATAAAGATGATCCTGCCTCTTTCAGGTTCTCGGAAACATTTTCTTTGTATCCACAGGTAGGATGAGTGAACTCCAGCTCAGTGTTTTCTCTTGTAAATACGATTTTGGTCTATTAATGTGTATACATTGCATTAGATGGAATCTGTTCAAGATGAAGTAAGATACAGCTGATGTCCGCTGAAACCTTTTCTATTTTCATGATTAGTAAATGTTCAACTTCTGGGTTTTTGTTTTAGTTTATGTTCCACTTGAGAAGATCGCCATTCTTACAAGTTTTTAATAACAGTCCTGATGAGAGTTCCTACTACCGTCATCATTTCATGCGACAGGATCTTACGCAGTCACTGATCATGATTCAACCTATCCTATATGCATACTCTTTCAATGGCCCTCCAGAGGTAAGATGTCTGTTACAGTTCCTTATTCATCTTTTGTTCAAATTTGTTAACATTTTTGTTAAAATCTTTGTTTAAAAATTAAATTGAGTTGTCATTTCCTTGTAACTCATACAGTTGAAATTATTGTTTTTTTTACATTTCAGTTTTGTGAGGAATGCAATCGTTCTTGTAGTTTAGGACTCTTGACTCGAGGTTAAATTCTCATCAAATAGCGCAGCTCTGGAGCACGGTTAGACTTCATCACATTCACTTGGGCAGCTCTGCTACTTGGTCAAACTCTGAGTTCAGATTGCTTGGTTGAGAGGCTTCCTTTCCCCTATGTGTTGCTGCAAGGGATTTACATGACATGAACTTGGACACTTTGAACCCAGTAACCGGTTGTCACCAATTAATAGCAGAAAATTTGCCATAATACATATTGGCATTAAATTTCACCCAAAGGCTCGCAGAATAACTGAGAAACTTGAAAATCTATTCCCACAAAAGTTGAATGAGAGTGGCTCTTAAATTTGGATTGAAGCAGTGTCAAGGCAGAGCAGAATATGTCCACAACTTGCAAGCGCGTAGAATGGTTTCAGTGATGAGTTAAACATTTTTGGTGAAGTACTTCATTAATTTAAATCATCTATAAGCACCTCTGCTGAATTAATTGTAAATATAATTAGGAGTGGAGGAATACAGCTGTGAACCTTTGTTCTGAATTGGACAATTTTGTGTTCCTTTTGAATAGCCTGTTCTTCTGGACAGCAGCAGCATACTCCCCGATCGAATTCTTCTCATGGACACGTTCTTCCAGATACTTATTTACCATGGAGAGGTAAAAGTTTAACAACTTTTGAAGTCACTTTTGGTCCTTGTAGCGGTCAATTGACTTAATTTAAAATGGAAGTATGACAAATTCGCAAATGCCTGTAAAGATCAGCTGTTAAATCTTTAATTTGGGTGAAGAGTAATTCTTGAAAACACCAAGTAAGTGTTGTAATTTGGTGTATAAAGTGTGTTTAATTTAACAGATTAAACAGAAAAATATTTTTCCCTAGACCATCGCTCAGTGGCGCAAGGCTGGATATCATGACATGCCAGAATATGAAAACTTCCGACATTTACTCCAAGCACCTATTGATGATGCACAGGAAATCCTTCACAGCAGATTCCCAATGCCACGCTATGTTGACACAGAGCATGGAGGCAGCCAGGTAATTATCCTGATGGTGCCGTAGTGAAGTTTAGTAATCTATGTAGCATTTCATGTTTCCCTGTGTTAATCTTTTTCTTTGTAGACATGAGAGAATGAAAATAGTATATGAGGATGGATTATGTCTTCATGGCACCTGTGGTACTGTTTGACTCGTTTTCTTTGTATATTTTTTTGAAAACAGGCTCGTTTCTTATTGTCAAAAGTAAACCCCTCACAGACTCACAACAACATGTATGCATGGGGACAGGTAAGCCTGCATTTCACATTTACACCATGCGTCCTTTAATGTCTAGCAGAGTTGAGTATTAATTTTAACACATTTAGTGTAAAATTTATCCCTCAGTGCATCATTTACATGCACAGAGGCTTGAAATGGAAACAGGAATATTTTCCTGGATTCGCGAGGATCTGCGTTATTTACTATTGTGGTGTTCAGACTTTGCTCTATCCATTTAAATAGAACTTGGACAATTAAACAGTGATTCACATTTGTGTGTATTTCTCCACATAGAATCATCATGTGGAAAAAGCATTATCTTAACTACTATTTGTGAAAAGAACAATGAACTAGTGTCCTCAGCATTCAAACCTATTTACAATTAGTTACCTAACTCCCATTTACCCCTCCTGCTCCAATAAAGTCATGTTTCTAAACACTGCACACGTGTGCACAACTATTTAAAAATTCAACATTGCAGCCTGGTTTGATTTCTATATTGGATAAGTTTGTCATGCAAATAGACGGCATGTAGATACACAGCATTCTATTGTACAAGTTTCATAATATTCGGGAAGCAAATTGTTTAGACTCTTACTCATTCTAAATCCAAATGATGTAAATTGCCTAAAATCTTGCACGCCTATTCAAATATTGAAGCACTGCTTAATGTTGAGTGTCGTGTAATTCGCAAGCTAAGCTAAATGATTGTCTCACATGGTATCTGTAGCTTGTGCAATTTTGTTCTCTGTGAATTATGATTATAATTATGATGCAATTATGTTCCGTAGGAGAGTGGAGCGCCCATCCTGACAGATGATGTCAGCCTGCAGGTGTTTATGGATCACCTGAAAAAGCTAGCAGTTTCAAGTGCAACATGAGTATACAAAGCTTGAAATGACATGCTGTACCCACAATAACTGAGATGAGGAAAGAAGTTGAAACCCATTCAGTGCAGTATGTTAAAGTGTCACATCTATATTGCTTACCATTTGAAACAAAACAGATGTTTTGGTGTTGCATTGGCTGAGCACTCACTCAGTTGGTAACACACTAAAGGAGGACTTTCTGCAATATCTGTCAATCAAAACTGTTTTCATTAGATTGTATATTCTTTATTTCTCCTTTATCTTTAGTTTCAAAGCATGTTTTACATTTAGTACTTCTATATTGACTATGGTGAAAAACACTAATCTAGAGTTTCAAAATTCCGCCTTTATGAACAAATATCCAATTCAGTATTGTTACTTTATAATGCATTTTGTGTTTCATTTGCTTTCTTGTTGTTTGACTGGTAACGTAGTGCAAACTATGTTAGTCAGTATTACAAAATTTCTAATAAAACAAACATTTATGGCATGCATATCACCTTATTTTGTCCTGTGTAATCCTTGTCTACATTTTTCATAATCCACCAACCAGTTGGCATCAATGTCAGAAATGCAATATATCAAAGATAATTTCCTTCTGCCCAAAACTTTTTTCGAAAAGTATTTCTCATCTCTCTTCATTTTTCTGCCATTTATTCATATCGACGATTAGATGTACAATGTGCCAGTGCATCTGTGATATTGCATTGATAAAGCCATTCAGGTGATGAGTAATTAGTAATTCTTCATAAAGAAAAATCGGTGTTCTACGAATGACTGATTGGAGAAGAATACTGTATTACACATGCAGTATTTGGTGTTGCCTCGTTAGATGATCAAGCTTGAAAAAAGTGATGAAAATATACTTGCGGTTGACGTTTTGGGGCATATTCAAAATAAATGCAACAGGTGGGTGTCCAAGAAACCTGGAATTTAAAACTCAAACTCTTCTGATGTTTAATTCTTAAAAAGTTATTGCAAACTCAAAGTGAATTTCTTTTCCTTTCAGCAATATCTGGCCCTCCCATTAGCTACCTGCCGTATCTGACTTGTATCCACGTTGTGGAGGTACTTAAAGAGAAAGGTACGGCAGCTTTGATCAGCGCAGTAATTTATGGACAATTGCTGATATCAGTATTGCTAATCAACATCAATACAATTGTAACTCTTTCCTCCGCAATTTAAATATCTGTCTAGGTACTAAGCACTAAATGTATTGAGTGACAGTTTGAACAATATGAGTTCAAAGTCTCAATGTCGGGCTTGAACTGATCCAAAGTGCTATCAACTGACACCTACTGAAGAGTCTAAGGATTTGAAATTCAGGATCTCCTTGTACCTCTAGAAATGAAATTCAGATTAAGTGGAGCTTATTTTAGGATCTTCACAAGGTATTCTGACGTGGTATTGCTCCACTCAGTTGCTGCCTTTTTGTCCATCCTGACATAACATTGATGTTCAGACTGACATTTTGGTTTCAGATTGTCACTGGTCCTTAGATGTACAAAAATCACAATACCCTGGATACGGTGAGTTCAAATTGATGTGTTTAAAAGTGTGCATCATTGTTACAGGATAAAATTGTTAGGAAGTGTGCTGGGACTGGACAAAACTTGTGATTAGTTGCCATCAGTTTCATCGCTGCAAGTCATTTTTTCACCAGTAATGATAAACGATGACCATAAAATTACATAAAGTTTTAAATGGCACACTGCTAATGAATACACTGCAATAAATAGATGCGGCCCCATATGAATAATGTGATTTATTGTCCCTGTGTTTACCTACACTGAATGTAAAGCAAATAGCAATATTACATTCATGTCTCAGTTACCAGGAAGAAGGCATTGTGGTTTTATTTAATAGGTAAAATTGTACTGATAGCTCACCGTATCCCTGTTTAGATTGCAAACATGCGTTTCTTTGTTTTAAGATTATTAGCACTCTTGGTCAGTGGGAAATATAAACCCTGGATTGGAGTCTTTGTGTCTGTTTTACGTTGTTATTTATTTCTCTAATCGTATCTTTAGTCCAGGGAGCATTAATCAAACTTGAGCAAACATAGCTTATAAATCAGAATAACAGAGTGCAGGCTTATCTAAGCCTTAAAAAATAAAATTTTGATTTTATGATGCACATTTAGATTTGTCATTATTAACCCTTCAAAAAAGGGCTTTGATTTTGAAAAGTCAGTGTTTCCATATAATGAGTAATTCAAAGTCACTCATCTGATGACTTGCTTATCTTGTTATTGGTCCAATAATATGCCAATTGTTACACTTCAGAATTATCTAAATTAAAAGTACAGTATATGCAAATGAATCTACTTAGGACAACCATTTCAATTGAAAAAATCCCTCCCCCAAAATGGACTACCCAGTTTTTGTTAAAAGAAATTAATAAAAATGTTTTGCAACAATCTAACGTGTTATTTCCTCACGTTTAGTTTTCCATCAATAAAGTGAAAAAATGTAGGTTGGCAGTAAAATGTACCTCAATAGTACCAATCAAACCCCCACAATGTCCCGGCAAAATTTTTAAATTTTCCCGCAATTTTAGGCAAATACTTATGCACTTTTCTATTGGCTCAGCCCATGATGACTTCCTCTTTATTCTCTCCCTCCCCCCACTTTTCACTTTTATTTGAAAGGTTGAGTTAATTCAAGAGCCTTCTGGTCCCAGTACAACTGAATGAGCTACTTGGGATACTATTCAGCAGTGCAGATCATTTTGAAATGCATCTTTGTGTGTGTTTGTAATGTGATGACAACAACACTTGCTTTTTTCTACTCAATAAAACGTTTGCAAAGTGCCTTTAAAATGAAGTTATTATTCCTTTAAATAATACGAGGATGCTGGGCAGAAATCTAGATGGTGAACTGGTTGCTTCAAGATAAAGGGCCAGCAGGAACAAGGTCAGGCCAAAGTGGAAGGCAGACAAATTGGTGCGGAAAGAGGATGGATAATGGAAGACTTAAATAAAGATAGTAGCAATAAAAATAAACAGGAAAGCAGAAAAATGGAAGAAAACGTTTAACATATTAAACAACATACAGTGCATTACATTAATGTTGCAGAATTGCAGGTGATCAAGAATTACAAAATGGACATGCAACTGAATCAGAAGGATCTGCTTTCAGCTTGAATTGTTGCAGTAAAATAAGCAAAGGAAAAGTCACTACTTTCTGTTATTTATAAAGATTATGACATTAAATCACCATGTCAGAATGCTTTATTTGTAATTTCTACAATACTGCAAAATCTGTAACCAGCGTGTAAATTATTTGTGAGAATTACGTTTTCATATGAATAAAACCGCACTGCTTTTATTAAAACTATTCATCAAAATATCATCTAAATTCTCAATTGTCTTTTAATTTTCATGTGCTCTTGGCATACAGAGCTGTGTTTTCCCATCATATATTTGTAAATCATGTTCCACAAGGATGGTTGTTATTTTGCATTTGGAGTGGGTGGAAAGGGTTCAAATCACATATGCTGCAAACCTGATGACTAAGTGATGTGGGCAGGGGGTTGGATTGATCCACTTTTTTTGTTTAATTGCCCCAGATCTTCTTAAATCCAAATTATACTTCTATTTCTGCCCTGCAGGTATAGCTTGGCATCATCAAATGAAATATTACAATAAGTGTTCTCCAAGTAATTTTTCAATAGTATGAACATCAAGAAACACTTAGACATCTACACTGTAGAGGAAATATAGTTTCCTTGATTCTGATTGCCAAGGCACTTTTCAATCCAATTTACAATTAAGCCCATGAGTTTTAAACTTTAAAAGTCTCACACAGAGGCCTTACATGAGTTTCTAGCTCCGTGATTTCAGCTTGTACCAGAGCTCCTAGTATAACTGTACTTGGAAACTAATTTTAAATCACTGGGGGAGGATAGTTATAGAAGTTTTGGACAGTGTCGCAGTGAGTTACCTAAAAATCAACAAGAGCATTGGCCCTAGAAGCAAGATATATCCGTGAACCTTCTGGCTACTGTTTAAAATCATTGAGGAGGCAATGCTGATAGGTGACGCTATATTCTGCACTTTCTGGATTCTGCCAGACAGATGTGCTATCTTTCAGACCATTAGGCTCTCTAAGCAGAATTGGATTTATTTTGGGCTTGGAAGTTTATCGAAAACTATGGAAAATTGGCAGTTACAATCCCTTTTTCTCATATCATTTATAAATCTTTCAAATGTGTTGACCCAACATATGTTGTTAGCTATTGTGTCCAGTTTTTGAAAGACCAAGGGTTGGATGTAATTCCTAAAACTCTTCTAACTGGAGCAAACTGAATAATAGAATGACAGTTACTGGATTTGTTTTAAAGCAATTTTATGTGCAGCTGAAGGTGTACATAGAAAATTTGTGCATTTTTCTTGAGAAGGACAGGCATTAAATTTGAATTTCAATGGGCCTCAATAGAATCATGTTCAGTGCCAACTTTATATAATAGTTTCTAGCCTTAAGTTTAATCTGTTCTGTCCCTCATTTATGATTTTTCACCTATTCATATTCACAGATTTACTAAATTTAATTGGATGAAGATCCGTTAGGATTGCTGGGTTTTAGGGGAAGGGGTTGGAACTCAGTGCTGCAGTGCTGTTTTTGTACTGACCTCCTGTTTTTAGAACTGTTATCATGAGCTCTGCTAGAAAGTAAGCATTTTAGATTTTCATAGCAACAGTAGAATCAACATCACTTCAGTCCACAGCCAAGAAAACAGTTTCACTCACTCCTATCAGGGGGAGCGGAGGAGAGGGGGAGAGAATAAAACAAGGAAATGTCGCAAGGATATTGATGGAAGAAACTCAAAATTAATTGCTGAAATGCCAGTGAGTTCATTGCTTAATAACTAACGCATTTGATACAAAATGAAACAAGCCATGTGATTCAATCCCAGAGGAAGGATTGATTGATCCCACTTCCTATAAGTCAGGTGAAAAATAATTAAATGAACATAGACAAAAGGAAGAGGCACAATATGCTTGAAGCTAATAGCACAGATAAGAAAGTTAGCATATGCTCAATTATTGTATTCACTAGACTTCAAGTTTAATAATTCAGTTTATTGCTACATTTTAAATTATGCCACATGATATTGAATCTATTTCATATCTATGGTAACTTAATACAGTATTATTTCTGCAATATAGATTTCTTAACTAATATCAGTTTTTATAATTTAATCCTGTTTAATCCTAGGTAAATGCAGGAATGCATATTTTATACATGGAATGACAACAGTGTGAGATGATAGTAGTTGACAACAGTGTGAGATGATCTTTTAAAGAAAATTTTTAAAGAAAAAGTCAATGTTAAAGTACCACATTCTGGCAGTCACAGATTAATGGAGTTCCCACTCATCCATAGCAAGGCATTGATATATTTGTTTACAAAGCAAGATCCCTGAAGGATATACCGCAATACATATATACATCCAAATCTGGAGTACAGATTTATGTGGCCACTTGTATCAATGCTT